ACAAAACTGCTGCGATTCGACTCAGAAAGGTGTGTGCCGTTGAGTTGAGCATCGGATTTATTCAATGATGATGATTACATTCTAAATATCAAATAACAAATCTTTACAAAAATTACCTTTGAAAAAGTAGGCTTTCTCTTTGCCCCGGTGACTGGGTGCTGGTATGGCAAAAGATGCATCGACGTCATCTGGTACGCCGTCAAAGCCGAGTGAAATGTTGCGCGGATAGTCCTCATCCAGAACATCACCATCAAACCGCCAGTACTCTTTGCCCTGTGGGGGAATAAGGGCAAAGTGCAAAGACGTGAGGCGTGATGCCGGCACATACTGCTCAGGAGACAATGCACGTCTAACAAACACTGAACTAATGGTAAAAACGAGACATAAAAAACACCATTTTGGACTTCATCATGGGATCATCATGTATTTGACCTAATGAAGATTCGAGAACTGAAACATGTCAATGAAGTAAATAATCAACGGCGTACAGGATCCTTTAGCTTCTTCGCAGTCAAATGTTTGTTTGCGTGACAGCATCTATTGTTGAGAGATGTCAGAATACCCCTCTGATGTAAAAATAATGACACACTGGTTGCAGACTATAAAGAGGTAGACGTTTCTACCTTAAAGATATAGGATTTTCCTTGGCAGTTGATGCGTGTGAATGCCGCGTCCACGGGTCCAGTGATCCCCCAAACATCCTGGATGAGTTTTGGGTAACCAGGAAGAACAGACGTCTCATCCAACTCAAAGAAATATTCACCTGGCAGGAAAAGCGGGCCTTGTATCAATATGCCATAAGGGATTCAATTCAGTTCATTTAAACAGGAAAATCCAGCAGGTATCTACACTGAAATGAAATGTACAGCTCGTCCAGTCACAGATGTGAGAAAATGCACTCTGCAAGTCGGAGCCCCTTGTGGACTCGGAGGTTTACCTCTAAAAGCGTATATGGAGCCGTTCTTCAGCTGCAGAAACGCATCAAAAGGTCGACCACTGCAGGCCTCTGCGTCGGCGTCCACGGATCGCTCAGGCCCGCGTGCGGTGGAGGGTGGTGGAGAGGCGGCCATGGATTCTGCAACTGTGCTGAAGGTTTCTGGGTGAGCCGTTGCCTCTGGGACGGTCGTCCCTGCTTCCGTGACTCCATCTGCGTCCTCAAAAGTATCGCCGCGATTAGCTGAGGGCGGGAGAGAGTCTTTTAAATGGGTCACGTCAAGGTGTTTTGGTAAAAACTATTGATTCATAAAAGCAAGGAACTTTATTAAAACGCAATCATTATTGCTGTACAGACTTTTTTTGGGGCAGATGGTGTCAAAGTCCCAGCAGCAGCTCCCATAGTAAACACACATGGAGTCACACTGGCATTTTGTCCGGGTGTCGAAAGAGCCACAGCGACCAACACAGGACTCTGGGGAAATGCAGTTTGTTTATTTCAAATGACATAACATGTATTGATTGAGGGCAGACCTGGACAGTGGTGGAGGAAGTGCTCTTTTAATTCAGTAAAAGTCAATTGTAACATTCAGCCGATGCAGGTTGAGGAGCTTGTTTCATCTACTTTATTTACAGATGGCAGGTATTTTCTGTTTTCATTGTTTGCAGCACACACAGCTGCATTCAAAGACTAGTAATCCGATACTGAAGGAATAAATATTAAATGATAAGAATAGAATAATTTACATTCAATAATCATTTATATATGAAGCAATTTAAGTCAAAAATGTCACTCCTGGGAAATGTACATACACAAATATACTATTAGGACAGTCTTTGGTCGATCTTTTACTTTTTACGCCCCTTTGTGATATTTCATCTAGCTGTAACATTTGTTAAATTACCAAAAAAAACGTCTGGAAGACTTACTTTCTGCAGCAAAAGCGACGTCCAGCAGCAGGAAAAGGCCCAGCAGAGCCACTGCTGGCTTCATGTCTGCACACAGAAAATATCACTCTTTACATTACATTACATGTCATTTAGCTGACGCTTTTATCCAAAGCGACGTACAATAAGTGCATTCAACCATAGGGTACAAACTCAGGAGAACAAGAAACAAGAAAGTGCAATTTCCTCAAATAAGCGAATTTACAATTTGCTATAGATGAGTGACGTCACAAGTACAATTTAAGTGCTACAATTTGTTAGTCTTTAGTCGAGGTAGAGTCTGAAGAGGTGTGTCTTTAGTTTGCGGCGGAAGATGTGAAGGCTCTCTGCGGTCCTGATGTCTTCAGAGAGCGCGTTCCACCATTTCGGCGCAAGGACAGCGAAGAGTCGAGACCTAGTCGAGTGTTTTGCTCTCAGTGAGGGAGGGACGAGTAGTTTTGCAGATGCAGAGCGGAGAGTGCGGGTTGGGATGTAGGGTTTGACCATGTCCTGGATGTAAGCTGGACCCGATCCATTCACAGCATGGTACGTGAGCACCAGTGTTTTGAACTGGATGCGGGCGGCCACCGGTAGCCAGTGAAGAGAGCGGAGGAGTGGAGTAGTGTGGGAGAATTTCGGAAGGTTGAAGACCAGTCGAGCTGCTGCATTCTGAATGAGCTGCAGAGGTCGAATGGCGGTGGCAGGGAGACCTGCCAGGAGGGAGTTGCAGTAGTCCAGGCGGGAGATGACAAGAGCCTGAATCAGTACCTGCGCTGCCTTCTGAGTGAGAAGGGGACGTATTCTCCTGATGTTGTAGAGCGTGTATCTACAGGATCGCGTTGTCGCAGTGATGTTGGGAGTCAGGGAGAGTTGGTTGTCGAGTGTGACGCCGAGGTTCTTAGCAGTCGAAGTGGGCGTTAGCACAGAGTTTCCAAAGTTGACTGTCAGGTCCTGGGTAAGCGAGTCTTTTCCGGGAAAGAGAAGTAGTTCAGTCTTGTCGGGGTTGATTTTCAGATGGTGGGCGGACATCCACTGAGAGATGTCAGTTAGACAGGCAGAGATCCGAGCCGCCACCTGGGTGTCCGAGTGAGGGAAGGAGAGAATTAGTTGGGTGTCATCGGCATAGCTGTGGTAAGAGAAGCCATGCGAGCGAATGACAGCGCCAAGAGAGTTGGTGTAAAGCGAAAACAGGAGGGGACCCAGCACGGAACCCTGAGGAACTCCAGTAGTAAGAGGACAAGGTTCCGACACAGATCCTCGCCAGGTTACCCGGTAGGTGCGGCCATCGAGGTAGGACGAGAGAAGGGAGAGAGCAGAGCCTGTGACACCAAGTTCCTGAAGGGAGGAAATAAGGATCTGGTGGTTGACCGTGTCAAATGCAGCAGAGAGGTCCAGAAGGATGAGGACAGAGGAGAGAGAGGCGGCTCTAGCAGTGTGGAGTTGCTCAGAGACAGCAAGGAGCGCAGTCTCTGTAGAGTGGCCTGCCTTGAAACCTGACTGGTGGGGGTCAAGGAGGTTGTTACAGTGGAGATAAGAGGAGAGTTGATTAAAGATAGCACGTTCAAGGGTTTTGGACAAGAAGGGAAGGGAGCAACAAACTCAGGACGTAAGCGTGAGCCTGTTTACATCAGTGAACTAAAGTCAGATGAGTTTGACTGCCCCAATTCAGGGTGCAGCGTTGTGTGCAGATGATCGATAGATGTTTTTCAGAAGCCGTTGACCCCGAAGCATCCGCCGTCCCGATTGGTCGACAGTCAGCTGTGACAATCATTAATCTGTGAGGGATGATCTCTGTCCTGTCTGTCCAAGAACAACACGCAAACACGAATGTGATCCCTATAAGGCTCAGAATATACCCATTGACTTTACAGATGTGGACAATTTAACTACCAAGCAAGCTATTATTTATTTTATATAAAAATACTGAAAATGACTGATTCTGTTTAAATAACCCTCATTAAACACATAAGTGTGCTACTGTCTCATAAGGTTGACATACTGTACAGTGTTTAAGTAACTTCTGGGGGAACGAGGGAGTGGGTATCTCAGCTCAATCATTGTGTCATTTCCCTCTTATTGATCCGTGGTAAAGCAAATACAAGGCTTTGCTCACAGTGATAACTAAAATAAGTCAAAACAATAAAAATGTATGGTAATCTTTAAAATCAGGAGTTTGTTCTTCAGAAGGTGATGATCAGCAGCATTGAGAGACAAAGTGGCTGAATTGAGAACCACAAAGCGACTGATGGAAGTGAGAATATTACTCCAAGGCAATAATATCGAGAGAAAAGCTAAAAGAGGCAGTGAAAGAGTCAAAGAGCAAAAGTTATTGATACGTTTATTGATAAGAGTAGACTGATGTTCTCACGTTGCCTTTTATTGATTCACATGCTTGTTTAAGTAATTATATTCATGTAATAACTGTTGATATTTGAGTTTATCCTGTGATTTGTGAAACAAACCTTCATTACCTTCTGAGAGAAACATCCTAAACCCAAATCGCCAATGAGCGGGTGAGGAAAGGAGGAGACTTGGGAAGAGAGGAGTTGCTGCAACATGCATTTAACAAATGCAACATTCTCCCGTTGAGGCCGCCAACATTTAAATATGAGGTGTCACAGCTGCATCAGCTGTCAATTCTTTAGTTATGCTGCAGCTCATCGCCGGAGGAAATGATCTCTATCGAATGAGCGTAGCAGCTTTCATGAAAACTTTTACAATTACTATCATTCAAAGTAAAATATAATGGCAAATGATCACTTTACACTGTGGTTTGATGTTAAACACGATGTAAGTGTTAATAGGTGAGCTTTAGAGGCGCTGTTGTTATCACTCGCTCTGGAGAGACACAGTAACTAAGTGGCTTCATGTTCATAGGCCATCCTGTCCTTCAGCTGGCTGACCTTTGACCCGACAGACTGCCCTCCTTCAGAAGACAAACCGCTCGGTTGTCTTTGTCCTCACCTCAGTCCTCCCACCCCTCGTTACCTTAACTGCTCCCTTCCTCTCTTTCCCAATGGCTCCATTTCCTTCTCTGCCACGGATTCTCGTCTCTTTGGTGCTGAGTTAATGTTTGATTTGCGACTAGAGATACAAAGAGCCCCCCCCCCCCCTACACGCCAATTGTTATTGCTCACATTACCTGAGTTGTTCCCTGTGGGGCACATCTGTGTTTCCTCAGCGTCACCTGTATGTTGCTGCTAGATTCTGTCTCTTTTAGTCTTTTTCAGCTGTCCCTTCTGAGACATATTACACAGTATACGTTATATTGTGGATATTTTTTCCCTCCTGTTGGCTTCTTCCAGGAGACTCATGGCTAGATGGCTGAAGTGTCTGTGGTACCACAGAAACTACATCATCATCGTTGTCACTCCAATTGCCCTCCTTCCTCTGCCACTCATCATCCCCACATCGGTGAGTGCGCCTGTTGAGGTATCTTGGCTAAATTAATGAGTATTTTTTTTTCTGTTTGCATTGATTGAAAGACAGCTGTCAGCTGACAGCCCCTTCAATTTGTTGTTCCATCACCACTGTCAAATCTTATTAGTTTAATCTTTACACCAAGCAAAGTGTGACAGTGACAACTTGTCCTTTCGTGAGGAGTTTATCTGCCAGAATCCTTTTTTCTTTCTGGGAGCAGTAACTTGGTTGGTTGGTTGCTAAGGAAAACCATCTGGCAAAAAAAGATATTATAGCTTTAAAGAAAGGGTATTAAAAGCAAACATGACACACAACACTGTTGCAGTATAGATATGACAACGAAAGTATTATGATTCATGTTTTATTATCAATGTACGTTTTGTCATTTTTCCATCAAAGTGCGGAAAGGAGCGAGTTCTCGTGGGCAGTGGAAACTTGTGTCGGGTGGTTTGAACAGTGTGTGTCAACTGAGGACCCATAAACAGTTATCTAGTGAGACAAGAGCACAGCAAACTGTTGTTTTTTTTATCAAGGGTTGCTGTTATCTCCCCGTGTGAAGGGTTATTGCCTTTAAAAGAGACGCTGGAGAGGAAGGGCAAATGTGGAGGAAGCTGACTCAGTCTCCTTTCAATCTCTCATAGTCAATGTGATCATATTGACTATGAGAGATCCAGATGATGCACAGTAATATAATGTTGCACCAATGTTTGTCACTTCTCATGGAGGCAATTTGGCCTGAACACCATTTCTTCACTGCCGATTACACCCGACCAGAGTGTGTTTGTGTGTGTGTGTTCGCAGGAAGCCAGATGTGGTTATGCCATCATCCTCATGGCTCTGTACTGGTGTACGGAGTGTATGCCTCTACCTGTGACGGCCCTGCTGCCAGTCGTCCTCTTCCCCATGATGGGCATCATGAAGGCCGCAGACGTATTGGACCTTTGTGTTTCATAATGCGCCAGCTTCAATTGTCTTTACCGATACCTGTTGTACCTGTGTCGTCCTTTTCAGCACAATGAGCCCGGTTTTATGACGGGATACAATCTCTCATGTGAACAAACAATCATAAAAGGGTAGAAAACACGTAAAGGCAGCTGACTTGCCATGTGTTCTTACTGTAACCTCATATTTGTCTCTTCCTTGGCTTGTAAAAGCTCAGAGAGCTGGAACTTTTCTCCGCCTCGGTCGGCGAAACGCTACATTCTAAAAGTCCTGATCTGATCCTCAGTCTCGAGAAACTCGTCTAACCAGCGTCAAACCTTCTGCTGTTTGACTTTTATTGCTCATAAAACAAATCTGCTGATACATTACAAATGTTCACAGGTCTTTGGTCATAGTTCAAAAACAGCTAATGTACGTGTTTGGATTTGTGATTGAAATGTCTGTGTTATGTACCTCAGGTCAGTATTGAGTACCTGAAAGATTCCAACATGCTGTTCATTGGTGGCCTGTTGGTGGCCATCGCAGTGGAGTACTGGAGCCTTCATAAGCGCATCGCTCTGCGAGTTCTGCTGGTGGTCGGCTTCCGCCCGGCCCTGTAAGGAGACGAGGAGACGGCCGCACCTTTGTTACAAGACGCAAACACAAAGACACAAAGATACAAATACCTGTGCTTCAACCATTTGACGAGACATTGTCATTGTTGTTGAAAAAAACGCTGTTAAGAGAGAAAATGACAGAATCAAGGAGCAAAACCCACAGTTTTATTCACCATCAAGCTGTTCTACTGGCGATCCTCCCATTAAACACCCTCTCACGCAGGTTGATGCTGGGCTTCATGGTCGTCTCGTCCCTCCTGTCCATGTGGATCAGCAACTCGGCCACCACAGCCATGATGCTGCCCATAGCGCAGGCCGTGCTGGAGCAGCTGAAGGCCACAGAGGCTCTGGCGGACCAGCGAGATTTACAGGCTGCAGCCGAGGAGAACCCCGCGTTTGAGCTGGAGAGCAGACAAACTAAAGAGGAAAAGGTGGAGGAGAAACAGCCAGACGACAACGTCCAGCTGGAGGAGGGAGAGGGTACGTAACAAAGTCTGCTGGCTACTACGACAACCTCCACGGTAACTTTAACCGACTATGTGCCCTAGATGACCATGAGCGGAGGGCGGACTCGCTGCAGGAGTCCCAGAGAAAAGCAAGGGAGGGGAAGTACCAGCACCTGACCAAAGGGATGAGTCTGTGTGTGTGTTACTCTGCCAGCATCGGAGGCACGGCGACGCTCACCGGCACGACCCCGAACCTCATCCTTAAGGGTCAGGTCGACGAGTAAGGCCTCGACAAACGGGAGATATTACTATTACTACAGCTGTTCTCTGCCCACCTCGCAGCCCTCTTACTCTCTCGTTTGTGTGAAGGCTCTTCCCAGGGAATGATGATGTCATCAACTTTGCCAGCTGGTTTGTCTTCGCTTTTCCCAACGCGGTGCTCATGCTGGTGTTTGCATTTCTCTGGCTTCAGTTTGTGTTCCTGGGCTTCAAGTAAGACATCGTATGCTTCGTATGTCAGAGCTAAACCTCGAGTTTAAAAAGTCTCATCAACATCATGTGGTATTTATTTCTTAATGCAGAAAAGTACTGAAACTGTCCATACGTTAAAGTGATCAGATTGGAAAAAAGGTCTGTTATGATAATAATTGCAGTTAAAAAGTCAGCGACTGATGGGTTTGATGTAAATACAGTTTACCAGCTCTACTAACGTCACACATGTTATCGTTGAGCCGATACCTCAGCTGTAGGAGGGTTTTTATGGTACAAGAGGCAGCAACAGCTCTTGTATTTGGGACAAATACAGCCAGTTGAGTTGAGACATTTTCTATGCTCAGGCAGTACGACTGTGACTTTCCGTTTTTTAATACGCTTCGATCTGACTCTATACAAACATGTATATATAGTACTTCCACTATGAAAGAAATCCATGATTTGTTCAACCTTTAATCCACACTTTATTAAGTTTATTTTTCCCAACCCGTGGCATGTTGGCACTTCGTACTTGTCTCCTCAGCGTGAAGAAGTCCTTTGGCTGCTGCCTGAAAAGCAGCAGGGAAAAGGAGGCGTACGCGGTGATGAGGCAGGAGTACAACAAGCTGGGGCGCATGACGTTCGCCGAGTGGGCAGTGCTGACCATCTTCGTCCTGCTGATAGGCCTGTGGTTCACCAGGGAGCCGGGCTTCATTGACGGCTGGGCGACAGTGCTCTTCAATAAGGGGGGGCCGTGAGTCTTTTGCTTTTCTACTATTTGTTGTTTTTGTTATGTGACTTCAAACAGTACGCGGATGTTTTTTTTATATTGGCAACAAATCCAAAGAGAAGACCAAAATATGTGTATTGATCCATTGCCTGTGAGGCCAAAGTCTGATAGTAATACATTACTGTCTGATAACTAATAAAAACATATCAGGGAGACACATCGTTACAGGTCACATGCTCTTTAACCACAACTGTAAATATTCAGAACAACACATCTGCAGCTGGAATGAGTCCCAAACAAAATACATGTTGTTTTTCAGATTTGTGTCCGACGGAACCGTCGCTATCTTGATGTCGATGCTGTTCTTCGTCATCCCCTCCCAGATGCCCCGGTCCGGAGGCTACGGCAACGACAGCGAAGGTGAAATGATCTTTCCACTAACGACAAACAATACAAGGCCCTCGTTTTCGTGACCTAAATGTCCGCTCACTGCAACACTGGATGATTATTAGAGGAAATCACAATGCTTTTTCAAAACTAATTGCTTTTCCTGTTCCCACTTCATCTGGGTGTCACAGGTAAGCTGGTAAAAGCTCCCCCCGCTCTGCTGAACTGGCAGGTAGTCCACGAGCGGATGCCCTGGCACATCATCCTGCTGCTGGGAGGAGGCTTCGCTCTGGCTGCTGGAAGTGAGGTGAACACCCAGAGAGTCATCGCGCTGATTACGGGAAGTGGGGTTGTGCTCGGTGAGCCGCAGTCAGTGTGTCATCTGCAGTAGATGGCGAGCAACATTCCGCTATGGTTTGTTGAAAAATACACAGATGCAAAGCAATGCACTGCTGTTTAGAGGACTTTTGTAAAAATACGTTTGGGGTTGTAGTTTTCATTGGGCAAATATGCATTTATTTATCTTGTAAAAAGGATTCTGTTTACTGCCTTTTAAATGCCATTTCTGCCAAAAACTAATGTTTTCTGACAGGAGTCGGGTCTGTCCAAGTGGCTGGGAGAAAGCTTGGCACCTCTGCAGCAAATTCCTCCCTACGCCATCTCGCTGCTGCTCAGCATGCTGGTGGCCACATTCACAGAGTGCTCCAGCAACACGGCCACCACCACGCTGTTCCTGCCCATCCTGGCCTCAATGGTAAACAGAGGTCCACACACACACACACACACACACACACACACTCACCGCCTCTCCATGTATTGAACTGTGCTGTGTGACCCGGCTAGGCTGTAGCTATTAAGATACACCCGCTGTACGTGATGATCCCCTGCACCGTCGCTGCCAATCTGGCCTTCATGCTGCCCGTGGCCACACCGCCCAACGCCATCGCCTTCGCTTTTGGAAAACTCAAAGTCATGGACATGGTGAGGCTCGTACTCAGAATGCACAATTTATGTTACAGTCCTCTATACGAGCAAGGTGTAGAGGACTAAAGTGTAAATTACTTGTTATTTTAAGATTTTATTTTTAGAGTTTGTAATATCTCACTCTGAGATTGAAGCCTAAATAATTGGCTTTTTAGACTTTTAAAAGGCTTCAAACCTCCGGTGGACTTTTCCTCTTCTCATGCCGCAGGCTAATCCGAATGTCACTGTGTGATCCTCAGGTTAAAAGCGGCTTTGTGCTGAACATCATCGGGATATTGACCGTTAATTTAGCCATCAACACCTGGGGACACACTTTGTTTGACTTGGGAACCATACCTCATTGGGCCAACAGTACCAAGAGAAAACCCTGAGTGGGGGAAGACGGCGAGAGGGATACGGAAAACAGGAACGACACAGGATATTTTTTTTAAGAAACTAATCTTTTTGAAGGGTTTTTGACTTAGGCTACTTGTAAAGAACATCAATTCTATAATCAGACCATATGTATTTAGTACTTCGTATCATTTCAGTGACAGAACAAAACACATAAGCTTTCCCAGTACACACCTACTTGGTTGTGACGCCATCGTTTCGATCTATTCATCACACACAGAGGCCTCAAAGATGCAGTACGCTGAGGTATGACGTGTTACGAATGTGAAAATGAGTGGGAACTGAATTAATCGCATTAGTTGATTTAACTTATTATTGTGGTATTCTGTTGTTACTCTCTGTTCTATTGTTTCACATTTTATTTTTTATTATTGTACTTCTCGCATTGTTTTATGAACAAGTATTGCTTACGTTTGTTTTTCTAAATTATTCAAAGTAAAAGCAGAGAAGACATGCGCAACGTTCATAATTGCACCGCAATTGTGAAATTACAGCCAGCAGTTTATTTTACATTAGTATGAAATAAGGAATAAAGGGAACGCGTTGGCTTTGACTTATGTTAAACACTCACTAATTGACATGTTTGTTTAATGTGTACAGAAAGTGTAAAAATCTTATCTATCAAACTATTTATTTTCTGATTGAACAAACAAGATATCATGTTTTAACAATGAGCATTCTGGGTTCTGGTAGCTTGTTTGAAAAGGCTGTTTGAAGGTTAACTTTGAGATAAAAAACTGGCACAAGACGGTTGTGTTGGAGGTCAGTATCTACTGTAGTTGTTCCAGGTAAATGTTATATACTGTACATGGATGGGATGGTAACAACCACGTTTATGTACCAGAGCTATTTGTATTCTGAAGTATAAAATATCTCACTCACAAAATCAACAGTGGCAGTCGGATATTTTAAAAAGTTCCGTAAATCTTTATTTATTTTTGTTCACTCATACCGACATTTGAAAGGTCAAGATAAGTTCAAAACAATTTCTACATGAGTCACAATGAGTCAAAAATAAATCTGCTCTACTTATGTTACATTTTTTGACATATCAGTCCAATTTGAGCTCTTCATGTCTGTTCAATTATTGTTTCCTTTAAATCACCAACTTGTGCAGACTAATACAAAAGCAGATTCTCTTCACTTTGAGCCATTGACAATCTAAATGCATTCTTACCATTTTCCTGCGTTGACCTTAAGACACAACGGGTGCATAAATGTAAGTCACTCCAAACGAGCTGCGCTTCCTTGCCGACCGGACTCATCTCATATTTGCAAAAATAGTTTTTCTAGACGGGTGGATTTTACTGCTGGATCACAAAAAAACACTGAATCTATTTCTAGGTGCTTCAAATAGAAAAGTATATGCAGATATATGCAGCTGAATTAGAAGATCTATTTGGACCCTTTTTGCGTCTTGTGTCTCTGTACAGTCAGAGAGAACGACTGCACAATCCAAAGACACTGACTCTCTGCGTCATCGATTCCCTCAAATAACAACACGCTTAGGTCCTAACTTACAGGAACGTGTTTAAAATAAACAGAAAGAGACAGACATGTGCGAGAGGCAGAAATGAGACGAACAAGAAGTGGACTTAAGAAAAATGAAACAGACATTAGATTTCACACAAACAGAAATATATGAGATTTTAGGCGGATTTCTGCTACGTTCCCATCTTTTTCCTTTGCACAACACAAATCTGATTTAAACATATCAAGATTTAAAAAAAATAAAGTTCCCTCTGTTCCTTTATAATGCGCTTCCAAACAACAACAACAACAACAACTTCAACCTAACAAAATTGTTCAACAAGTTGTTTATGACCCAAACAAAACAACATCAGAGTGTAAAGTAGATCTAGTACATGACAAGTACCTATATGGTCATATCAGATTAGCTAATCTCAATCTACAGGTTTCCACTGAGTGTGTTCCGTAGACATGTTGTGCTATGAGCAAAGACAATAAACACATGCGCTCTACAGGTAACACACGTCGCACAACTCAAAACATAAATAAAGGAGTAAAGAAAACCGGTCTGATGAACACGTTTCAAAATCTATTTTACCGTAATAGAAACCAAATGACCACATTATTGACGTTTAAGTTAATATATTCTTACCAGACCATTAATCATGCTTCACCCTGACAGTTACACAAAATACACAGACATACAGACACACACACACTCCAAAAAGCTCACTTACTGAAACGGAGAGGAAGAATTGAAGTCACTAGAAATCACGTGTTTAAATGCAATATTTGTTCCTAAACCCTAAAACACAGCAATAGGAATAAAATAAAGTCTACTAATATTTGAAGATCGAGGTTTTAAAATGTTTTCACTTCACACGTTGGGCTAGAGAGGAGAAAAATCATCTCATATTTCCTAAGAAGTTGCTTGCTGGTTTATCATGTGAAAAAAAAAAAAAAACTTTGTTAGAGCAACCCCACGTGCTGTGAACACACACACACACACACACACACACACACACACACACACACACACACACACACACACACACACAGCGATTGACACGTTTGTGCGGCTGTTTTCTGGATTATCGCCTCCAGTGCACTCGAACCGCCGCCCAAAGATCAGTCCGTACGTCCGCCCGTCTCTTGTGGTCGACGTGTCCCCTCTACGTCCCGCCGTTGTACGAGTAGTCCGCCTTGTTGTGCATCACCAGCTTATTGTCCACAAAGTAGAAGCTGTCGGACTGCGTCTCGTACGGGTGCAAGACCATCTCTCTGACTGCGGGTCGACACAAAAACATCACTGCTGTCACACCACTGGTTCACCACCAAGGGTCCGAGATCCATTTGAATTGATCCATTTTTAAAATGAGTAAATGGGTAAGTTAGAATAACCAAACATTAGTTGTGTTCCTTTTAGCTTGTCAGCAGCACGTCAGGGATGGAAATGTTGGTCCACCACTTTGGTCCAAAGGTTTGAGACCTTTGGGGGGGGGGGGCGCTTTCATGGTGCTTTTTTGTGTGGCTTTTATGCTGTATATTGGGGGGGATAGATAGGTATTTGCGTGCTTTCGCCCTTGAATTAGTCCTACCAGTTATGGTAATGCCGAAACTTTCTTATAGCATCATCATGGGGGTCACTTTAGAGATGATTGGCTTGAAATGCGGTTGCTTTTAATAACTGTCTTAATATACCGACGTTTAATTTAGCGCCAATATCAGGTGTGTCACTTTGTCTCGTGCTCCGAAACAGACAAAAAACCTACGAGCACTTTGCACTAGTGGGCTCAGCGGAGAGGAGGCTCGTCCTGTCCTCCTAAAGGGGCAGTTCTCAGTGTACGAATGAATGGGTGTCAAGGGTGCCAATTAGCGAACGTTAGCACGCTAACACACTGAAGTGTGAAGGCGGCCGTGGTAAATGTTATACCTGCCGGTTACCATAGTTTTATTGTTACTATACTATTTTAGCATTTATCTCCACTGCTGCCTCACAAAGAACTCAAAGAACAGTCTTCTTGCTTGTGAAATACTATGAAAATAGTGCAAAGTGCAAAAGAAAAAGCGTATCGACAGCAGTTTTGTTAATTGAGTAAATATTGTGAAGCAGAAAACATTGTCTTACTGATGTCTTCAGACAGAGGTGGAAATTCGTAGATGTGTTCACAGGTGTTTTTGCTGCTCGGCATGCAGAAGCCAAACTCAAAGTCGAAGCTCTTGAGCAACTTCTCTCTGAAATAATGTCTCTCAATCATCCTGAAGTTTTCTATCGGCTTGTCTCCAACCGTGAACTCCACACTGCAGTGACAAAGGCAGACAAACAGGCGAAGATGAAAGAGGCAGAGGAGTCATCCTTATGAATAAAGATTCACACGGTCGCTCTTACGTGGCTCCAACTTGGCGCAGTCGGAGGAAAGCGGGGGTGAACTGGTAACGGACAAACCGGCCAGCGTTCGGGTCGACATCCCTCTTCTCTCCTGCTTTGTCTAAATTCAGAATCAGTTTGTGCAGAACAGAAAACAGAATTAAATCAGATTAAACCTTTTAGGCTTGCATGCGAAACACACCGTATTAAACAATGTCAGTCGACCACAATGAGGGCCAAGTTTACATGTCAGTTAATGTCTGCACACAAAGACCATTTGCATTCGTTTGGTAGAAAGAGCATCAGAATTGTGGTTTTGTAGAGAGTGGATGGGTTTGTTTAGTCAATGTGTGTGATTCACTGCAAATATTTCCATGGTGCATGGAGGTAAAGTGAAAGGAATACGTCAGGGACTCGCCTGCGGCTGGAGGTTTGGTGATTTCAAACAGCACCGTGGCGGTTTCCATGTCTCTGATCCTGAACCTGGTGAAGTCAATGTTGAAAATGTTCTCGTCCGGGCTGCAAAGATAATCTGGAAAGAGAGAGCAAGCGTGAGTGAGGGGGAGAGACAGAAAAATAATAGAAAGAGAAATGAAGAAAAATATATGACACTTACACAAAGGATGCACTTTGAGAGCAAAACGTGTTCAAAGAGTTGAGGATTAAAAAAAATAACGGTTTGATCGGTCTTAGATCAGATATTTAAGTAATTCAATGATATTAGCTCTGAAACTCACATATTCTAATGGCACCAGGACTTTACTATATAAAAGTACCTACCTTTATAGGTCAATTTTATTCATTATAGAAGCTAAATTCCTTGTATGTGTGAAGTACTTGGTTTTTGTTTTAAGATATTACGTACATCACTGAAATCACTTCTGAAAATAACTGACATCAATCTTAACTTTTTTTGAGGAGCCATTTCCTCACAAATGGGACACGGCAGGCACACAAACACACACTCGCAGACACACACATGCACCCAGTAAGAAAGAGACACAAGTTATTTAGATTCTTCTAATCCTTCCTGCACAGTGTCACCTATTATTAGCGTTTCCCAGCGCAGCAGACGCTTCCTGCCTGATCCGAATGACTTTGCAGGCCGACACGTGTAACTTCAACATCTCTCCATTATCTCCACGCAGGTTCCACAAAGCTCACAGGGAGGACAAATACGCCCGCAATTCATTTGGGATTTCAGAGAATTGGGGCGTTGTAAGTGTGATTACGAGTCAACAGGTCTGCAGTTGCCTCACAGTGGGGCCGCATCGTTCTACTCAGAGAGGAACAACAGTGTAGACATGGAGGTCTACCGGTACGGAGAACTTAAGGGATCGCTTGTGGATAACGTAATCATTAATGACGGGAGCTCAGGCCGTCCGAACAACCCACCAGCTGTTCACTACGAAGCATCCACAGCTTCCCACCAAAATAAACATGACGATATAATGACGTCCTGACTCTGCATCTCACGCAGGTCTGTTTTTCTTTATTTTAATAAATATACGACACATTTTGCTAATTTGGTTCAGTCAGTATTTAACTTTTGGTACATTTAAAGAAATACGTTTTCTGTTGAGGCTCCAGTAGATTTTGTCCGGCATTTAGTTAAGTTGATGGGTGAGAAAAAAAACGTGATCACCAGCAAATACATCACGCTCACAACAACTCTGTAAAGTAAGAATGATATGAAAGGGATCCTTTTTGGGGACATACACTGACAGCTCAATGTGTAAAAAAAAAAAAATACAGTAGTTTTTTAAATACACAAATCAAAATTAAGTAAATAAAAATGCTTTAACTACTCTCAAACCACTTTAAAAAAAATGTTGGTTATGATTCCAACAATGTGCAACTTGAAGTGTTGATTAGTTGTAGTTCAGTGAAATGTAAATTAGCCTTTTCTCTGGTCAGCACCTTTTAGGAGGAAAGTGTTGTCATTTACTCGCATTGTCACCAAGCTGGAGCTTTTGCAGTCTGAATGCGGATTATTTATACAATCACTTCCCCTCTTGGATTATTTACGATGCTCCCTCCGTGGGATCTCTCACGTCTGTGTGTTCATGCCGCAGCGGAGAAACAGAAGCCGAAGTCCCGGCGTGCCGTCGACTCGTTCCTTCCTGACGGAGCAGATCTGATCCGTTGTGACGCTCTGATGCCTTTGCTCCTCTGTCAGTCTGAACGCTGAGGTCGGCTCTTCTCAACACATCAGCTCAGGCACCACACACACACACACACACACACAACGGTTTGTGTGTGTACTGGTGTAAAAGTTACCTTTCTGCCTGATAATGTACCAAGTACGAGTTTGAATGAGAGAGTTGTGTCCGTTTGCGTTCACTTTGTCTTTTCAAAACCGGGGTTGTTTGTTGTTAATCACACACAGTCTATGACCTTGTGTCACACACACAAACAAACGCACACCTGAGGATAACTTGCTGCTAGGAGCTGATGAAGACTCTGTTCATCCCCATTAGCTGATGAAGGACAGAACCCGTCTTGAGCCTTCTGTGTGTCCCTGTGTGTGTCGCTGTGTCTCATACAACCAGAAGCCACCCTTGTGAATTTATAGTGTTTGGTGAAGTCGAAAGAGGAAACACAATAAGACGGCACAAACTCTGCAGCAGCTGGAAAACAGGAACCGTGTCTGCAAACCGCTTCTTCGAACTTGAACATCAGCCGTTTAAAATGTCACGTGTCCTCATCACAGGACTAATGCGTCAACCTCAAAATCCAATACTTTCACTTGTAGTCACGTCTTGTATGAGCACGCCATGTCGGATGGGTGTAGTAAAATGTTTTCAGGGGATTTTTTTCTGTTGAAAATGAACATAAGTGTTTTCTCTACCACTATATATGGGAGTTTTCTTAATAACTGGTTTGAAGTGTGTTAAAGAAACACGTAAAGATGTCTCAAAGTCTCAACGAGTGTTTGCCGCAGTGTTACACGGCATTATTGTTCAACCGGCCCTCAAGTTCACACCTTAAACAGGCTCACTGTTCAAGACGCACGGCACAACATGGCCTAGATTCAACCAAAGTAAACAATTCTGAGCTTGTTTTAGCAGTTCACCCAGATAACGCTGGGACGGGACAGATGCAATGAAGAACATTTAACAACCATCTGCAAAACAGTTCAATTGCGAGCGTGTTTGCGAGCAGCCTCTCAGACTTCTCTGCAACACAGCCATCTTCTGCTGGACCTCTGACACTCATAAAGTGTAGAAGACATGCACACCGGCGTGCGGGTTTGAATACCGACCTGGATTTACCTGCTTGGGAGCACACGGAGGTCACGAGCCAGTGAGTGACGGACTCATTGTCCCGTGGGCGACTCTGTGCCCTTCTCTAATCTTGTAACCCCGTTTTTATTAGCTCAGCTATTTCGACAAGCAGATTGGTTTCATTTCCTGCCGCCACATTACTTACTTGAGAGTACGGAGCAATTAACCGCATCGGCTCTGCTGCAGCACGCTGCTAAAAGAGCACGAGGCGACAGGTCTGCAGGTCTACGGTGTTTTTTTGAGATCTGAGAACAGAGCTTGTGAGTTGTAAACTGAACATATTCTCACGGATAACCACTCTGCTTCCTCACCACAGCCCTCGCAGGGCCACAGGCGAGTTCACACACAGTTCGGTTTCATCAGTCCTCTACCTCCATCATTATCAACATTTGATTTATTGTTTTTTCCAAACAGTTCCAATATATTTCTTTTTTATTTTCAAAATATTAAATTACTAATATGAACTCATATAAGCGTGTTATTTGAGCTCAATTTGCAAACATTGGCTGGTTATACCTTCCAAAATGTGAGCAAATACAGCTTTTCTCTGTTTTGTAATGTAAATCGAGTAAAAAAATGTAGCTATATTTTTTACGGTTTGTGACAGTTATTAACAAAGTTAGGGTCAGCACAAACAATACCGTTGCATGATTCATTTTTTGAAATTGTTCAGTGTTTATAAAAAAAAAAATCAAATTCACATTTATCAAAAGCAGCAATCAGAAAATGATTGACATGGTTTGAAATTAATGAATCTTTCATCAAAAAAATTACTGAACACACACACTTTTCATCTGAAAAGAGAGAAGACGACTAAAACGGGGGACTACAGGAGAGTCCTTGTTGCAAATCTTGCAGTTTGTGATGGACTCGGAAGATTAAGATTGAGTTTGAGTTTGGATCAGATCAGTCAACTGAGCAGAAAGCCCGCTACATCTACGCCAGATCTTAATCAATCTCATCATTGCTGGAGCAGAAAATGATTCTCAACAACTTTATGCAAGCTGAAAATTACTTTTCTGAGAACCAAACACAAAATGGAAGTTTCTTCTCCTGTGAAATGTCTACAGCTCAAAAACAACAACGTTTTTGACCCACGACTGTTGTCAAGGATAACTGAACTCCGAGTTTGGTCAAATGTGCACCATGCCACTTCGGGAGGGAATCTATTTCAGCCACCTGAGAATGAGCAGCAGCAGGAGACCAGAGACAAACGAGTCACAACACAACAGAGGGGCTGCAGTGGCTTTCTTCAAGCTGCTTCTTGCTTTGTTTAACCGCCACAAGCAAGTGGGAGTTTGTCCGATTCGTCTCATCCATTAAGTGACAGCATGTTTACTGGCGAAGCAGAGGAGAAGAGAGGAGGAAAGTAAAGGAGGAAATGTGTAGGAGAACACAGATGCGTGTTCCAACGGCTGTAACCACAGGGAGACGCTTCACGTTGCCGTGGTGATTCAAGCGTGTATCTGCGTTGCTGTGGTGATTCACACACGCGTCCCATTGCCTTCAGTGACGGCTCTGCGAGATAGAAAAGCGAGAGGTTCCGAGACCATAATAAGTTCAGCGTGGGAGACGGAATCATTACGACGTGGCTGTCGCTGTGCAGCTGGACCGCGATCCCACACACAGGCTCACGAGCGGCAATCAGACATGTGAAAACACAAAAAAGACACACACTCGTGGGTAACACATGCATAAAAGAACGTTAGGGTGGACGAGCACGGCCTCACGGCACATCACGTACTTCCTGCATTGTCACAAATGTAACAGTAAGAAAAAAGGCTAAAATGATGACAAGTAGGAATTAAGGAAGCTTTGTTCACCGCAGAAGAGACGGTTGTGCGGCTTCTTATCTCACTGTGACACATGAAAAGCTACCGACTCGTCCGTTCAACATGTGAGCCTGTTACAATAGCCGGAGAAAAATGAAGAGAAGATTTCTTTGCATGTTATCACACTCGGTCTATATCGTAACAGACCAATGTGACCGTGTTGTGTAAGTACTGTTCTTTAAATAGTTAAATGCCCTGCATGCACCTATTAGCTAACCACTGGTTTAAGACTTGAGTTGGTGATAAATGTAGCTGTTCTTTTGCACATAAGAGCTTCTTGGCGGCAATCGCTCCTCGTTTTCTCTATAAGAGGCTTGTTTGGGATTTAGAGCTGTGACATCATTTAAATGAAAGCAAATGAATGAAGCTTTGTAATTGTAACGTGATATATATGTTACTTTTTTTAACATGGTATTCAAAATGTAAAAGGCAGAAAATATTATTTAATCAAAGTTGTTTGTTCTAAGTTAGTTTTTTCATTAATTGAATGAAACACCGTGTATAAAGACTGAGCCTCAACTGATTTTACCGCTCAAATGATCAGCCACTGCAATATCATATATCATATGCTGCTGATCAAACTGCAAACTCCAGCTTTTTTTTCTTCTTTAGATATCTGCATTCCACACATTTAGAAAAATAGATTTAGACCACCAGCACTGCAGATATGACACCTGCGTGTTTTGACTCTCCGATCAGCTGAAAACTTTGGCACTGAACTGAAAGGTGAACTAATGTGAAGACGGCAGACATGCTGCTTAGCAGGATGACTCCTTGTTCACCCCACTTTCCTTCTACGCGGGAATAATGATCCTATTTGAGGGGATAAAATGTGAGTCATACACATGTTCAGCAACTTAACTGACATCTGCATTTGAGGAATCTTCCACCGACCACTTCTCTCAAACTCAAAGCACCACACCGGCGGGGTGAACATGGGCCTCGCTGACAGTGAGCAGGGAACCTGACATCACATCTGCAGCCAGGTTAACGTTTGCAACAGAGGTGGGTGGAGGAGGATGGGGGGTGTTGGGGTCCACTGATGCATCACCATGTGCTCGAATAGGGCCGAAGTAGATTACATAAATAAGCTCCGCAATAGCGTGACACACGACTCTGTTGGAACGCGTCAACATCTACTGTCCTCCTGCGCGTCACTCATCAGCCGGCGGGGGAACTTACTCTCCGTGATCTTCTGCAAGCCCAGAACATCCTCCGGAGTGACCCCCGAGCCGCCGAGCAGGTCCTCCTCCGTGGTCACCGGGACCCCCGCGTCGGTCGCGTTGCAGCCTTTCTTCACTTTCATCGCCGCGGTGTCCTGCGGGCTGCTGCTGCTGCTGCGGTCTGTGCCTCCGGTGTCTCTGCCCGGATTATCACCGGCGGGCTTCTTAGCGGCTGGCGGGTCCTGGCTGCTGCCTCTGCCGGTACAAGAAATAGCTCATTCTCCGCTCCTCTCCTCTTCCTCCTCTTCTCTCCCCCCTTCTCCAAACCCAGGGCTCCCAAGACACAAAACAGCGTCCTCCCTCCTTCGCCGAAGGGATGCACAAGTCGTTGTGTGTTATCCGGTGCTTAATTCAAATCCGCTTGGTCTCCCTGAGCCCGCAGCCCTCCTCTCAGCCGCAGACGGCTCGCGTGCAAAGCGGTCGCGCGGCTCTCGTCGGCTGAGCGCAAAATGCGGAAAGAGGGCTGATTTCTGCGCAGCTGCTTTTTTTTTCGAGACGCTATTTGAACAGCGGTCTGTGTGCGGGGAATATTCTGATGGTTTTGAAAGTGAAAAAGAGGCGGCAGATGGCAATTGCTGACAGGGGGGGGGGGGGCTCAGCGCCTGGTGCTTCTGCGCGCAATCTGTGCGGCAACCGTCAAAAGCACGCAATCAGGCTACACGACAAAGCCGCTGATAAACAAGCATTGTGTTTTACGGGATGTTTGTTCCCACGCGACCAAAAGGCAGCACGAACGTCGTTTAAGTGTTTCCGTTCTGCTTGAATAAAGACTTTTTATAGAAGTTTGTGGGAAATGAAGTCATTAAAGGATGTATCAGGTCAGAAAACTTCCGATGGTAAAAAGTTGAGTGTTTATACATCTACACAAGAAAAATACCTTTGTGTAAAATGGAAGATGGAAAAGATGATTTTAAATTGGAAGGATAATTGAGCTATTGGCAAAACCAATGTCAAAATTCCATTAACGTGTATGATACAAAATTATACAAAACAATAAGCATGTTGCCAATCTTAAAGGGGCTCAACGTGGAATTCATTTATGACGCCTCCGCGCGTCTCACGGCTTCCAACGTGAACTCAGTCTTCTTATTTTCACATGATTATACACTAGTGAAACCTGACATTTCTTCCAATGAAACCCCATCAATATTACACACTGTTACTTGAATGCAACTATAATAACAAGGGGAAGAGATATTTCATATGAATTGCTGCTCCACTACACTTAAAATAATAATAATAAAGAAAAGAATACGGGACTGGGTTGTCGTGCGGTACAGTTGGACCCAAATTACACACAGCTTACAAAGATACGAGGAAAGGTATTCACAAAGTTCTGCCTGAGCACAGATACAACAGCAACTGATGAGCGAGGCGTTGATGCGCTGCAGCTGTGCAGCTTGTAACAGGTGAATCTGCTTGGCGCCAATCAGGGAGCCAGAAACACGACCACGCCCACACGGTCCGACACGAGCAACAAGGGACTGAAATGGCAGACTTTAATCTAAGTTGTGTTTTTTTTATACTGTGTTATTGCTGCATTCACTTCATTACCAATCGCCGGGGTGGCAATCAGCTCCGTGAAAATGACCCAAATTTGATCTGAAATATCTGTAGTATAATTCACCAAACATAGATTGAAAGATTCTGCTCTAATTGGGTTTTGTAGCCTTTGGGTTTAAAGTTGGTGCTGCAAAACAATCACAACTGCCGTACTGGGAAACAAGGAATCGTCAAGGCCAGTGATGGTAATTTGGCCCTAGAGAGCAGAATGGAAACAACTCTGTGAGGTATTAATCCTATTTCTGTCTCTCTCACTGATGCATGTAAGTCCCTACATGACTCACTGGAGATCTCCGTCACACATGACTATCCATCACAGTGATAATAACGGTGCCGAACCAACTGCACCTGCAGCTAACAGCACCGCAACAACAAAGACTGTGTGGAGACAAACGGGCCTAAATATTCAGTGTGTGGAGATTTCGTGTCACGGATGAACACTTTTTGCAGCTAACGTTTGTGTTTCCACACTTGGCGCTGAACGGATTGACGGGGTTTATGTGGAAGTATTGCACCCTAGAGGCAGCCTGGTTTGGTGTTGGGCTTTTAATGTGTTGCTGAGGGATAAAGTTAACATTTCATACTGTGTCTGTTGTTTCCCTCGACCCACAGCTATTTCGTTCAAGCAAGTCAGGAAATAATTGTTGCTTTTGTTTGTACGCGCACCAAAACTTTAGTATTCAATTGTAGTTAGTTAACAAAAACGATGCTTCAAAAAAGTAATGATTTACTTTGCAGTTTTACAACTGCATTATGTTTGACTGTCTTTTGTGTGTTCGGTTCATATTCTCTGTTTGTACGTGGAAAATATTTTTTAAAACCAGACAAATTCCGTGTATTCGCACATTTTGTTGTGTGCACTAAGAGTCGTCCATATGGTCACTATGGGCTCTTTACATCACGCTGCTGAGTTTGCTCGTTTCTTTGTCAAGTCTGAGCTGCTGCTGCTGCTATCATCAGCAGAAACAGACACGCACGCACGCACGCACACCGTGGTGTTTTTATGGCTTTTGAGGATATTACCTTGATTCTCATTCAGGAGACTTACTCTAACAATAACTGTTACCAGCCTAATCCTAAAAGTTACCTAAAACATCACCGTAAACAACCTCGACCCTGATGTGTAATGATTCATATTATGGGGACGTGAATAGATGCTGCACTCAAACACATAATATCCCCCCAAAAAGATATATATTATCAGGAATGTTCTCATAAAAGCATTATTGCTGTTTTATTTTAGCTCTCTCACTCTGTTTTGTAGACTCAATCGGAGAATTCTATCACACCCACATGCACGCAGACTGAGCGTCTGGGTAATGTGCTGACCCCAGTAAGCCACTCCTAAATTTGTATTGTCCTGCTAGAGGAGAGAGGAGGGAGGACGCACCAGCTGCTGTCTCTGTGTTTTGTGCGCTCTCTGATTTTAATGACTTTAATGACAAAATAAATGATGCAGTGAAACACTGTAAAATGCATCTTTTGATTCAGATGTTTGGAATAAATTCAACACTGTGTGTGTGTGTGTGTGTGTGTGGCTTGATGGGAGGATTACATGGTTCAGATCAATCAGCAGTAAAATGAGTTAAGTTTGACTTCTTTCATTCATTCCAATACCTGAACATTTCCCCCGTGTTCCTGCTGCTGCTGGAGCCAATGTGACCTTTCTGTTGCTGCAACTGCCCCATGCCCGCCATCATTGTTGATTTATTTATTTGGTCAGTTTTTGCAATAAATAGCAACATTTATAACTCACAGCAGAGTGAAAACGGGACAACTTTGTCGACGGCGACGTTGAATCAGTCTGAACACCAAACACACGATGGTAGCGATGGTCACCTGCCTTCTGTTCCAACTCTACTCTGCTTTCAATCTGATCCCAATGACGTGGATTTTCTTTTGAATGATCCATAAAAGGTCTTGATTAGATTCTAACACGGAAGCCATCTTCACGTTTCAAATCCTGTTTTGATGTCATTGATCCGTTTTTTTACAGAAGTCATGAGAATTGATGGTCAAGTTTCAGGAAATTAGATTACTTGTACTGTTAAAAGCATTTTCCAATTAGTCAACACACGGGGAGACAAACAATTGATCGGGTCTTGACAAACAAATTAAGGACACGTGTAATAATGGATACCGGAGGTCAGTCAGAGCGAGACAAACTCACTACGTCAAACAGTAACAAACGGATACAAAATCTGAATACTGCGCAACAATAATCTGAATAATGCAAAAACAAAAACCTATGTGCAACACAGAAAGTAACTATAAAAGTATGTTCAGATATTTTTGTTAAAGATGGATAATTTTTTAATCTCCTGATAATATTTAAAGTGTCAAGTTTAATCCATGTAAATGTATAATCATTTTATGCTTTGACTTCGGCTAACTGACTTATGGTTGATTAATATAGAATATATGCTCTTATTAGGTGTTCTTCAACCGTTGTGCAATTCATTACATGTACATTTCATGTACATGGACATTTCTTAAAATCAAAATTTTCAATATGATGACAAAAGACAATAAAACGTGTGATTTTATTTCAATTTATAAATCAAAAGTTTCCAAAAGACGTTTGAGTGTAAATTATTACAAAAACTGGACAATGAGTCAAGATTGATTTAAAAAAAAAAAGAAAATACATATATATATATGTTATATATATACATACTTGTGGTTAAACTACCCTGATACATGTACCACATGGCAGTATATACATGTTCCCTCTTTGTTTGCATGAATCCCTATGCGTCATGTTTTAACCCCTCTGTGGTTCACCCAACAAAACAATTGAGTCCAAAGCAAAGTGCTGACTGGGTCATGTCGCCCCCCCTGTCACCCGCGGGTGTATAAATACGCCCACACACACCTTCTCTGCAGACCGTTCAGTGGAACCCTGCGACACACAGTTCACCAGTTTGGGTAGGTCGAGCCAGTTAACAATACCGTACAGTTTACCAATCTATGGACATGATGTAGTAAAGGGTCTCTGATGCACTTCATTATCTTTAAGTAATGAGGAGGCTTAATTGGGTGCAATGAAGAAATGGTGCGATCAATTTTTACGGCAAGGACAGGAAATAGATGTTTAGGCTTATTTGAGAAACCCAGGAGTTAAATATGCATGACAATTAACAGCGAGGTACACGTAGTGAGCAATCGGAGTAATAGACTGTTTATTACACCGGTTTCTTTTTTAACTTTTGTCTTTTGTCCATCTGTGTTTTTCCCCACAGGTACTATTGAAAAACCAGACAAAATGGCTCAGACAAACCCCATGCCCATGGGCCCGTGGAAGGTGAGCGTTTGGTGTATTTAACATTACATTGCACCACCAGCTCAGGAACTGGGACTAGTTTCAAATGTTAGCTGTTCTTTTTAGAACTAATCTGTTTCAATCACCTTCATTCATCAGCTTTCGATGTCCTCTGTGTTTTGCAGATCACCGTGTACGACCAGGAGCACTTCCAGGGACGGCGCATGGAGTTCACCGCCAGCTGCCAGAACATCATGGAGTGTGGGATGGAGAACATCCGCTCCCTGAAGATCGAGTGTGGCGCGTACGTACCCCCCCCTCTCTCTTCATTTAAAAAGAGCTGATTCCCAAAACAAAATGGACCAACATTCTGAGATACTGAACTTGTACGGATTTTTGATTTGCTTGGTTTGTGACATTGCTATTTGCACGTTGTCCTTGCAGCTGGGTGGGCTATGAGCACTCTAGCTTCTGCGGCCAGCAGTTTGTCCTGGAGAAAGGAGACTACCCCCGCTTTGAGGCCTACAGCGGCAGCAACTCCTACCGCATTGAGAGGATGATCTCCTTCAGGCCCATCTGCTGTGCTGTAAGCCCAACACTCTGCACAGTAACAGACCCGTAGCACACACTTCTGTTTTAGGGCCAAGCCTGCATCTCAAGTTGTGCAAAACCTTGTCTCTCTCCTTGTTTTTGCACAGAACCACAAGGAGTCCCGCATGACCATCTTTGAGATGGAGAACATGACGGGTCGTCAGTTCGATCTGTGCGATGACTACCCCTCCCTGCAGGCCATGGGCTGGATGAACAACGAGGTCGGATCCATGCACATCAAGAGCGGAGCGTAAGTCCATCTTCACCGTGTTTAATCTGAAGCCTCACACACTTCTGCTTTGAGCACCTTTGGCTCCTTAGAGAGCTGCGTGTATTCTGATTATTTAGATGATTGCATTTAATGAGTGTGTTTTCTTTTGGCTTCTGCAGCTTCGTGTGCTACCAGTACCCTGGTTACCGCGGCTACCAGTACATCATGGAGTGTGACTGTCGTGGAGGAGAGTACAAGTGCTACCGGGAGTTTGGCTCCCACTCCCAGACTCCCCAGATTCAGTCCATCAGGAGGATCCAGCACTGAGAAGGGAAATGCTTCCATCACACTTTCTCATCTCCTCCTCTTGCACTTCATTCCCTCCTTTCCTTCCTCCTCCCCATCCTCCATCTCCCGGTCCTGCTAATCAAAGCAGGATACCAGGATGGACTTCAGGTGCTTACTGGTGTCAGTTGATCACAGCACTTTGATATTTTTTAAAGAAACAACCCAAAATAAAGGAATGATGTAAGAAAGACAGAAAAAAAGGAATGACAGAAATGAAAGAAAAAGCTGAATCATTGCAAAAGAGAGGCCTCATCTGCTGGGGTTGACTGCAGAACGGCAAAAAAAGTATTTGCTCTTTTTCACCTCCACCATTGATGGCATTATCATCGTCGTCATCATCATCATCATTGTCTTCCACATCAACACCATCACCAGTCTGGCTGTGATATTGTGATTTCCATGACTGCCTGTGATGATGAATAAAGAGAACGAGCAAAGAAACCGAGAGATTCACAATTCGAGTGACGTGTGTCGTCTCCCTATACTAACATGTTGACACCACTGCTGAGCAACAAAGCTCAAAGAATATAATATGCCGATATGAGACAAAGGTCTGAGTGAGATTAAATCACTGGAGTTTCACAATTCCACATTAATTAGTTGTGGTCTCAATGTTTGTAAATATCAAAATACAGCAGGCTGACATTTGGGGAAATTACTATGAAATGGTGCAAAGAATATGTGCAATATTCCCATTTAATTAAATGATGGAACCACAAAAAACAAAATTAGCACCATAGGTTGAATATTTCAGAAAAAAAACATAGTTCGCTGGAGAGCTGGAACACATTTATCCAAAATATATAAAAAGTCCAACTGGAATGAGATGATTTTAAAAAGCCATGGAGTCTTCTGAGTGCAACTGGGATCGGCTCAATAGTCTGAAACATCCGGCAAAAAAATGTTCAGGGAACAAAGTTGACGAATGGGTTACACAAAAGAATAGATTAAAATGACCCCTGTTGTGTGTTGACCTCAGACCGCCTCTCATCCCAACTATTGAGGAATAATATCCAGAAAAAAGCCTTTTTGGTTTGGTCCTTGCTCCACAGCTTATACCCGAGCAGGGAACGTGTCATATACCATTTGTAAATTACAGTGGCAATAATACTTGTGTTTTCTAACAATTGTGAAAATTAGCAGTAGGCATTTTTACTTGGGTATTTCTGCTACTCATGTAAAGGAGCCGTCACCATAATGGAGCAAACCGAGCAAACCAAAACCCAACGCTAGTCCACCGATGAGCGTATTTCAATCATTAATTAATGAGCCCTTTAGGCCTTCGCTACAGTGCTTCTCATTGTGACCCTCGGGATAACGTTGAGTGGGCAGCGACGATGAGAGGCCCATTGACTGGGTTCCATCAGCGGTGCGCTTGCGGCCAGAGACCACCAGAGGACGCCGCTCTCCTTACACGTCCACGCGGTGCTGTGGCGCGAAGCAGAATTTGCGACAGTCGTTTCTTCTTTACGGCTGATGATGACATGTCAACAAAAAACATGGCAACCAGCAGCAACTATTGGGAAGGTAAATTATTGTTGCAGCATTTAGTTTTTCAAACAACTGAGCCTATATGCATATTGTATGTGTTCTTCATCGATTCAGATTAAAAGCGTTAAAGTGTCCCGTAAAACGTTACGACGATCGTCTCTTTACCCGCGCTGATATTTAGATGTTTGTGATTTAGCTGGTTAAGCTAACATGTTAGCATGTTTGACGTGGAGCCCTAAAAAGTTGACGTTATTAAATGTTGTCAATGATTAACACTCATACTGTTTCTCAGGTGTAGCGAAAGACTCATTTTAGCCGATGGTTAAATGGTTTAAGAGTTTGTGTGACTTAAATTGACAGTTTGACGCTAGATATAAAAACGTTGTTTATAAGCAGAAATCCAGCAGTGTTGACAGTATAAAAAAAGTACTTTTTAAACTTTTTTAGGGGATATGTTTGCATCTACTGTCTTTTATATTTTATTAATAAATCAATAAACTCATTAACAAAACAATGTTCACCACTGCTTTCATGTTCTGATTGGAGGACTCACATAAACTGTAGTCTTAATCCTCCTGAAAGGTAAATTACAATTATGTGCAGATTTAATCCTTTAATCACTTCTAACGTATTTTTGCTAAATTCAACATTTTACTTAAAAGTGAGTGTCCCTTTGGCACCCGATGTCCCCTGTATTGTTTCATTCGTTCAAACAAACACAACTTTACCCCTAAAAACAAAATACATTACCAACATCCAGTCAGTCTGATGTGTGGATGGAGGGGGGCGGTTGTGCCGTTTAGAAGATGCCTCATATCTTGTCTCCTTCTCATTGCTCATCTTCATCATTTTTTTAACTGTTTTAATTTTGCTGTTATTTTTTCTGCTTCTGTGTTGGAATATTAACTTTGATTGTTTTCCCGTCTCTTCACTCAGATTTGCGTAAACAGGCCAGACAGCTGGAGAATGAGCTGGACCTCAAGCTGGTGTCCTTCAGTAAGCTCTGCACCAGCTACAGCAGCAGCAGCAACCGGGACCAGCGGTCAAGAGACAGCAGGTCATTTCCAACTAACAAAAAACACATGGTTCTGTATTTAACAAACTATTGCGTTTACATTTAACGCATGACAATAACGGATGTTACTGTTGAGCAAAATAATTGGTTGGCCGGTTACTGATCCAATGGATTGTATTCCCTTCTAGTATATGAATTGGTACGGAATCTTTTTCACTTTACTTGCTCTGGTCTGCAAACTGTACTATATTCTGAATAACAAAATCAATTTGTCCTTTCGCTTTCTTTTTTTAAACCAGGTCTGATTCTGTTGGCTCATCCCAAGACATGCTTGTTTCCATGACAACTGAGCTGGAGCAATTATTGGCCAATGTAAGTCAAACATTACCACTAATAGCTAAAGAGATTTTAGGATCCTCTTCACAAACAGCTGTTGTGATGGAATTGATGTGATGCCCATTGATTTATAATAGATGCTCTGCAACATAAAAAAGCCAAACAAAGCTCAATGTGTTATCCTGTGGTTTGATAGGCTAAATAAACTGCAATTTATGTTCAAATGTAGTCCAATTAACCTCACTTGTTTTTAGGATTCCCCACCACAAAATAATTGTGTTTATGGCTACTTGATTGCATTTTAACTTTTTATTTGCAGCTCACTGCAGTCAATGACAAAATGGCAGAATACACAAACAGTCCAGGGGCTTCATCACACAATGCAGCGTTGATGCACACCTTACAGAGACACAGAGACATCTTACAGGTACATATGAGTACTTTCCACTTCACTTTCTCATGCTGAAAAGGGTTTCAGCTCCACCTGTGAGTTGTTTTCACTTACTTCTCTATATGTTCAAGAAGAAAGATTTTGTTTAAATTGTAATACATTTAGCCTATTGGGGATTTTTCTTCTCCCCACAGGACTATACTCTTGAGCTCCACAAAACCAAGAGCAACTTCTTCAGCCTGCGAGAGCGAGAGGATCTACTAGGCTCTATTCACAGAGACATTGAGTAAGCAACTTAAAGCAGCACTTAACAAACAAACATAGTGCATAATGTCCATAATTACAGTATCATCTTCTCATTCTCTTCTCATTTTAGCCATAACATTGCAGTTGTGCTGGACACCTTTGTGTTATAGACAGGAACTGCTAATGAAAGATTAGCTGTACCTCTCCTAATTTCACTGACTGGATTTGATGTCTTACTTTACAATGTCAATATTAACATTATTACCTGCCTATTATCAGGAAATAGGGGATAAGTCCATGTGGTAGGTTCCCATTGTAATAGAGATTTGATCATATAGCTAGTTTGGGGATCTTGAAATCATTGAAACTATTAATCATTTAATTAAAACGGCAATCAACTGATAATTTCAGCTCTAAAAATGATGCTTTATGGAAGTGCCACGCTAAATCACTGCATGGACTCTCTTACATCTACTAGCTCAGGTGCTTCCATCACTGTGCTCCGTTAACCAGGAGGAGGCAGACATTTCCACTTTGATGCTACATCAAATCCCACCCTTTTTATAATCCACACTCCTACTCATGTTTCATCTACCAATAAGAGCCACCGTCCTCTTTCGCTCTCTCTCTCTCTCTCTCTCTAGAGATTTCTTTCCTAAGTGCCTTCTACAGTAAATCAAACCGCAAGGCTTTTATTCAGCGAGAGAGAGACAGACAGACAGACAGACAGAGAGAGAGAGAGATTTCTGTTCTGATGTTGAATGATTACAGTCCATTTTAATTATTCCCATAGCCGAGGTGAGAGGTATGAGGGAGGAGATGCTGCTGTAAATAAGAGACGCAGGACAGAGTTGTCGGCTATGCAAAGTTAATCCCTTAAAAGCCTTAACACAGGAAGTACATAATCAGCATCCAGGCATCAGTTAATAGGCGGGAGTGAATTATCCTTTCAGACTAAAGACTTGTTTTGGGTGCCGATTTCTTCTGTTCCCAAATTGCAAAACTGCTTCCAGGATAATGTTCGCTTAAGGTTGCAAACAGATGAACTCTGACATGACACATTCGCGTTTCCCTTAGGATGAATTGTTTTCCCTTTTTGATTGAGCACCATTGTCTCATAGATTATTTTTTATTAAATACATACAAATTATATTTCCATCCACCTCAGCTGCATTTGTGTGCTATCTAAGACGGTAAACAAACCTGCTGCAGATCTGCATGTTAGCATCGTCATGCCCGAATGCAGACGGACAGATTTCACCTGTAATCCGCTTCTTTACTGTTCCTGTCAAATAATGGCAAAAATGGACCCCAAAAAGTGTTTCATTTGGTTCATCCTGTCACTATTGGTCAACCCAAGTCCCCTTCATTGAAGGTTTCCGTCTCTTCTGTTTCTCCTTCTCAGGTCTTACAAGAGCAGCGCAGGAGTAAATAACAGAAAGACGGAGCTCATCCTGAAGGAACATGAACATCTCAGAAAGTGAGTCATTTCTTTAAAAAAGAAACACACAAACTAAAAGCACTATGTAATTATTGAGGTATTATTATTAAATATTTAGTGTGCATCATGTAGAGTTCTAACCTGTGTAGCCTTTTGTTTCAGAAGCAGCTTGTGAGAGTAGTTGAGAAAGTTGTTGGGTTATCGGTGACTGAGTGGGCAGTGGTGTGTATGTGTGTGTGTGTGTGTGTGTGTGTGTGTGTGTGTGTGGTGACGTCTCCATGCACATACGCATGTTAATCCTTTAAACAATATGGTTATAATCACATTTCCTGGTGGCTGATAATAGACTTCTCAGGCCCTTCGTCGTGAATGCATGAATGAATGAATTAAGTAGAGGAAGATAAACAAAAAAGAGAGAAGTTAAACAGGAGACGCGGTGAGGAAAATGTTTCCAAATTAAATTGTGTTGTGGAACCGTGCAGCCACAAAATAGTTTTTCTGGCCTGGATCTGACTCCATTAATTGCCGATGCAGAGTCCTACTTATATCTGACACGCGGATATAATATAATATCAGAGTAGTTGTTGATTTCATCAAATCACGTTAAGCATTTTGCAAAACTCTGTGTCACCTGATGGTGCATACTGAATTTTGGGAGTTTCTTGATGGACTAAAATAGAGATTTTGTCACTAGAGGACTAATCCCGATGAAGTTGATGATACTTAGATTTTTCATCATTGATTTTATTTTTCCTCCAATGCTTTGATTCAATCAATACCATGGATTTAATCTCTTTATTCACTGAGATACTGAAAAACTACACAACTACACCTCCATATTGATCCAATTGAAAGAAGTGCAGCAAATAAATCAGTCGACTTGTAACAGTACACAGCTCAGCTGACTGTGTAAACACAAACATATATATATATGGATGTATCACATCACACAAATAGAAATCTGGCTCCACCGGCTCCGGTATCTAAACATGAGTTATGAACCAGAAATGCAGAAGTGCTCAGTGCTACAAACCTTCCAGCGGTGTGAGACGCAGAGACCCCCCTGCAGGGGCTCCACTGCGCTGCATGAGTTACCAGCACTGCACTGGGATCACGTTCCCGCTTCAGAAATAGAGAAAACGAACAAGCGATTTAATACGAGCTCCCTTCCAGTAGATGTTTGGAAGCTGTTCAGCGTATGTTGAGAACTTTGTGTAAAACCTTCTGTGGCTCTAAAGGAAGCAGCACTATTAGCTGACTATTGACTATTAGCTTGTGGTGAATATTACGAGTTAAAACAAATGAAGGTCACCAGATATCTTAAACACAACACACCTCGAATTCATCTTCTGGGGACCATGAATGTCTGTACACGACTCCGTGGACATTTGAATGTGACCATTATCACAGATCTGTATTTTTGCCTTTTTAAAGCATCTGGGTCCTGTAGTGCTGTAGTTTAGTTGCGCTACATCCTCATGAAAGAAGTTTTTTTCTGTTCAGTTGCCTGATGTTTTAATTAATCAGACTTCTGATCATTCCTTATGCGCTCCTTTCATATATAGAAAGCTGATCTGATCTAAAGCATGAATTGGTCATTAGTTATTCTTTGTTGAAGGATTTCCATTATGACACACAGCTTTTAGCTGAGTGGTTCCTAATCTTTCAGGGAGCAATTTCCTTGGAGAGAGAAAAGGGACTGGAGGAAGAAGGGAGAGCAAAAAAATCGTGGATTATAAACAACCGATGCGTTAACACATTCACACATTCAGCACTATGTAAGAAATAAAGCTGCACTCTTACCTCAGCTTAAGCTAATATGGTTCCCTGAAGCAATTGATTCTGAGTTCTTAGAAACAGTGACATTATAGATGTTGAAGCATGATTATGAGGGATTGTAAACAGTTGAGAAAGGAATAGTAATTTATTGTACCCACGTTTTCTTCCGTTTTTCTGTTTCTGATAATCAGATGCAACGTTTCTTACAATTACAAAGGTACAGTTCCACGTGTGGCCACACGGTGTGTGTGTGTATAGTGACAGGAGGTCCTGATGTGTTTCACAGCTTGACCCCTGCACCAGGAAAGTGGTTTCAGATAGAAAGACTCATAATAAAGACTGAAAAAAGTAAGACAAACAAAAGCAAGAAGAAGAACCGAGAGGAAAAAGCCCCACGGTGGTGGAGGTGGTGGAGGAGGTGGAGGAATGGATGAGGAGGAAGCATAAAGTGCAGTATTGATTTCCGGGCTGCAGTGGAGTCGGATGGGATGCGCGCTGCTGACCCTCGTGTGGTCTGCTCGGCTCTGGGCTGAACATTTCCCCCTTCGGTCCGACACGTATCTCAGCGGCTGATGTGAAGGTCCTGCGTGTTCTGCCCTAACTAACGCGTGTGATTCATACGACTCTCTGCGGTCGGAGTGCGCTCTGTTTCACGAGATGAGCTCTCGGCTTCCCCAACCAGCCACGTTCTCACTTTCACAGGAAGTGCTCCTCTAATGGTGATGGAGCCAAAGAGCCGTGTGGTTTCACGGCAGCGGCTTTCCTTCTGTCCTCTTGTGTAACGTCTTGACTGTTAGACAGTATTATTCTACACACAGTGTGTTTGTGGAAGGCGATGAATGGTAAACTATGTTGCTCTTCATTTTTGTGATGTCATCTTTAGGAGTGAAGGTTTGTCAGCTGACCTGATTTTGTGTTTTTTCTACTCTCTTTTTTTTCTTCATGTCGACAGCTCGGATAGTCTTATTGATAATGCAATAAGGTAAGCTTTATAGCCCTGTTCACTCGCCTCCTCTCCTTTACTCTCCCTTACTTAAGGGGGGGGGGGGTATTAAAGTCACACACACACATCTGAAGCAAACAGTACCTTCAGGTCTCATAAAACCGACCATCATATTATCCTGCTTTTTGGCTCATTAGCTGGAACATTAAACTTAATGTGATGCTTTGAATACAGGCCTGTGTTTCATCCCTTGTTTCTTTCATCCTCTAGTATCGCCATAGCTACCAAGGAGAACATCACATTTCAGCGTGGGATGTTGAAGTCCATTCAAACCAGGGTCACAACTTTGGCCAGTATCCTTCCATCATTTGTCCTCCTTTTCTTTTAGCTTCCCCTTCTTTACATTGTTCTTTCTGTGGAGCTACACCTCAGTGAGTACGAGAGCAGAAATTGAACATCATGCTCTATTTTTCCCTCTTAGTGTTTGAAGCTCAGGTGATGCATTTCCCCCGCTGATGTCTGTCTCTTAATCACTGCAAGGGAGGGAAGACCGTCTTGGACCTTAATTACTGTCCCCTCAGATCGTTTCCCCGTCATCAACAATCTCATCCAGAAAATCAATTTGCGTAAGAGGCGGGACTCCCTCATTCTAGGCGGGGTGGTGGGAGTCTGCACCGTGCTCCTGTTGCTCTACTTTTTCCACTGATTACTTGAGAACATTGAAGATATTGTAATTTACTCAAAAAAAGTAAAAGAAAAAAATGTATCACAAAAAAGAGTCTTTATAGAAATGAGTTGAACTGACCGGAGAGTGTATTTATTTTCTGATTGATGTTTCCATCTTTGGAGTTGTATATTGCTGGTTGTATTCTGTTGCAGTTAACGTATTTCTCAAAGATTTTTATGAAGAGTTAACTGCTGATATCATGCTTCTTTATAGAGTGTTATAAAGCGCCTAATAAAACAAAGCTGTCAAGTTGGTCATGCTCATTCAAGTTTATTTCCGACATGCAGAGCTATGGCACAGTAAAACAGTCGTACAGTATAAATGTATAAACATCAACATCATCAGAGTGCCAAGGACAGTGCATACAGGGACAACGACCCCATTCATATCTTGCAGTATATCGTAAACGTAATGAGGTTTAGAGATCCAGGCAGTTCAGTGGAGTCCGATTAGCTTATCATAGTAGCACGCAAAGCAAGATGTGAGCGTCTGACTGCAGCGGGGCGTTGGTCAGACAAACGTAGTTTTTAAACGTGATGTAAACAGTGGTATTAAATCAGTATATACAGACAGTCTGTACTTTGAGGCAAGTTGTAAGAGAAACGGGGCAGGCAGTGGCGGCATTACAGACGGACGCCTTTGGTTTTTCTCTGACCACAAGAATGTTTGTTTCATCTTCACATCATCTACAAATTTCATCTTTATTTTTTACATTTTCATTTAAGTCAATCCGCTTATCTACTGCTGTATTTTTGTAATACGCAAATGACAGTGCCAGATGTGTGTGTGTGTCAGGCACGCGTGTACCTCATTGCCCCACTAGTTTGGACTATTGAGTAGTTACACTTTCTCCTCTGCTGTCTGATGATCCCACACGACAACCTTGTTGTCCTTCCTTTGTTCCTGAGTTTGTGGGGTTATTGGCCCTGCAACTTCTTCTTTCCTCTCTTCTTTCTTATTTGGTCCATAGCAGGAAAAAAGCAATAAATTGTGTCTCTTCAGCTTTTTTTTTTTACTTGTTCATCCTCAACATTCCTCGCCTCTCTTCTGTGCAAATTTGAGAAGTGAAATAACGCTCCTTCCCATCCCCGAGTTCACTTCTGGATCTCTGAGGAGCAGAGAGGGAGACATGAGACACACATCTTTACACTTTGCACGTCTCATTTCAGTTTTTCTCCCCTACCTATTGTCAGCACTATGAAGACGATGACAGCCACACCCAGCAGCATCGCCAGACAGCTCAGCAGCATAGACAGACGCCCGTACTTCCTCGCTCCTTCTATGTCTCCTGTATGGAGAACAGACCGCGACTAACGGGGAAGCAAAAAGGAAGGATGATGAATGATCAACAACGAAATGACCGAAACGCATCAGCAGCCAAAACACCTGTGGTGTTTAAAGGGCTTTTTAAACTCCGGCATCCTGGGGCGCATGCAGGGCGCCGTGCGCTCCTGGACGCGTTTAAAGCTGTAAATAAACGAAGCACACTCACCACGTTCGCGTACCACAAAGCACAGATGTTGAGCGGCACGGCGGGGCAGAAGCAGGACACCACGGCGAGCCAGAAGTAACTCGGCGGCGCGATCTCGGGCGGCACCGAGGAGGCCAGCGGGCCCAGGTTGAGACGGGACAGGGAATTGGGTGGGGCCGCCAGCTGCCCGATGGAGCCCGACTTCAACGGTGATCTGTGTCCGTTCTGGTCCGCGTCCAGGGACCGGATGCTGCCTCTGATGTTGAGGGAGAAGGAGTCCGACGGCTTGACGTTGCTCTGCCCGCTGGGCTCGGTGGTCGCGGTGCTCAGCAGCTTCTCCGTGTCCTGGAAGTCGGTGGGATTGGAAACTTCCCTCTCGCCCAGCGCGCTTTTGCCGAAGGCAGCATCCGTGTTGATAGCCATCTCTGCGGGATGAGGAACCTCCACGTCTTATCTGTCTGACCGAGTGGATGGAGACGCTGAAGAGTTGTCCTTCAGATCTGTTCCATTGGGGGTCATTCGATTCAATATTGTATATTCAGAGAGACAAAACCTATTTCATTAACTCATTCAAAATGTCTTATTGATGAGTGAGATGTTATTGATGTCTGAGTCCCTCTCGCGTTTTGCCTCCGGACGCACTCCTTGGCTTTTACCCCCTCCCTCCTCCTCCTAGCGCACCGCCCTTCTCCATTATGTAGTGAGGTATAACCGCATCCCTTACATTTCCACAGAACATTCCCACTGTCGGATGGCTGCTTATGGACCAGGCGAAAGCGTGTGACAATGCAAAAACATCAAGTAAACCTCTTATGAAGTGAACACGCGCGCTGCGTAAAAGCTTTCCATTTACGCGCAGGGACATCAGCTAGATAAGCACTGCACAGGGTGTGTGACGTAGAGATGGACCAGAAGCCTCTCAAAACATGCAGACAGACCGAGGTCCGCTTATTAAAAGTCAGATTCTACAAATATTTGTCCAAGGAATTTAAACTTAAAAGGTTGCCCCGACTAAACATTCTCGCAGCGTAATTCTTTATTTGACCAGAAACCATATCACTAGTTTTACTTACCTCTATAATATTTGTCAACTCTAGTAATTTCAGATCAATATTTTAATTAACACTCGTTACCTTTTGGAAAATATGAATTGTGATAACTAAAATGTCCAGCTCAAGTGAAGCCGAATGTAATTAGGTGAAAATGCTCACGATGTAAGTTACGTTACAGTATCAGTTTATTTTTGTAAAATATGTGACTTAATATAGTTCATTCAAAATATTCATATTGGTATCTTAACTCGTAGTTATGTAGAGTTGTGTGAAAGGATCATATTAGTATCAGATGTGTTGATTAATTATGCTTATTTTAATTCCACCACTGTAAATTATGATGCATTATTTCTTATTAAGAATCACAGTTTAAAAAGCTAAAGCGCCAGTATGTTTCAATAACGCATCAAATATGTTAAAACGCCAACTAATGAATGTTTTACTCAATGGGACATTTGGACATTATAGAATTGTATTCTGCCATTTCCAGTCAGAGACATTCATTTCATTATGATAATTAAATCCTCTTTCGCTGAAATCATTTCATAACACATTTGTTATCATGTAAATCCACATTAGCTGGAAACAATGCAGGCTGGTTTAACCACCATGTTCTTCAATTAGACATCGTGGCCCTCAGCCGTGTCTCCACCTCAGAAACCTGAGGATTATCATGACATCTAGTGGTGATGTTTTAACAAAGCTGCACTAGAAACCTGAAAATTGATGTGTAAAAATTGCAGTGATTATTTCACTCATAGTCATTTTCCAATAGTGTATAGAAAATATTAAAATCTAGTTTCCCTTGTGGTATTCTCTCTTAGCGATGCAAAACAACAAAGCTCAATCAGGTCTATGATTGTTGTGATTGTGTGTCTAAGAAGCCTTCACTCTGATCTTTGTTGCTTCCCCTTAATGGGATCAACAGAAGTTCTAAAGGGATGCGTGGGACACATTTTTGTATAAATCTATTGATAGTTGTGTGTGTGTGTGCGGATGTGTGTGAACGTGCATGCTTTACACTTTGAACAAGAGAGCTTCCCGTGCTGTTTGAGGTTTATTGTTCGTAGTCTGCAGTTTTGTCCACAACAAAAAAAAACAGTCTGACAGAATATTTTTTAAGAAACAGCATGAAAAACATTTTTTATTTTTTAAGGAAAAATGCCAGCAAATAAGCATTCTCTATTGCCCACAATAAAATACATTTGTTTAAAACCAGATTATCAACACACTGGTTGCTGAAATGTGTCGCGTTCTGACTGAGCGTGAGAAACACCGCCCTCCTGCGTCTTCTCCTCTGCAACGCCCATCCGCTTCCTCTGCTTGACTCATCCGGGGCGGGGCTGACCACAGCAGTTCTTCAGCTGGCAGCTTTAGCATGTGCACGGGAACATAAAGCTTGCCAGTGAAGAACTGCCGTGCGTCAGCCATTCGGGGGCCGAGTGTGGAGGGGGGGGCCTCCGGGAGCGCCAGACTTCCAAGCGGACAGCCCCGGGAAGTGACGGACAGCCGGACTTAAAAGGCCCCCCGAATGGCGGCTCCTCCTCCTTCCCCTGTATAGGCTTTGGGCTCACACATTCCTGCAGAAGAAGAAGAAGAAGCAGAGATTGTTTTAACTTCCCCTCTAAACTCCCTGCTCGAGGAGCGTGGGTACGAGGCGGCCCGCGGCCAGGCACGCAGACAGTAAGTGGGTGCAGTCGAGCCACAGGCACAGTGTGCGATCAGCTGTGAGGAAGTGGGTGAAAGGAACCGATATGCAAGATCATGCCTCCGATTACCAGGAGGGGAACACGCACGTCACACAGTGCCAGCAAGAAAAGCTTAGATATTCTCTTGTTACGATGCTCAAAAAACACTGAACTGGCCTTGTTTTTTTTTCAGTTACCGTGGTTACAAAAGCATGAGTGAGAGGGCGATGAAGAGGAGTAGACAGCCTCTAGATGAAAGCAGAGATTTTAGAACCCTTTCACAAGTCATGAGAACTATTAGTTTTGAAGTCCCGATTGATTGAGTAAATGTTCTGATGTTTCCAGGAGAAAAACCGACACCTGGAAATTGCCACGCTCACATTAGGACAGATAATTACATACACATACGTTGGATTATGTCTAAATTTAAGCTAATATATTTATAGGTATTTGCCTTTTTTACGGACACGGGTCTTTTCCAACTTATTCTGGGACAACAACTATCTAGAATATCAGCATACTAAATAAATCTAATATCCAAATATAATAAAGCTATAGGTGTTCGAGGCGCTTTTATTTGGGGGCTCAAAAAAGTTGCCTAAAATTCCCTTATTGTTTCCTCCACTGTTGAACACACCGTTGGCTCAAACACACATCTGACTACACTAAAGCTGAAGCAGATCTCTGTTTTTCTGGCCTTCAAAGAATTTAATCTGGTGTTAATCTTGAGATATTGAGAGAAACGCTCCACTGCATCTGGTTGACGATGAGTAACACATGCTGTGCATTCCAGCAGTAAGGACAACCACAATGATTTAAGGTATGAGTGTCCCTTGGCCTGTAGACTGTGCACAGTTAGAGGGGGTGGGGGGGGGGGCATCCTTCAGGAGCATCCCGACAGAACCAGAGAGTAGTTTCATTTAGACGTATACCTGCGAGCAATAGGAAACACACGTGGTTTGTTTTTCCTAATGTCAGTGTGAGTCAGCATGCGGAGGCGTCGACTCACGAGTCGCTGACTAACATATTCAAGTCTACTACTTTCTTCTTCTCTTCTATCAAAGCAAGGTCTCCATGATCCACTACAACCAAGTGGTGGTTTACTGAGTCCTGTAGCAGATATATGCACCACAAAATGGCGCTGGTAATTCCAGGGAGAGCTGCCGTCCCTCCAGGACTTCCTCGCTCGGGGGCGTGCGGGAAAAGTGGAGGCTCGTTAGCCGAGCGCGGGGGAACCTTCTCTTTGAGCCGGCCCGCTCTCTCGGACGGTCTCCACATAAACCGACGTTTATTGGCACTTCAACTCTGGTGCCGCACACTTTCAGACCCTTCTGGGCAGTTCGGCACTAATGTGGTACGGTTTAGTCTCTTCCTGCTTCGCTTCCTCTTATGTTGACCCACAAAAAGGTTTACAGGTATTGAAATTCGTTAAACAAAAAGAAATGAATAAATGTCACTTTAGGGCCACTCAATGAGTCCGATTCTCAGTTTTTAAAAGATGTCATAAAAAGACTTTTGCAATTGTGGTCAATGAAGGAAACCCAGGTTTTGCAGCATCGTGGTTGGACAAGGAAACCAGACTAGGACGTCTCTGTGAGACTGTAATTTGACACAGTAGTGATGTGACCTAAATTCTCATTTTACATAATGCTATATATAAAACGCTTTAGTCAACTTGCACACAGTTAACATGCTGATGTGTCGCAGATACAAAGTTCACCATCTCAGTTCACTGTTTTTGCGTGGCAAGTTTTCTGAATCGCACTAACTTGAAGCGGACGGGAAACACAGTAGTTTTGTAGTTGTTCCGTTATGAACCAAACCAAAGCGTTAGTCAAGTCTGACCTGATGAAAAGCTAAAAGATCATCAACGTTTTTACAAATAGTCTTGAGGGAGGAATGAGTGTGTTAATCTGTCTATACTGATCAACCACGTTGCAGAAAAAGTGGATCTTTAGCAAAAATAAGCCCATCATTCATCCCTTCACTTCTATAAAGAGCCCAGCCGTTCCTCCACCCCCTCACGAGCTCCTGCTGCTGTTGGTCTGAATGAAATCGAGGAAAAGGACACACACACACACACACACACACACACACATACACATACACACACACACACACACAGGACCACTGACGGTCAGAACCGTCGACTACGGCTGCCACAACCTCAAACTGAATAAGTTATTTGTTCCATCGCGTGCCACTCCTTCCACAAACAGCGGCTCTGTATCTTTATGTTCACAATGACGGGCAGTGTTGATCCCCGGGCTCTTTTGCTGTGGTACCCTTTACCATATCGCTTCTTCCTCTTCTGCTTCTTCTACGGACTTTCCTGTCTTTTCTGCCCCCCTTTCCCACTATTTCTCGCACTCCCAGTCAGATTCAGACTGTCCTGCATTCCTAAAATTCCAGCTGCGTATGTTAAAAATTCCACCCTGGCTGCTGTGGGCTCAAACAGTCTCTTCCACTCCTCCTTTTCCATCCCGCTGTCCTTCCCCCGTCTCCTCTACCAACTCTTCTACAGCTGGTGTGCACCGGACAAGACGTGGCTCACTCGTACCTCCCCTTTGCATTTTTGTCTTTTTCTGCTGCCCCCCCCCCTGCTTCTCTTTCTTTCTCTGGCCTTATCCGAGTGAGGGAGTCAGACTGGGCCCATTGATAGCCGTGCGGAAGGCCTTGAGACAGGCTTTCATACATGGGGCAACGGTGTAAAAGGAGATAACACAGAACACTGAGCTTATCCCGGACGTGCATTCGTTGCCACAACAGGGAGGAATAGGTGAGATGGTTTGCACACAGGAGGATGTGAATGAATGATGTAAAATGCAAAAAAAAAGGATTATTGACTTTATTGAGCCTTCGCCGCAAGCACAAGAGCAGAATAACTCATCTTGAGAGCTTGAGTATTACGAAAAGGATTAGCAATAAAGGACAACTGGCATGCAAACAGGTAGAAGCTGCGCACTTCTGTTGAAGATGAAGAACAGAAAACATGAGTCATGTTGTGGTGTTAGAAGCCTAAATAAGGCGTCAAGATAAGGTACTGTAATTGTCTGACCTTCAGCGCAAAAAAAAAACTGCACGTGGAAATATGGGAGGAATTGCAGAAGTATCACAAGAAACTGTTGCAGATTTTGCCTCCTGCTGCTGCTGCAGTTCTGCGAGTGAAAACGCGTCAATTAAACGCTTGACACACATTAATTCAGGTGCATTCCTCTGCTGTGGGTGTGGCCCGGTTGAACCGAGATTGTGGTCTGCGATACAGACCGATCGTTTCAGACTTTGGAAATTGGGACAGAGGCAAAAGGGCGGTGGCTTTGCAACACACTGATCACAGTGCAGGGAGGCTCTTCTTGTGCTCCGGCGCTGACTTTAACCCTGAGATTAGCACGAGCAGAGGGTGTGGGGTGTTTGACTTGCTAAGAGCAACAGCTGAATGCCATTCTGAATCCGCAACATCCAGACACGCGTGTGCAGTACGAGGCCCGTGAGCCCGTCCTCGGGGCGGTCGGTGCCATTTTGTTTCAAAGGGACTGGATTTTCCTTTCTCTTCATAACGCAAACCCTCTTGCCCCATCCTCCCTTGAAAATGCCCGCAGTAGTAATGAAGGGTGTAACCCAAGTTGAGTAAGATGGCCACACTTCTGCAAATGTAGGCAATTAAACAGCACCCGGGGAGGGGGGGGTGGGGGGGGACGCTGCGTATTTCGCCTGCGCGCAGTGCAAACGTCACATGCTGGGGGAAGACGAGTTGCTTTTTAACTGACACCTTGTCATCGTCATGTGACCCTCATCGCCAGGGTGGCTTATATCACATTCAGGGGTTGCAATGGCACAAATGCAGCTCGTGACACAGCCTATTGCGCATTCCTATCAGCACGCTGAACTCTGTGCAATTATGTAAGACGGGCTCCACGGTGCACTACAGTAAGCTTTCCCCTCCCGACCAGTGGAGAAAGAATACCTGCACTTTGCTTTTAAAAAAGGTTTTTATAGAAGCGTAAAATAATATTTAAAGCAAGTATGTAAAGGAGGTGAGGCCCGCAGGTCTGTTTAAGCGTTGTTACACGCCTGCCTGCTTTAAATATGTTGCACTGCTCTTCAGCATTGTAATGCACGTTCATTTGAAGAAAGAGCTGCCAGATGGTGTCACTGGATTTGTGATTTGGATCGACTGGTTATCTTCCTGGTTTTACCCATCCCCTCCATGAGCACGGGCTTTTTCCTTGGCCTGTGATGAACTCAGCAAATTTGAAGGAGCTTTGAACGCCGACGCCTTCTGACGAGTTTGGACAACTTGAATGCACACTACACACTTCAGCTGCTGGTAAAAAAACATTTTCGCGCTCGCAAATGACCGAATCAAATCTCAAGAGGAAACTGTTATAAGACATCTGTAAGCACTGAAGACGTCTGTGTGCCTTTACGAGCTATTCTGTTTCTCTCGGTGTTCATTTAGACATGATTCTGACTTTACAGCAAATTTCTCAGCCTCCCTTTAGCGTCTTTCCACCTGGAGGTGCAAATACTCCATTTAACATTTTATTTTAAAAGCCTCACAGGGCCAATCATCTAAATGTAGATTAAATGTTTGCAAACGCTTGGAGGTTGTGGTCAAATGTCTAAAAGGTGTCAGTGGGCCTGGACGATACGATACATGACACACACACACACACATAGGCCTTAAACCACAACTCCTAAATGTATATCTTCCGTAATCTGACGACGCACATTGAAGCCGAAAGAAGCAGAAATCAGAGCCAAGGAGGCGAAATATTACTTGATCAATGTTAAGGACCCGTTTCCCGGCGGCCGACTCCATGCAAACTGGGTCATCAAATCGGACTGAGGAAGAAGCGTTTAGCCGGCAGACACACACAGACAGCCTCGCGCGGCCGGTAAATCCGCCCCACCTTGACCACCGGCCGGGTCGCTCCCGCTCGGGCCCGCACATCTGGACGGTCCAGCGGAGTTCACACTTGCTGCGGCGGAGTCACGGAACCAGGGTGTGTCGCGGAAAACGTGGATCTCGGGTTGTTGTCTTTTTTTTTAAGGATGTGAAACCTTAAATGTGGATCGGCTTCGGTAGGGAGTCTACTTTTCTTTGCGGCGCAGCAGCAGTGCGGAACGCAGCGCAGCACTTGAGCCTCTTTAACACAACTCCTGCCCTGGTCCTCCCTCCCCCTCCCCCTCTCTCTCTCTCTCTCTCTCTCTCTCTCTCTCTCTCTCTCTCTCTCTCTCTCTCTCTCTCTCTCTCTCTCTCTCTCTCTCTCACACACACACACACACGCACACACAAATGCACATACTCCCAACTCAGCCGCACACCGGCTTCCCACTCCGATCAGCTGGCAGCGTGATGACGTAGGCTCCACGAGAAGCAGGGCGTCAGAAGCTGCACGGCTGTGACGTAATCACGCTGTGCGCGCCGCACAGTAGGCAGCAGGATTGGCCTGATGGTAATAATGAATGTGGGTCCACGCAAAGTCAAATGGTATTTTACCGGCTGCTCAGTGCTCTGGCTCTGGAACTGTAAGTCAATGTGAATTTAATATTTTACATGATGATATGAGATGATATATGAGACACAGCTCATAGCTTAGGTTGAGCCAGACCAAAAAGACACACTGAAAGGGAGACAACTTTCCCCCTGTTATAACTACCAAAGGTTTGCTGAGAATAGCCACCACTTGCTGGTCATACCAGACCAAGTAAGGGACTTGGTTATGAATTCAACATCTCAGTTGTAATAGAGAGACCGGTTACAAAACCACACTATTTCATTTATTTTGAAATCTTGTTTTATGGCTTTTATTATAACAGTTCTGTGGTGACATATTGCATACTGGTATGTGTTTAATTAGTTCTAACAGTTCAACTGGCTTGACCATATTAGACAATCTAACTGCTCTGTATGTCACCTTGACTATATAACTCAAGACGTGCGTGTGTGTGAAGATGTCTGCGCAAGACGGAGACGTGTGTGAGTCACAGCTCGCCGTCACACCGTCAGCAGCTCTCAAGGGGCGTAGTGTAAACGGAGTTATATGTAAATTTGTTCTACCTGTACAAACATGCAACATTTGACTTTGTTTTTGAAAAAGCCTGTCACTTGACCAGAAGAGGCCCTATGCAAAAGTCACTCGGTGAACATTATCTCTACTCCAAAGAGAAACGCTGTACGTGTTCTTGCTGACTCATGGAGGGTAGATCCTAAGCAGGACAGACGAGGTTGAGACTCTTCGTAGCATTGCTGGGTGAATGATTTAATAGCAGACGGGACACAGCAACCAAGTTTAGTTCCCTAATTATTAGAAAGGTCACATGTGCGTAATAAATCAGTGTGTGTGTGTGTGTGTGTGTGTGTGTGTGTGTGTGTGTGTGGGTGTGTGTGTGTGTGTGTGTGTGTTTCTCTGTGTGCATGCATGTGACTTACTGAGGAACCAGTGGGGGAACTGGATTCTATGGGACAGGAATAGGGTGGAAACTCCCAGGGAAATACCAGGCTATACTGCTGTGGATGTTGTCGGAGGTGACAAACAAAACCCCATGAAAGGATTTAAAAGGGCATGTTTTCACAAATAGCATTAAGTTCCTTGTAGCACACATTAGCACTTCCATAAATACTGATTTGTTTTAGCGGAATCTTTTTAAAATATACATATAATAGTCATAAAGGTACTGCTAAAATTTTAAAATGCTGTCACACCAACACAATATCAAGCAAATATTGTCATAAATTGAACATCAGATAGACTCGATTAGTTTATAGCTGGTGGACATAATGGATTATTTAGTAGCTACCAAGATACCAAAAATTCCCTCAGGACTTGGTGGAGGGATGAATGCTGGCGTGGCGCTGCATACCTGCTAGAAGTGTTGGCCAGTTTCTCACAGTTAGCTAACTAACATTAGCCTCTGGCCTATAGCCTATTATATCTGACAAAGAAAGTTGAGGCTGTTTTGAGTATAGTAAATAGAGCCATGGTACATTATTTTCTTTTTTTTTCAATTGATACTGGAGTGCATCTTCTTTTTGTAAAATAATACTATGCCGTTTTCTGAAAGTTCCGTCTCATTTTGAACCTTTACGGGGCCTAAACGATACACTCAGAAGTAAACTCCCCGAGATAAAGAAATTGAATTTAAGCTGAACCTACTATGTTTTTACTGGAGGCGTTTAATTGTCTTGTTCTTTAGTATTGTGGCTTTTGCTCAAGTTCAGTTTTCTTTGTTTCCAGCTCACTTAACTCATTAATTTTGGCCCTTTGGGCGATCGGTGCCAAAAGTTATTGTGGGCCTTAAAATAGTCGTGACCCACCGCTCTCACACTGCTTTAGTTTCATCTGGGGATCACGTGCGCGTGCTTGATTTGAGATAACGTTCCACTGTGATGACATAAAAGAAGCATGCAGTGGAAATGTTCCATTCGGATGGATCGAGTTTGCTTGGTTCCCACTAGAGGGCTTCGTCGGCTGCTGAGTTGCCCCAGAAGTGGATTCTAACACCAAGCTTGTTATTTATGTTAGTTACTGATGACTAACATAGATCAAGTTCACTCACTAATGGAACAGTACGACCAGAACCAATGAATCCAAGCAGCTCTGAGGCGAGCCAGTAAAAAAACATTAGGTGTCCGTCTGCTACAGGATCTCGTGGCGCAACGGTAGCGCGTCTGACTCCAGATCAGAAGGTTGCGTGTTCAAATCACGTCGGGATCAACTATTTATTCAGCGTCTAAATAAACACGTTCAGGATGTGTCTTCAGAAGCTTGTGTGTGTACATAACTCACCAAGTTGTGGCTGCTGTTACAAAAACACACATTTGTTATGACCTTCAAGCCTTTGCATGCGTCACGGACCTTTCGTCGTAGTGCGTGCGAATGTTAGCGGGTATTTCACGTCGTTTTATTTTTCCTTCTTTTTAAACATTACATATTTGATTTATTTGGAGATTATATAGCTTTGTCCGAAAGGTTTACCAGGACATGCAACTCATCACGTGTGCGCTATCTGAGAAGGTGCGTCCTGTCGTCATGGAGACGCGTCGCATTTTGGAAAATATGTGCCCCCGCAACAAAAGACAGCAGTCGGCAGATCGGCATCCAGCGCGTTTCCCCGCGCGCTCCCTCCCTCCCCGGCTCGCGCACGCGTTTCTCCCGCACGGAACCTGTTCGTCAGCACCGTGTCCGGACCTCACCGGGATGCCGGAAGACGAACGCTGCACGCCGCTGCTGCTCCCCGGGAGCTGTGACGGTAAACGGAAGAAAAGAAAGACGAGGAAGAAAGTCACCGCTGCGGCCACAGAAAATACAGGTGAGCGCAGTTTGTCGTGCAGGTGCAGGAAGGCACATCCATGCGTCACAGGTGACCCTGCACCCAGTGTGTAAGTCAAAGTACTTCAAAATACATAAAACATGAAAGTGTTTTCAGCCCAATTAATGTATATTCTATAAACATTCCAAAGTAAAAGCACCTACTGTGTTAATATAAAAATTGCATGGCAGCTGTAATCATTGCTGCCGCACAACGGATCACTGGTTGTATTGGTTCAGTTGAGGAGTTCATTTGAACTACTTTACTCACAGTTGTGCAGTTTACACGTAACAATGCATCATATTGTATTACCAACGTGTACCGAACTTTACAATAGCAGAAACTAAACAGATGAAGTGGTGTATAGAAGTGTTTGCTTCATTTACAATGTAATGAAGTCTTAAACAGCATAAAATGGAAATAATCAATTAAAGTCACCAGTTACACTGTCGTCTCAACTGGACCATTCACAAAGTGCTGATAAGGTAAAAACAGCAATATTTATAACCTTGTTCTTCAAGTTTATTATGTTTACAAAACTACAACAGCATTGAGGGACAAAAATAGTAAATTTTCAGCCAGAGAACCCAAACAAGCAAAAACTCACCAAAAATAGTCAGGACGTGAATAATTCTCTGGGTTTATGACTAGAGAGGACTCTTCTTTTCATAGACTCTCTTTCCATAGTCTGGGACGTTTTAATGGTCAAAGAGGAATTTTACATTTTTTTATTATTTTATTTGATCATTTTCAGTTGAAAGAGATAAGAATAAACATGCTCATGCTTTCCTACAAAAATTGAGTGCAAAAGGCACGACGGATGGTTTGGTGGTATAGAAAATGTATAGTTGTACTACTTATTTATTAAAACAAATTGTCTAATATCCGACCATGAGATGTACATTAATACACGTACTGAAAAACCTTTAAACCTCCAAATCTTACATCTTACAGCAGTCATTTATAACACTAAAGACTTATGAGCACAGATCTAACCAACAATCATTTGAACAGACCCCAGTTCAAACCAGGGTCTCTGTAATGATACGCAATGTGCACACACGTATCATGTGGTGGTAGTGCATTCCCTACAATGTTGAATAGGTCAGTAGAGAATAGGCCCCCCCACACTGTCTTTTTACAGCACATTACTGTAAACCAAGCCATCAGCCTTCCAGCTCTGGAGGAAGTCATTTGTAATATAAACCATCAGCTTTGTTTGGCAGTGAGCACAAGCTTACGTGCCTCTTCCCTATACAGATAAACCTCAGGATGTGTCTTCGCCCCCTGAGACCTCCGCTGTGTCTCTGCTACCCCCAAAGAGTCCGGTTCGGCCTCGAGGCCAGCTGCCCAAGCTCACCGCGTCCAGCAGGAAGAGCGGGGAACGACTCCGGAGGAGCAAGAAACACCCCACGGACTCACCGGCCCCGTTGCAGGCTGCCCACGGAGCAAGCGGCGTCGGGCAGCTCTGCGCCCAGGCCAGGGAGAGCCTGAGGTGGGAGGGAGCGCTGGACGACCCCCGGGCGGAGGAGAAGAGGCTGGAGCTGTACAGGGCCAACCGGCGGCGGCGTTATGTCGCACACAGAGACGCTCTGTTAATGGAAACCCAGGGGGCTTTGAGACAGCCGGCTCCTTAGGGGAGCAAAGAGCAAACAACACGGCTTTTGACTGAATCCAAAGAACGGGAGTCATTACTGCGTTTGAGCACAAAGGGAATTAAAGAAGCAAGTGGAAGTGTCACGTGTTTCATTTCAGGCTTTATTGTATTGACATGATTTAGCAGCAATGAGCCACAGAGTGAAGATTTCTTCTGCACTGAAGAGAAATCAGGCGTGTGTGTGTTACGCACATTTGTTGACCTGCTCTACCAGTGATTAAATGTGCACTAAATACAGCCATGGTCGTACCCTTCGCGCATTCTACTTATGTCCTGCTACTATATACTTATACAGTTAAACGATGCTTAGAAACACTTCCTCTGCTGGGCGATAGATGGCAGAAAAAACCTCTGTCCTCTGAGTGAATCATATTCTCGAACACTGATAAGTTAATAAATGCAAAAAGATTTTACTCATTGAACAAATTGAAACGAAATAGACACAGTTTGAATAACAATTACATCCCTGCAGGGTTCACGTTGCATTGGTAACAATCAAGAGGACTCTTATTCAGCACATTTCACTTCAGGACTGGAATAGATATGACGATTTATACGTGAGACAATCTTAATATATGAACGTTGTTTTTTTTATTCATTTGTGTTGAAGAACTTAAATTTGTTATTTAATTCAGGACACGTGTTATATTATGACGTAAACGACGTAAACGCTGAGAAAACAACTACTGGAGGAATCCATGACTTATAAATGACTCAAAATACGAGCCTTCAGTTGTGGGCTTGAGAAGTCTGCAGCAGGTGAACGGAGGCGTGCAGCTGACAGGAAGGAATGCATGTAAACATGCATGTGTGAAGTAAAGATGGAGATAGACCAGCACAAATACATGGGGGAGGAGGGGGGGAGGGGTGTCTTTTTTAACAGACAAAAACACAGCATTTCTTTTGTGAAGGTTTTGTCACACTGCAGTTGTGTGCTGTTTGTCGACGGCCTTTTGTTCCCTGTTGGTTTTTTGTTATCGTTGCCTATTTCAGCATCTCTGCTTCAAAGAGCTGAGCACTAACCCTCTGTCCTCATAATCCCCCCCCCCCCGCGACTCACCGACGGACCACGTGCATGGCCGCAGTGGGCTTTAAGGCCACTTGGGTTGTTTCCAGCTAGCCCCCCCCCACCGAGCATCAAACACCGCCTATTAAAGACACACTGCAGCATCTGAACTGTGGTGTCTCTGGACTGTCGCTGGAATACCCCCATGAGACACGAAGCCATGAAATAAAATAAACAACTCTCATGAAATAATAGAAGAAAAAAACATCAAGATTATAAAAGAAGCCCCAATAGCTGCATTTGTCTGAGGTATCTGTTGTTTGCGCGGCGGAACGCACAGTCCGTGACGCTCCGTCTGAACCTAAGAGTGTGAATGTAAACTTCACTGTGGATCGCGTGAAGTCCGTCTCCTCTGAGTCAAACGCTGTAATCCGGGTCTCCAAGCTCTCCGGCCTCGGTGAGAGAGGTGGGGACAGAGAGACGGAGGTCAACGCCGTACCGCGGACGTGTCGAGCAGAAGACTGGAGGGAAGTCTGGTTTTGGACAACTGCAGCCAGCTCAGGTCATCTGATCTGAGAGGAAAGCGAGGGAGAGAGAAGCTGCCATCACATGCGTCATTACCCTGGTCGGTTCCTCTCGTGTTGACCTGTGGGGTTTTTTGGGGCAACTCGGGAAAGCTGAAACGCCGTTGGAGGTCCATACGAGAAGAGAAAGAAGAACAGAAAGTTTTCGCGTACTCAGCCTCTTTTTTGGTGATGACTTTTCCCGCTGCGAACCTCTCAGCCACTGCAGACGCCGCGGGGTCGTAGTTCAGGCTGGCCGCCGCTACGACCTCGTCATTCCTACAAGTTACGTCTTTTTTGTTTAATCAGACATTTGAACATATATAATCATTGATAAAAGACAGTTAAACATGTTTGTTGGTTTTGCTGGTGTTGTTTGTTTTTGTCAACAACAGCAGCTTTTATTTTTCTCAACTCACTTGATGTACAATGCCAGGAACTTCCTGTCCTCCAGCGCTCCTTTCATTACAATGTCAGTGTATCCCTCCCCAAAGCCTGCACACAACCAGAGTAAAAACACAAGCTACATATGGTGGAGTCAGGAGAAACTATGGAGTCCATACTCTGTGCAAACAGTGTGTGTTTGTCGATGCTATTCTAGTAGTAATTCTTTACTTTTACTTTATTATTGGAAAATACAAACAAACATTAACAACTTAAAAAACTTTGGTCGAAATAATACGCATATTCTTACATCTCCACTTGTTGGGGGCTGCGGTTGTGTGTGTGTGTGTGTGTGTGTGTGTGTGTGTGTGCGCACCCACCTGTGTATCGGATGGTTTTACCCAGGAGGACGGTCCAGTAGAAAGGGACTGAGCTGAGTTCAATCTGTTTATCCAGCATGTTCAGAGCTGCTATCCTCCCTGGGAAACAGTTAATCACATTGGTTCAAAAGCTGGAAATGAATCCAAACAACATGTTGTCTTGTAAAGTCTATCATAGTAAGACTTTGCGAGCGTATTGACTCCGGCGCTGCTTCACCGTGTGCTTGTGCCATCTGCCAGTGTCCGATGTTGACCGGTCGGTTCTTGGCCATGGCCAGAGGGAAGGTGGCCAGGTCGCCCCCACAGAACACACCGGGGACGTTGGTGCGCATGTACTGCAGGACAGAGAGATGCTTTCATGTCCGCTCTGGTGCTGAGTTTGCCAGTTTGCAGAGAATGAGATGTAGATGATGAAGGTAAGGAGCTGGTCGTTAGCTCACCCTGTCGACTGGTACGAAGTTTTTTGAGTCCGTCAGGATCTTGCTGCCCCTCAGGAACTCAGAGTTTGGTTTGATGCCTGGTGGAAGAAAAGAGGACAAAAGTTCATGTTTTGTAGGAACGTTATTGATTGTTGGTGCTGTTCAGCAGTTTATTGCTTTTTGTGCATCAATTAGAAAAGTAGTACAACAAACATATGCAAAGGTGTCATAGTAAATCTCTCTATGTGTATGTCAGCTCGGCACAGAGACGCATTAATTGTCTGTCCACACGCATGTGCTAACCAGTACCGCAATATAGCTAATGAATTAATGAATGCTGGTAATGAGCTGTACAATAAGCATTCCTGACAGGCCGTAAGATATTTCTGTTTTTATAGGAACCGACGGTTCAATACGAAAAAAAACTCAGCTAATTTAAATATGTGATAAGTGTTATAATGATTATAATTATGTTATAACAGTCTTTAAGCAAATGAGCATAACGTTAGAAGAAACGTTTTATGGAGATGTGTATAAACGCACTCACCAATACCAACAATCAAAACATCTGCTGGAATAACCTTCCCACTTTTAAGCACAACCTCCTTCACCTTGAGGAAGAACACAACGAGACAGAGGACAGGAGGAACCCCGTGTTTAGAACTTCTTTTCTTCGCAGATGCCTGAATTTGTGATGAACTAAATTGGTACAATGTGTAAGTTCCCACTTTACCTTGCCATCCACACCTTTGATCTCCGTGACGTTTTCATTCATGTAGAATTTCACGTTTTGTTCTGTCAGCATCTGCAGCAACAACAGAGTTCAAACTACAAGTTGCCGAAAAAGGGAAGTGATTTAAGGATATCATACGGGACTCTCTCTTTCGCACCATCATGCTGACTTTTCCAATTTCACGACCCAGTGTGTTCTGGTACGGCAGCTCACTGCTGCCGATCACTGTGACACTGGAGGCTTTGTCTACCAAATAAGATGCCACCTCCATACCTGCAAAACAAAAAGAGGAAGCAAAGATGCGGAACATTCAGATGAAAACAAAATGTATAGGTGCCTGAAAAACAGTCAAAACAAATGAAATTGAACACATCCGGAAAACAGGAAATGAAATGTGGGCTTACTCACAAAAACACAAAGACTAAGGAAATGATGCAGGATAAGTCATTTAAAGCCAAAGCGTAAAGCTCTGTATTCAGGTTGGTTTTATGGCCCTTCTTTGCACACTGCAAACCGTACCGACAAAAGAGGTTCCCACGAGGACGACGTCGGAGCCCAGGCAGGCTGTGTGGATGTGCCGAGCGTCCTCCGGAGTCTCCAGCATCCTCACGTTGTCCAGTTTGGTGCCGGGGACATCCAGACCCTTCGCCCTGAAGGACAGGCCATGATTATTCATGAGCTCATGCAGTGTAGGGTAGTGCTGCTCCAACAATGACCACTTTCCCTTTTAAGGCTTTTAACTAATGACGGTCAATCTGGGTCTGTTGAGCCACATTATACTTATATTATAAGAACAGAAAAAAATTTGTAAGAAAATGAGTCCTCATGCTTTATAGTTTATGTTAGTAGAAGCTGCTTGGAGTAAGTGAATCACATACTATTCTAATCATATTATACCACTAACAGGTTATGTTTTGCATTCAAATGTGATTTTAATTGTCTAAATTCTATTCCATTATTGTACATTTAATGAAGGTGTAGCTGCATGGAGGCCTAAATAAAGTTCAGCCTGGCTCTCGTTTCAAACAAAACACCTGAACAGATGCATACAGTGTGTGTGTGTGTGTGTGTGTGTGTGTGTGTGTGTGTGTGTGTGTGTGTGTGTGTGTGTGTGTGTGTTTTCTGTACCTGCACCCTGTTGAGATGAGAAGATGGTCATAGCTCTGAACTGAGCCGTCTTCAAATGCAACTGTCTTCATGTCTGTGTCCACTGACACGGCCTGTAACGTGTTGAACAGATCAGATGACCTAATAGTGTTCAGACTGCAGTCACGAGAATGATATTAAGGAATTATGCAACAACACTATGTGAGCAGATGTGAGGGAACTCACTTCTTTCCGGAGCCAAACCTCGATGTCGTGCTGATAGAAGAACTCCGACCTTCTGAGAAGAATACTGTCGTTCTCCACATTCATCACCTGTACGATGGGTGACAAAAGACGATGAAAACAGACCCATTCATAACCAGAATATTGCTGTTTGTATTACACAGTTTACTCGGCAGCACCTTGCTGAGTCGTGTTTTGTCATAAGGTAAAAGGTCGTCTCTGGTGACCATAATGATCCTTCCGCCAAAGTTCTCCTGCCGCAGAGTCTCAGCACAGATCAGCGACGCGGCTCCTGCACTCACAGAGAGTTCAGAGTTTCTGCCAGTCCACTCAGTGATTAATAACAATACAACGACACCCCGCCCGAACACAAAGACATACAGAGTGGTCCCGACTCACCTCCTCCCAGCAGCAGAACAGTGTGAGTAACTCCTGCTACCGCAGCTCCCATACGCTTTACTCTTTTTTCCTGCTTCAGAGTCTGAACCATGCAGGAAACACCAGCATCATAATAACCCATCAACAAAAGTATGTGTTTACATATAATATGGTCAAAGAATATAAAGGATATGATCTATTCACCTTTTAAAAAGTTCTAAATTGTTCCACTATGCAATTCAGGTTGAATCTCATTAAATTCCCCATGCATTCCAACATGCAGTTGCATGCAGTATGCATCTCATTTGGTCACACTATTATGTCCTTACATTGCCATTTGAACTCTGAACCTTTGCTCATAGATGTTTTCCTGCATTCAGGTAAATATGTAGTAAATATACTTATGGCATCCTAAATAACACAGTTGTGTGGGTATTGAAATGTACAGCTTGTCTAATTTCAACCTAAGCAAAGAAAGTGATGAAATAGGAAGAACCATGAAAGAGAAGTTAACTGTGTACTTACTTTTTTGTTTACAGACACGTAAACTTTGTTGTTTTGAATTTTGACCTTCAAAAGAGAGGAAGACACATTTTAAAATGACATTAAAATGAGAGTAAATGTCTGTTGGTGTCGTTTGTACCTTGTGGCACGGCAAGCAGTCCATGCCGGGATACTCCTCCAGATCTCCTGTATGAATGTTAAAACAGGCGCCATGCCACGGGCAACGCACTGTGTTGCCTGAAATAACCCCTGAACACACACACACACACACACACGTTATTTAAATACTCTGTGTTAAGAAAGGAACCAATATTTAGGACAAACTATCAAACTGCACAACATGTTGAAAACACCGCACTTTCATGAAACTGTGAAGTGTACTAGACCTTCACGTTAAAGCTTTTTGATCTGCCGAAATGACAACTTATAATAACTATAACTATAAAGTGTGGCGCAGTCTTAAAAGACAAAAATCTGCGCAAATGAAACTAATGGAGCAGCTAATTGTCATGAGACAGAAAAGTGATTGAATGGAATGAGGGTGTGCTGCTGCTCGCTGCGTCTTTACCTTGGCTGAGAGGAGCTCCATAGTGCGTACACTGGTTACCGATGGCACTGTACTCGCCCTCGGTGCGGCTCAACAGCACGCTGTGTTGTCCTACTTCAACCTCCATCATCCTGAGGCAGCAAGCACACACACACACACACACACACACACACGGATACTGCAATGAGTTTGCAGTCAGAAAAGTGATTCAAAAAGGCCCGCTTAAATAATTAGGATTTAAAATCTGGCATCAATGATTTGTAAACTTGTAAACATTATTGATCTTTTTCAGTCGGATCCTTACTGTCCATCCTGCAGGTCCGACTCCAGACACACAACCTCAGTCAGCTCCTCGGATGTGTCCTCTGGATCAGATTCCGGAAACTCCTCACGTGCTGAACACACAAGAATACACGCACATATGAGCATGCACATATGTGCGTGTATTTCAAAGGAAGGCAATGACATCAGCAGGTCTGTAATAAATTCCTAAATTTCCTAAATAAGAATCGGTAAGACACACAATGCTGTGTTGAATTCAGTGAAAGATCAATGAAGCTTTCTATCCGACCGCTTAATGTATAAATATCTTCAGGCAGATTACTTACGTGGTTTGGTCGCAGACATCTCAATGATTCAGCTGTAACACCACAAAGATGTACACAAAACCTCCGGAAACATTCAAAGGTTGTCAGATGCTCTGTTGGGAGAAGTTCTTCCACAGCGCAGGGTTGACAGTTTGTTTTCTGCCCATCAGCTCAATGGTGGGATAAGAGCACGTTTCCACGGCAACCTGTCCATCCCAAAATCCTCGTCCCTCTGATCCCGGGCGACAAAGTGAAAAAGTGGACGTTTCTGGGGGGGTTTGATAAGACGAGCAACAATCCAACAAAAAGTAACTTTTGGGACTCCGGTGAATGAACAGTGATGTGTGGTCATGTTCAGCCCCGTTTTTGTTCCAGAGAAAGGCGATGGGGGTCTTTTGTGTTTCATAGAGAAAGGCTGACCGGGCAGCAGCAGCCCGCGCTGAATGGAAGGGCGACAAAGCACAACTTACAAAACCGGATTTGGGCCCGCCATCATCCACTCATCGTTCCAAGTTTCAAGATTCATCACTTGCCCTATTTAGGTTTTTACATTTTATTGGGAGATGAATTGTTGAGGTAAAAATGAACATTTGTTTGCATTTTTTGCATAACAAGCACAACCAACCAGACAAAGCAATTAAAGAAAAAATAAACTTTAAATCTGAGTTGGAAAGAGTTGTCCCGTCCGCCCTTTTGGGTACTTGCCCATTTCAAGTTGGGCCAGAGTCTGAAGACAAATCTGAGAACTTGACATGAATTCATAGTAGAGAGACGGGGAGAGAGGAGCTCAGTGTATCATGGGAAGAACCCAGCAGTCTCCGCCCATAGCAGCACATGGAAGGGTTGGACAAAGACAAGGCCGATTCAGTTCCCATTGGTCAAACCGTTCATACTTCATGCTTCACTTTCCACCTGTTGCCATCCGTGGTTTTCTACCCCGTTGTCTCCTTTATACGGACAGATATCGCTTTGGGTTGTAGTGTTTACAACTTTACACCTCTTTCTTATTGTCGTCATTTTGAAATGTTTAAAGCTTACTCTATGCAATGATTAATATATACTGTGGGATTAGTGTATTGCTTGGGGTTATTTTGCTTTGAGGGAGAACTTAACATTATCTTGTGTCATGTTATCGTGCCACTGTGACCTCTAACCCCGAGTCACTAATCATTTTGTCAGTTCAAGTGAAGGGAGGACAGTGTGTTAGAGGGCAGCACTTGTGTGTTGAGACTCAAGCAGTTTGTTTCTTCTTCAAAGTGTGTTGGACCTGAAATGTGGGCCGCAGACAGGAGCACGTAGGATTTGAAGTGAACTCAGACCTCCAGGTTCTCTGTAGAAATCTAGTAATGGATTTAAAGTCAACAATCCTGGTTGTCGGAGGCTCTGCGTGCTCTTTCAAACTGCTGAACACCCTCATCAGATTCCTCCCGACACCAGAATCGGCTCGCAAGAAATCCTGGAGGTGGAGGAACATCAGCACCTCGTTAGCTCACAGCTCACTGACAGGAGCATGGGCTGTTTTATGGTACGTAAAAACACAGTAATCACAGATGCCTCTATCCGTTATTTTAATGTCTTCCTCTCACTTCCTCTCTTGCAGTTTCTATCTTCAACCTCACATGCTGGAGGACCTGATGTCTTCTCCCTCCTTGCTGTCCCACAGCCTGGTCGCTGTGTCTGCAGGTGAAGACCTCGCTCACGTCACACAAAGCTTCACATGCTCTCACATCAGCAAACCGCAGCCGTTAAGCCTGGAATCAGCTTTATTATTTCTCCCAACAGTGAACAGAAAATGAAATCCAACTGTCCACTGCTACAACATTGGCGACAATTAATGCACAGTTTGAATTTCTGAGTCTTTCACAACAACAACAACTTCCAAGTCCAAATCTGATCATGGATTCCCATCATGAAGTTAATTCACCTCACTTGGAAATAAGATGCTAATATATAATATTTTTGACAATAAAGTAAATACCAGAGATGTCACCCATCAAAACGACCTTTCTGCTAGATTTAACAAGCCTTAAGAAAAACAGTGAATTATTTTTGTGTCAATACACCTTTGTTTCATGCTTACATATTATTCCTCTTTTAGGTTATTTTATCCAAGACTTCTTTGACGTGGCTTTAAACGAGTCCTTGAAACGTTCCTGGGAGGTGCTTCTCCACCACTCCGCGGTAATGAACTTTACTCTGTGTTTTTGTGTGTCTCTGTGTGTGTTTACACGTCTATGTACGGTCACCATGACCGACAGCTTAACACAATGCAAATAAAGGATCATTCCCCTCCACGCCCCCTTGGATGCTTGTATTTAGTCGTGCCGCATTTGCAATGCATGGCTGTCTTTCTTAAGTGACATATTTTCTTCTATATTTACTGGTTTTGAAGAAACACCCAACAACCTTCCCAGAGAGGATTTTAGAGCATCTAGTTATAGAATTAATTAATGAAACATTAGAGTCCATCCAGCTGTAATTTGGACCCTGGTAAAAGGATATTTGTAAGTTCAACTATGTTCATGCGTTCTAATGAAGACGTCAGTGAATAAACGGATCCCCATCCAGCAGGAAAAGTGCTCACAGACTTTAGGTCCCAAGATTGGAAAATAGATGACACGTTTTATTATCTGCGTTACGTGTGGGATTGCTGATAACTGAGGTAATAAATCTCTCTGAGATGATCTTAAATTGCAGATTGAACCAGAGGTAGTAAAACATTAATGCCAAACACTCACAGTTCAAGGTCTGCTTGTGTAGAACTTCAACAAGATATATGATATAATGTTTGCAAGATTATAACACCATTCCATATAGCCTCCTTCAACTTCTTCACCAAAATAAAATAGATATTTGGCAATTGGGTTGATTATTTACAATAATATATGTATTATTTAATACTCTAAACACAAAGTGTTCTTGGTGTATTACATATTCATTCATATCAACTCATTTGCAGAAATATCTGGATCTGAAGGTCCCCTCACGTATGTGTGTGTGTGTGTGTGTGTGTGTGTGTGTGTGTGTGTGTGTGTGTGTGTGTGTGTGTGTGTGTGTGTGTGTGTGTTGACCTCTGATTATTTTCTCAGGTGCTCTCCTGCTTCAACTTGTCAGTGACGTTCCGCCTCTTTGTGGGCTTCTCCGTGATGTCTCTGCTGGTTGAGATCAACTCCGTTTTCCTCCACGTCAGGCAGCTCCTCCTCCTGTCGGGTCGGAGGAACGTGCCTGGGACGGACGTCAAAGCCCCTCGGCCTTCTGTGGCCTACAGAGTGACCAGCTGGCTCAACCTGGGAACGTAGGTGGCGACGATTCTCTTCTGGAGGTTTCACAGCAGTAAAGCCACCTCTTGGACCAAAAAAAAGTATTTATGTGGGAGCATGTAGAAAAATCTGAGATCTATGTTGAATGTGAGCCTATGCATGTGTATGTCTTCAGACATATCGGAACATGAGAATCACATTTAATGATTTCCATGGCCGGTCTGTCATGTGCTGATACTTATTTAAATCACTGATTGATGAGGATGCCGTCGAGCTGCTAGCTTATCTGAATGTTTAAAGTAAGGATTCTCCGGATTTGTAACTTAAAAAGACTTGTTAGACATAGACACACAAACTTGTCCCCTTTCTTGCTGATATTCACATGACAAGGTTGATATCGTATCAATCTCAACATGAAGTGGGAGCCGGGGCACCGACACTGAGCCTTGTTTTGTCCAACAATAACAAATCTGCCTTCCAGGTTATTTCAAGAACAATATAAATTCTGGGTAAGCAGTAAGTACTTGCAGAGTTTCTAACAAGAACATTGTTGTCTCGACCTGCAGGTTATTGGTGTTTCGCGTCGGCACGATGGCTTGGATGAGCCGCTGGCTGGCAGCTCACAGTCAGCGTATGTCTCGCTACGTCCTGTTGCTGGGGACAGTGAGCCTGAGTGCCATTTCCACCATGAACATGGTGCTGTTCTACAGACTGCTCAGAGCAGACATCCTCACCAGCTCACCCGGCACAAGCAACGGCGAAGCCGGCTCTCGGTTTGCCCTGGATGGTCGAAGACAATGACTCCATTGGTAAAGAACAGTGGAGCGCTGTAACTTTATAATGTTTTCTTGATGTCAATACAGTAAAGATGAAGCACACGTTGGCTTTCCTTTGGTCATTCTTTTAGTTTGAAATGTACAAAGGCTTCTGCTCTCAGCTCAGATACAGCACTGCTTAAGCTGCGTTTATCCATGACATCATTTTCATTTAATTTACTTTTTTGCATTTTTTATTTATTCAGGTCCATTCAGGTTCCAAACTACAATAACACTTATTGGCAGCATTTCAAATGTGTAGATGCTCCTGATTTGTTCTTAATTCTATAAAGTTTTAAGATCACTCAGGTTTCACTCAGTTTTGAGTGCATTCACCTTTGTTTTAAGATGAGGCAACATGCAACTAACCACATGTAGTTCGTAATACCAAATAACCGATCAAATCAGCATCAACTACATCACAACCCTCTTCTGCTGGAACGAGGTAAGAGTGGGACCTTCACAGCTTGTCTTAGTTTGGACCTCTTCTTGTCTGACGTGTGGCAGGCGAATCTTCTCTGTCCGGGTCTCTCTCTCATAGCAGGGACACACCTTCAGGTGCTCTGACATGGACGGGACGTCTCGGAAGCCCCAATTCCCCACGGGAGAGAATAAAGAGCTGAACTGCCAGACCTGAGGAGACAAGAAAGAGAGAGAAAATAAGAGAGAGAGAGATGAATATTCAGGCCTATATTTTCATTTACACACAATATTCTCTCAAAATAGTATAAACATAATTGGAGTCAATCAAATATTAAATGTCAGTTAAGCAGTAAAGGACAGTACTCTTTGAGGTGAAGCTGCCTGTAGAATATGTAGCTGGTATCCAACCTGAACACTTTGTTAATTTAAACTAAAACAGTCCTGCAATAAAATGAAAGATTACGTTGTAGATGTTGTTTATTCAACAGCAATGAAACTATGGCGTATCTGTCTCTGGCTCGTATCAAACTGTACTCTCCTCCTTAATGTTGACCATCTCTTAAATATTCAAAATAATATATGACAAAATATAAACTGGCAGATGTTGCTGATGAACCTCATGCGATCCACTGTCACTGCTCATGTATGAAGCAGAGAGACAGACTGTGTTCTCATCTCACCGTCTGCTTCACCTTCCACTTTGCCCCCCCGTGCGAGTAGATCTTCTTCTCCCAGCAGAGGGTGACCATCCCTCTCTCCTGCAGCAGGGAGGAGCACACCTGCCTCATCGTCTGGGACACCAGAGACAGCTGAGACAGGGACAGACTGTCCAGGAAACCGGCCATGTGGCGGAGAACCTCGTAGGGCAGCGAGCTCAGAGAGTCCTCTCCTCCTCTTGTCCGACCTCCTCGCTTCCTCGGAGCATCAGAGGAGTCCACTGAGCTTCTGGAATGCTGGGAAGCTCCAGCCAGAGAAACGGGGATGATGGGATGCAGGCTAAAGCAGCCGAGGTCCTGGCTGAAAGAAAACTGGTCTTTCAAAGTTCAAGACGTTTTTACTTGATGCATGATTTATCTCTTTAGGTATCTGTTACCTGGAATAGCTATTTAAAATAGAGCATCACTAAACTCCAGTTTTAGAGTCACGCAATTGGGAATCACTACAACACAAATAAGAACTATGAACAGTGTTATACTTGAAGGAGACACAGGCTTTGTGAGTGGAGGGCTGCAACCTCCTCTGGCTGTAGGTGCATCCCAGGTATGCCAGCGGGCATCTCTGCTCGAACCACCCGTTCATACACATCTGGATGTCACTGTGGATGTTCCTGCACGTGACAGCATTTATTATGTTAAATGTGACAATAACAGTAGATTCAGAATGCTCAACCTAGTAGTAGATAGGAAAATGTTCATCAGCTATTTGTTGGCCGCATGCACGCTTAGACATTGCACCTTTTTAAAACTGTGAACATAATATATATTTGAATTTTAATGGTATTTTTTCAATTTCCCATCCAGGCAAAATTTGGACTTTCAAAAGACAATTTAATAAAAAAGTAAAAAGAGAAAACCCACTTATAATGTTTGCCATATTCTCTGCGCTGGAACATGCGTCCGCAGAGGAAGGTGAAGGCCGAGCTGGCCTTGTGGTGCCGATTGGTGACGCTCTCCAACTGCAGGTGTAGATGCAGTTCCAGCGGTTTCGCAGCATTTAGGTCAGCCAGCGATGTCTCTCCCCGGAACGGAGCAGACAGGAAGTTGTAGGTCTGTGTGCCTTCATCTTGTAACAGACCATCTGTGCATCTGCTCTCTGCAATGAGGTGACCCCTTTGCTCCTTCTCCAGGGAGCACAGCAGAGATGCCTGAACGCCACATCAATAACATAATGTGATAATGTGTTTATCAGTGGACAATGGAGAGTTGCATCATAGAACCAACTTCCTCTGAGTAAGTAAGTTAATTTCAGTTAAATTATTTCAGCCCTGAAAATGCTTTTATTGTAACACAAAGATACAGTAGGTAAATTTAATGTTCTCTCTGACTTGACAAACACTCTACTATTTTATCATTTCCAGTTACATTAATCCAAGTGAAACCAAAATAAAAGATTGTGAAATGTGAAAGGAGTGAATCATAGTGAAGTGACCACCGATGATTATTAATCCTCTCTGCAATTCAAGCAGCTTCCAGAACTTTGTTTATGGATAAGGTTTCATATTTTGGTTCAGTCTCACAGTGTTGTCTTTGGCCGCGACAGGCAGTTTTTCTCTTTGAAAAAGCTTTAAACTGTACTCAGCATCAAACAGTTTGATATTATGATATAGAGTCTAATAGTTGGATACTTGCATCACTGCTTGTTTCTGCTTCCCCCCGAGTGGCCAAACAATACCAATAAACGTTGCAAAAAAGGTGCAATGATTCCACTCGCCTGAACCTCCTCCCACACCGGCATCTCCTCTGGCGCCACCCCCAGGTCGCTGGTATCCACAGCTTGATCCTTCTTCTTCTTGTAGAAACTAGGGTTCCGGATGCGGGACTGCTTGGCTGAGAAGCTGGATGGGGTTTTGAAGGTACGCACAGTGATAATCTTCATCGGCTCCACGTGCCCGTACACAAATTCCCTTTCTGGGTTGTCAGCGAGAAAGGAGCAGGATCTGGAGGAAGCAATGCAGGGACCGCTACAGGTATCTGATGGATCTTCTTCTGTCGCAGTGGCCTGACCTTCTCCTCCCCCTTTAGAAAGTTCCCAGTCTCTGCCTGAAGCAGCTGCCTCTCCGGCTTTCCTGCAGCCACCCATCTCCATACTGAACATGCTCTCCCAGGCGTTGTAGTTGTCCAACAGATCCGCATCCAGTCTGGTGTCCCGGGCAACAGCGTCTCTCTCTTCTTGGGTGAGTTCCTGTTCGTACGCAGCGTCAACCTTCTCTTCGTCCTCGTCTTCGTTTTCACCAGGTGTGAGCGCGTCGACCATGTTAGACTCCCAAGTGTGATCCCCGGCCTCCCTCGCAGCCGCCCTTTCTGCTGCCTCTTTTTCCAGCTCCTTCTTCTTCTTCTTCTTCTTCTTCTTCTTCTTCTCCTCTCGCCTCCTTTTCTTCTCGTCCGCTTCCACACTCTGGGTCAGTTCTGGGAACAGATTTCTCATCTTCATGGAGTGAAACAAGAGGTCCTGGTCATTCAAGGCCATGGCCAAGTCCAGACATGTGCCCTGCTCTCTTTTGCCGAGCAGGTTTTTGTGCAGTTCGAGGTTTGGATAAGAATGGGCGTCGTTAGCCGGCCACCGGTTCCACTCCATGGAGCAGCACACCACGCTGGCCGGACACGCCTGCAGGTGAGCTGCCTGGGAGGAGCGCGGCAGGTGGAGCGGGCAGCCGTATTCGGCGTTGAGGCAGGGCACCCTGACGTTAGGACAGAGCAGCAGGTGATCCTCCTCTTTGCAAAGGTGGAAGAGAGCTCCACAGTGCAGGCGGCAGGGGATGAGCGCACAGCACACGGAGACCTCCACCCGAGCCCTGCAGCGCCGGCTGTAGCAGGAATCACAGTGGACATGCGGTCGCACCCTGGAGGCCCGGGAACGCTGACTCTGATCGGGTTTAGGGAGGAAGAAAGGAAAACGATGTGACATTGATTGTCAGAAGAAGAAGAAAAAAATCATCCATTTTTTATTTAAAGAGCACCCTGGCGTTTTTATTTCTACTAGTTCAATGGCCTTTGAAAACGCGCCTCTCCATGGCTCGTTTCTTGGCTCGTGGCGTTTCTTGAGTACCTTTCAATCTAAAAACCTTCACACTCAAGATTGTGCTTCCTTCTGTCCTTAGCAATACCCGTGATGTAACATGCAGTACTTGAATCTCATTACTATGTAGCTGCTTGTGAAATACAACATGGTTCATAAAAAATCACCTGGGGCAGTTTACGTTTAGGTCATTTTTGGATATGAAAATATTGAATAACGTTATTATGCTGACTAGTTGCAAAGTAAAACCCTACCATGCTTCAGATCCTGCAGGTCCTGCAAACAAAGAAGAAACTATGTATCTCGAAGTGTTGCACTTGGAGGCCAGCAGGGTCCTGAGATACTGGATATTGGAACTGAATCACAAGCTTATGCCTATGGTGCCCCGAGAGAAGAGAAAGCAGTGAAACAAACTCCTCGTTCTCCGTCTTGTGCTTAGACCAAGTGTTTAAGAGTGAGTGAGTGTGTGTGTGTCTCTTTGCTATTTGTGTGTTTTATAAATAGAGTCGAGCACCAACTGAGAAATGTTACGCATGTGGTCAGAAACATGGTTTGGGTTACTAGCGCCCTGAGAGACTGTATCAGGAAACCTCCTGCACCTTCTTCCCTCTGATTCACATTGAGGTGCTTGAGGAGCAAAATGACTCCCTAATATCCAAACAGTGTCCTCTAGTGGCGCTTTCGATCGAAACGTTGCAGGCGTATATCTTATTGCAGCCATTCTTTGTTGCGGCTCTGCACTTGATACGGCTGCACATTCATTTGGCCCCTGAATGAATAGATAGAGTTTGGTTGCCACGGTTGAATCCACGAGAGAAACTGGGGGCGTTGGGTGGGGGGGGGGGGGGGCGGTGTTGGGGCGGGGGGACTCCTGCTGAACCTGCTTGCTGCTTCTTGGCTAATTTTAACCTGGCAGTTCAAACATGCAAAGAGACCAAAAGCAACGTTATAAAACAAGGGGGAAGCAACACGTCTGAGGTGGGACCTTCGACTGAATAAGGTTTGATCCCACCATGTTTGACAATGTTTATTTGTGTTAGTTTAAAGCAAGCAGTACAAGGAAATGTGTTACTATTGGTAACAAAACTGTAAAAGTAAATCATTCCTTCTAGCGGTCGTCTGAGTTACCTTGTGCTAAAGGACACATAACTAATTACAGCTCCTCGTTTAATAAGAACATGGAAAAAATACATTTAAATGCAATCTTGTAAGAGGGCTTTTTGAGCCCACAATGATGCTTCCCATTGCTGTTTGTTGATCATGACATGCGTAATACATGGAACAAACAAAAAAAAGATTGTTTCAAAAACTCCTCATGGCAAGCCTCTAAAAGTCCTTCAAAGTAAACCAGAAGGGTGTAATCTATGTTTGACCTGCTATATGTGACAAGTGATGATGGATGTCAGGCAAACATTGCTTTGTCTTTAGTGATTATATAAAAGAGTGAGTAACACCTGTGATTCACTATTTAGGGTATTTAACATTACATGAATCTGTGTGTCATTTCACTTTCAGGATTCCAAAATATCTTGTTCAGCGTCCAGTAGACATGGTGAGTCACAGACATTCCACAATCCAATTATTGTTGAATCATATTCATGCAACTTTGATGCACAACGTTTATTATGCAGTTTCTACGTTGTTAGAGCGCAATTTTTCTTTCCCACCCGATCAGAGTCAGCGTTCCCGGACCTCCAGGGTGCGACCGCATGTCCACTGTGATTCCTGCTACAGCCGGCGCTGCAGGGCTCGGGTGGAGGTCTCTGTGTGCTGTGCGCTCATCCCCTGCCGCCTGCACTGTGGAGCTCTCTTCCACCTTTGCAAAGAGGAGGATCACCTGCTGCTCTGTCCTAACGTCAGGGTGCCCTGCCTCAACGCCGAGTACGGCTGCCCGCTCCACCTGCCGCGCTCCTCCCAGGCAGCTCACCTGCAGGCGTGTCCGGCCAGCGTGGTGTGCTGCTCCATGGAGTGGCTCCGGTGGCCGGCCGATGACACAGACCCACACGGAGGCTTGGCCCTGCAGGAGAACGTGCTGAAGGAAATCAAGGGGCAGCAGGAGCCTCTGGATCTGGCCATGGCCCTGGTGGATCAGTCAGACCTTTATGACCGCTTGAAAATGGCGGCTATCTTTCCAGAGCTGATGGAAGCAGTCACAGAGGAAGTGAAGGAGGAGAAGAGTGACGGGACGGCAATGGGAGGTTCTCTCAATGGTGTCACAGACAAAGGTAAAACATGTTTTCGTCCGTAATTGAAACAGGCAACATAGTAAAATAACACATCTGTTGTCCTTACACCGCACACATCTGCACCTGCAGAAAACGGCTTGCGTGAGGACAGCTTTGAGGAAGAGCCTCTACAGAACGGAGTGGGGCAAGCCTCAGGCATCAGCAAGGAGAAGTACGACCTGTGTGAGATGATGTTCGGCATGGAGAAAGGCGGCTGTGCTGCTGCTCAGGCAAACCAAGACGACCCCAAGCCCGGTGAGAAGGTCGCAGAAGGGTCGCAGAAGGACGAAGTAGTCGCGGATAAGACTGGTCAGGCCCCGTGGCAGGAGGGGGTCATGGAGCGTCTGGGACAGGAGCTCACACCGCAGGAGTACAACATGTATGTGATGCATCACGGGCGCATGCTGCTTACTTTCGGAAAGATCAAGGCCTGCACACCGAGGGAGGACGATTTTGTCTACGGCAGCCTGGAGCCTATCCCTGTCCAGACCTTGCACTCCTTCAAGGTGATGATTTAATTTATCGTTAAATATAACTGGTTTTATCACCCGTACAAGGTGTCAGCTTGCATCAACCACAGTGGTGACCTACTTCCTTTCGAGCATACCCACGGCTCAAATCTCAGCGGGCCTGAACAGCAATAAAAAAACCTGTGACGGGTGTGTGAAGGTGCGCCAGGAAAAAGATATTTCATTTTAAAAACGCAGACGTTCAACGATGCTAATCCGACATTATTCTTAACGTAAGCGGTAAGACTCCCAAATTGGCTGCAGGCATACTGTCTGCAGCCAATAGGAAAAAAATAAACAATAAAAATAAAAAAGGTTACGGTTGAGTATAAGACTCGCAGGCACAACGGACTTGTTTAAATGCACAAGTGAAGGATCATTGTTTTATAAATTCTTTCTTTAATAGTTAGTAATAGTTAGTTAAAATATTCGGTATTCTCTTTGACGCGGTCTAAAACTGCTCTGTGGCGCTGCCTGTATGTTGTTGGGAGAAAGACCCAGTGTGTGTTGTCTCTTTCAGATAATCTCACATTCAGGTATTGCTGCCATAAAGTAAATGTTTAAAGTGTTTTCGTAGGTACACTGAACTTTGGTTAAACAAGGTTGTCACATATTTTGGTTTGTGGTTTGACTCACTTGGCTGAGTCTCCAGACGTACATTAACCTACTTGTGTAGTAACCACACGTATGTAGACGACCAGCAGCGTCATGAACAGGATCCTTCACATACTTGCCTGTGTACTACGTGTTGGCACTGGAGCCCTGACGCTGTACAGCTATTTCGACAAGCATTTTTGTAACTGTGGAGCTGTGGCTCAAATGCTAGAACGGGTCGTGCTTCGATCACAAGGTCGGTGGATCTATCTCTGGCTGGTCTTGTCTGCATTTCAAAGTGTCCTTGAGTGAGGCATTGAACCCCAAGCTGCCCCCCCCCCCCCTCTGCACTTTACAGCTCGGCAGCTTTAGCAACTGGCAACAACAAGTAAAGCATTGCCAAAATGTAATGGGTAAAACTCCCCTTTGGAAGCTCTGTGAGGAGAAGATTGAATGGACTATTTTGAGAGCAATTGTTTTGGTCCTTCCGAACTGAGGATGACGCATATGAAAACATCCTGTTAACAACATTTATAGAGACGGCCTAATCGTTTCGTTACATCCCCTTTTTTATACCCGATTTAATTTTCGGCCAAATTAAATCTGGAGTTGGACACACAGTAGCCTGCTCGTCCACTAACAGGAAGGTGAAACATCGAAAACTGTAGGAGCGGTGCACAAACTACAGCAACTAGGAGGCGCTTGATCCAGATATAATGGCCACTCAGCCTAATATAACCCTGAAACCCCACTGTCCAACTGACACAAAACCCATTTACAGAAGATGTGTGCGTTGTGCTCTCCTGACTCACTATGTCAAATGTATTTCCTCCTGTAAGGTGCCCGACAGCTATCACTACAGCAGAAGGCGAGTTCATCACTATGACACAAAGCGGCCTCCGAGCGAGCCTCGCGGCGTGGACACGTCCGACCTCGTACTCATGGAGGAGGACTGCTTTAGTGACGAAGCAGCAGCCACATTGCTGGGCTACGCAGAAATAGAGGTCAGGGGTCACAAGGTCAGTCAGATATTTATGACATTATATGCAACGTGCTGGTTAACAAGCTCCAAAAAATAAAAATTGTACCATCAAAAACATGCATTCTCGAATAAATAAATTGAATCCAACTTGAAACCAGTTTCAAGTTACCGCAATTTGATTTTTTTAATTTTGTGGAAGAGTACAAAATGTAGCTCCTGCATACCGTTTACATTTTCCAGGTAAAACTAGAATGAATGACTTGTTGTGGTTTATTGGTTTCCATTTAGATCAGTGAGTCAAACGCGTCGGACGGGCTCTATGTCGACGTGGCCACGCAGACGCACTCCTTCCGCACGGCTCCGTTTAAAGCGAGCACGACGCTCGCCGAGGTGACGGTGGACCGACCGCTGAAGCTTCATCTTCAGCTGCAGTCGGAGAGGGTGAACAGCAGAAACACCAGAGCCAACAGTGTCTTCTCCTTCCTCTGCGGTCACACCTTCCACCGCAGGGAGTTCTCCACACATTTCAGGTGTCTCTATACTGCTGACCATGGAGTGTATATGGTGGAAAAAACCATTAAAGTAATGCCACGTCCATTTTGTCTCCTCGCTTCCAGGAACGTCCACTGTGACATTCAGACGAGTCTGAGCGGGTGGTTCGAGCAGAGATGCCCCCTATCCTACCTGGGGTGCACCTACAGCCACAGGAGGTTTCAGCCCTCCACACAGAAAGCCAGCGTCTCTTATGAGTGAGAGTATTTCAAATTCATTGATCCTGATTCAAATATTTGGGTCTTGCCATTTGACATAATTTATATTCTTATTCACTCCTACCAGCAGACAGCTAAGGAGCCAGATAGTTTCCTCTGGATTTTCTATAGACAATAAACAGAGAAGAATATGAATATTAGACAGGTTGCAACCTCTTGACAATCAAAGTCAATGCAGAAGTGCCCTAATCCTGCAGAGGGCGACTGCTCTGGTTGCAAAACAAGTGTGATTATATAGTCTGTGAGAAAATGACTCTACTTCTTACGTGATCAATTGTAGAAGATTGTAAATATGACTTTATGGCCTCAATCACAATAGATTTTAGTTAGTGTGATACAGCGTGATGTTCTCTTGGTAAATGATGGTCTACATAATAAAACAGAGAAGGTAAGGCTTTAGGGCGTGGCTACCTCGTGAGTGATACAGTTATCTCAATCGCAAAGTTGGACACAAAATAAATTTAGTTAAGAAAACTGGGTTTGTATTTGCTGAGTGAATGAAGGGCTTTATATTTTTATCCCTCTAGTCATCAGCTGAGGAGTTTCAACCTGCGTCCAGAACATGAGACCTCAGCAGGTGAAGATCCCGAGCCGCCCAGAGGCTCAGTGGACTCCTCTGATGCTCCGAGGAAGCGAGGAGGTCGGACAAGAGGAGGAGAGGACTCTCTGAGCTCGCTGCCCTACGAGGTTCTCCGCCACATGGCCGGTTTCCTGGACAGTCTGTCCCTGTCTCAGCTGTCTCTGGTGTCCCAGACGATGAGGCAGGTGTGCTCCTCCCTGCTGCAGGAGAGAGGGATGGTCACCCTCTGCTGGGAGAAGAAGATCTACTCGCACGGGGGGGCAAAGTGGAAGGCCAAACCTGTGAGATATGCGTACTATCATCCAATCCATCATGGCAGGCAACCTCATGCTAATTGTGATTCTGTTTCTCTGCAGGTGTGGCAGTTCAGTCACCTCTTCTCCTCGGTGGATTCGTGGCAAATGGCGGACGTACCTCCAATATCTGCTCATCTAAAGGTCTGTCCTTACTACGAGACCTCTCTGCACAGTGAGCCTGTTCCCCTCCTGAGCATGAGCAACAAACAGGAGTGCAGCCAGGAGAGGATGAGCCTCGTCAACCATTTTGCAAGAAACAGATTGCAACAATAACAATTACTACCTGCTGTTTTAGCACTTATTTATGTGTTTCGACTCTGATAATACTGTATAATGATGATGTTGAATGTCACCAAGCACAAACACAGAGCAAATAAAGAAATCCTAAACCTGAAGTATTTCTTCTCCTGTGTGATCGACCTCATATTCAAATGATATGATTGATGGTTTAATGATGTTGGTAGAGAGCTTTAATTGATCGATAACAACCAAAAAGAAGAAAGAAGAAAAACAGAAATGGAGGGTTTATCAAGTAGACCAATGAAGATGCAAGGAAATAACTAAATGGAGTTTAGCTCCTCTATGGCTGTAACTAATCTCCATTCAGTTACAGCCATAACTAAGTTAGTTTGCAGATTAGAAATGAACATACGATGGAAACGTTAAATATAGAGTTCATAATTATTGATGGAGACATCAAAAAGTATATTAGTTAAAAAAAATGGCTGTCTTTGAGATCCTGTAAATACTTAAAGTATTACTTAGTTTAAGTACTGCAATGGACCAATCTTAATAATATCTTTTACTTTTTACACTTGAAGTACCGTTTGCTAAATGCACAGATTTATAACTGCAATGTGCCATCTTTTTTTACACGTTTCAGTCCTTTTAAGTGACTCATCGGAATAATTCTGCCAGAGGAAAATAAACAAAGGACCTCATGTGATGCATAAGCTTTGCCAAGACGTTAAGCAACAGCTGCCACAGCATCACTTCCGCGGAGCTCCTCCTCCTCCTCCTCCTCCTCCTCCTCCTCCTGCTGCTGCCTCACGGCACCGATCACCCCTCATGCGGCACTGCTTTGTTGTGGGTACACCAGCCGCACTGCACGTACACCCAGAAGGTTATGACGAGGTTATTTCTACTCAGACTGCAGCAGGATTCGTTCACGCGGTCGGGGAAAGTCGGTCTGCAGCAACGAGGAAAACCGCTCAGCCGAGCGCACAAGAAACGCGCAAAGCGCCGGTTTGCACGCGCCGAGGATTTCTGCACGGGTCTCCCGGTGTTCTCCATCTCTGCTTCATCGAGGGACAGAGAGGACACGGCGGAGGGAGGAGCATCCATGAGAGACGCGCTGAACGGGGCACCGCTTCAGTATCACGGTAGGCCCACGTTCAGAGTGATGAATGCACAGTTACAGGTAGACGCAGAGGGAACGGCGAGAAAGACAACTGCACGAGGTTAAATAAGGGCTGGCGTTTTGCTCAGTTCAGACAATCGGAAAAATCAGGCAGACGCCATCCCCCTATCTTGATAAATACAAGTGATTTTATTGACTTGGAACAGGCACTTAGTAAGCCTAGCGTCTATGTCGGTCCTCATATTGGACACGTCACAGCTGCTCTGTGAGAAACCTTATCCGGAGACATCCAGCTGCCTGATGCCGGATGCACTGCATGCAGGTTGTGTCGGGGTGCAGCCATGGATGCTGGGAAGCTGGAGCGGCAGGTGGCCAGTGTGGAGAGAGGCATAGCCTTCCTGAAGCAGGAGCACCTGGCCATGCTGGCGGGTCTGCAGCTGGAGATCACGCACCTGAGGAGGCGCTGTCATGGTCAGTCCACCGGAGACCTGCTGCCCTCCATCTCTTCATGTGTCACTGAACCACTTGACCACTTGTCTATTCGTCACTCTGTCCCGTCTTTCTCTGTCTGTGTGCCTGTGGTGCTTCTAATCCTTGCGGGCTGCAGAGCTAACGTGTGAGCTGGACTCCAGGTTTCCTGACAGAAGCACAGAAGGTAAGACAGCTGGTCCTTGATGACATATTGAGAAATGATAAGAGGGCGTTATGGAGAGGAAAGCACGGACATCTGTGCAGTAGGAGGAGCATTCAGAAAGACCTCATAATAGAAAGGGTTGCATTGACGAGACATGTCGGAACATTAAGTAAGTAAGTAAGTTAAGTAAATTAAGTGATCTTTTGATGTATTTGCATTACTATCTGTTGTAGTCATTGTATTTGTTACAGGTACAGGGCTGAACTGATACAATATGCCTCATCGATATTGGCACCGTCACTGACATTATGAAGGGGTGCAATCATCCTTGCATATAATATCATCACATCATATCATAATTGATAAGTGTTTATGTGTAATAAGTGTTTTGCTGACATTCAGTGAGCTACAGCAGAATGCTAAAACATTGAGAGAGAGAGACAAAAACAAGTTTGTCTAACTTAAAATCAGATTTGGCTCCAGACTGGGTCCCAAATCACTGATAAGGAAGTAAATTACTGTATATGTGCTATTTATTTATCCTACTAGATTAGAGTGATGCAGCAATAGAAGGAGCATAGAAACGCCCAGTTAAAATGTAATATAAGAGAGAGATTGATAAAGCAGGAATAAAAAAGAGATGGAGAATGGAAAAAAATAAATAACGAATATTGACAACCTAATGGGGAGAACAATCTCCCCATCATCTTTGCTGTTTTCTGCACCTTTATTTTCTTCAGTCCATCCTGTATGTGTTTATGCTTCTCAGAGGAAGAAGCAGAGCTGGCAGCACGCTGCGAGGCTGCACAGCGTCTCCTCCAGGAGCAGCAGTGCATGATGGTCACCACGCGCGGCGAGCTACGGGCCGGCCGGGCGCGGGCATCGGCGCTGGGAAGGAGCCTGCGAGAGGAGGAGCGGCATTTCCTGGAGGAACTGAAACGCCGCAGCCACAAGATCACGCTACTGAGTCGAGAGCTGCACCGCCAAAATGTCACCACCACGACCCTCTGCCACGAGCTCCATACCGCGCGCTTGAAACTTTACCAGCAGCAGCGCGGCACGGAGTCCGGGGCCGAGGGAGAGGAGGAACCCAGGACAACGGAGGAAGGAGAAGAAGACAGGGATGATGAAGGAGACGAATGTGAGGAGGATGAAGATTATGAGGAGGAGGGCTCAGACTGGCTCCTGTCACCGCCCCCCCCGGCCTCCCCTAGCCAACGAGAGGCGAGACACAAGAGGCGCGTGAGGGAGGACAGGGTTAGAGCTTGTGTCCCCCAGGAGAGAGTGACGTCACCGCAGAGGCCGCAACCTATGCCTGACCCCGCCGTCTTCTTAGTGCCGCTCAGGTACCGCCTCCTTCGCTTGAGTCAGCCAATCAGAACTCAGCATGGGGAGGGGATGGAGGACGAGTGGGAGGACATAGAGGACAGCAGGGTGCACAGGAGGGTGGACATGGGAGCAGGAGAGGGAGAAACTGCTCTGTGAGAAAGACAACGTGGTCTTCCAGCAGGTTTTCGGCCAAAATCAACCAACAACTCAAGGCTTTTTTTGAGAAAAAAAGCTTAACAAGATGTAAACTTGTGATTGTCCGTAGATTTCAGGATGTGAGTTAAATATTTAGAAGTTAGCTGCACAAACGTAGGTGATCACAACAGCGTATTAACCGAAACTGTCGCATTTATGGAACAACCTGTGCTTGGGAAATGTAAAGGTAAAAAAGACTGGATAATGATACTGTTTCATATGGATGCCTTTTGATTTTAACACTATTGGTCACAGCTTTTGCTTTGTAATTCGTAGCCTTGCCATGAATACTGTGAACAAACCGTACTTTTGACGTACGTGATAACCTGCTTTTTCAATCTAGAAGGCTTAAGGACATTTTGTGTGATTTGCACTTTATTAAATTCATGCAATGTGCCTATAGTCAATGGAAGAGAATTATTTCTGGTGTGTTGTTGTCTTTTGTCTTGGGGTTATAAAAGTTTCAGTCTGTCACCGTAATACTTAAGCAGCAATAACTTTATGAATGGCTCTGTTCTGTCCAAGTAAGGTAGCCCTGACAATGTGAAAGTGAGCCAAAATGTTCAATACAATACAATCCGGACAGAGCTAAAAGGAATTCTGCCATCACTGACTTTTTTTAAATTGACATTATAAAATGTAGAAGTATCTGCTGCAAAAAAAGGCCTGTGTGGCTGTAAAAAGATGTTAAGACCAACCTCTCAAAAATATATATACATATTTTAATCTCTTTTCTTTGTTTAAGTGATCAATGAATCAACCAGACACCAAACTAAAACATTCCCCATCGTTTTCGAGGCATCGACTTTTGAGGCTTTGCCAGAATTTTGGCAACTGAATACCTTTGGGATTAGTCAAACATTTTATTAATTTCCATTTAAAATTTCTCATGTTTCACAGGTCAAACAATTTATCTACTAATCAGGATAATAATCTGCACAATACCTCCAGTATTAAATATCAGTATATTCCTATCTGAACCGTTCACAGCTCACTTCTGGATCTGAACAGTGTGCTGCTCATATGCTTTTATGTCAAATCTTACACTGGGTGGCAGTACAACCAAACCCTAATAGTGATACAAAAATGTAGCCCGATCTGTGTGTTTTGTTAAAGAAACAGAGGGAAATAACTTTCACACAATCCATATTCGTTTTCTTTTGGCCGGTATTTGCCCCCAATCATCACTTCTTGTCGATGCAGTTAAATGAAAACTAAGGTGAGTTTTAATAATTAGAAGATTAAAAAAACACACACACACAAATTCAATAGTTTGAACAACCATGTGAAAACACCCATGCTTCAAACAAGATTCATTCAGTTAATGTACTGAGCTCAAGGACATAGATCACCATGCACAAATGAACCACTGCATCTTAGTAGCCACTTCTGCGTTCCTAAGTCACAATTTAAAGCATCCAATTGAAGTTCACTTAAAATGCAAATCATTTGAGGGAGTACTGTTATTTGGTCAAGTACTATTTTCAATTAATGTATCTATTGATAATCTTGCTGTGACTTGTCCCATTCTGTTCCCACAGTTGTCTTGCAGATCGTGCTCAGAATGTAAATATTCTTGCTGCAGCGCTGCCATGACAACCGCAGAGCTGCTCCCGAGCGCTGATGCCTGAACACGCGTTAAGAGCAACGAAGAAGAGACACCGGAGGCCTGTTTGCCGGAAGGTGAGTTTTTTGGGGGGGAAACGTTTGCTCCGTTGCGACTTCGATAAAGCGTTTTCTAAAATAAGGGGGCCTGACAGCCCCGATACCGCGCGGCTATTTATGCGCCTCTTGTACGTGCTCACATTCAAGTTCGATAGAGAGTGCAGGGGCCGGTCAGAGAAACCGGAAGTGACGTCAACAACGGCGGAACTGTCGCCCTCTTCTGGCCTTCAATGAGTTGGCCACCAAGTGTGTGGAAGTGCGTGTGAGAAGAGGGCCTTCATGCTCCCTCTCACCTCCTCGCCACCCATGAAGGGCAGACACACACTCTTTCTCTCACACACACAAACACACACACGACACCCGGTTTGTGTGACGTGGTTTTGAAGCAAGGGGAGCCTGCTGCTGGGGAGGAAAGACTGGCAACTCAGCTCTGTCTGATGGCAGCTGAAGGAACAGCAGAGGAGTGTGGGTAAGATGAGACAGACAAGCGGTCTCTCTCTCCCTCTCTCTCTCTTCACGTGCTGGTAGGGTTCGTGATTGATTGCACATCATTTTGAATGTTGTGTTGTTCTTCTTTTGTCTCAGGGTACATGCGCTTTCTTTCTGCTTCACCTTGGGGTTTTTCTCACAAGCCTGAATACAGACCCGTGAGGATCCAATACATACAAATGTGGTCTATTTAGAATATTCTGCTGTTTTGATAGGGACGCTTCCAGGGAGGCAAATCATTGTAGTATACTGGGAAAGTCATCTGTGTTGCAGGATTGCCATACATCCAACATTCTTCCTTGCAGGGTCCATCTGATGAGATTTAGTCTCGAAGGTTTTCAGTCCTTTCCTCTGTAAGGTGACACCACTGCAGGGAGATTATCTCCCTGTCATCAGCTGTTGTATTAGGCTCTTAGCTGTTTACACGTGCCACACAAACAGACACACACGTGTGACAGTGAGACAGCCTTTAAAAAGAAATCTGAAATTTTACATTGAGAAAAACCTACATTATAACTGGTAAAAACGCTGTCTGAAGATGCCTGAATAAACCCCCTTTCAATTAAGTTTGAATTGTTACTTCTTCTCTCATAGGCCACCCGCACTCTCGTATTGCTGTTTCTTGCACAGAGGCACCATGGGGAACGTAGTCCAGTGCTGTCACGCACTGTCAAAATACTTTAAGAGCAAGGATGCTCAAGCCTGGGGTGAGGCGGAAAGATCCCCCCTGCTATCCAGCGAAGAGAGCGAATGTGAGTCGCCCGGCATGCCGGACGACTCGGAGGACGACTCGGAGGACGATCTGTCGACCGTCTCCCCCGGCGGGAAAAACCCCGCCTTGGAACCAGAGCACTTCCTGTTTCCTGACATCATTCTAAGCAGCAACCCGGGAGGGGATCTGACTCTGGTGGAGCCGATGGTGTGTCTGCTGGTGTCTGAGGAGGAGGAGGAGGGAGTGAGGGTGGGTGAGCCAAGAGACGAAGGACAAGAGTGGACCAACAGGTGGAGGAACAAGGGCTTTTCGGAGGTTCAGACACAGACCGAAGTGGAGACACGGATTGGCATGGGGGTGCAGACTCAGACAGAGTTTGTGGATAGAGAAGTAAACACTCTAAGATCTACTGGAACTTTGAAAGAGGTGGTTGTGCAAGAACATGGAATATTGAGACAGGTGGTGGTGCTCTCGGAGGAACAAGACAAAAGGACAGACTGTGGAATCTGGGCTGATGTGGACGTTTTTGAGAGAAACCAACTGGCCTTCAGAGATATAGCCGAGGAAGCTGAACAAAAACAGCTGAGCAGCACCATCAGCACTGAAGTTGTGGAGAGCTTGGACCTGACTCCACAGAGCTGTCTGGCTAATGAACAGTCGGGGCAGCCGACGGCGGTGAAGGACCGGAGTGTCAATCCCCCCAAAAGAAACACAAAGCCGGCCGGCGAGCCAGAAGAACAGTCAGATCTGAACGCAGAGCCCCGTGGCGGCAATAAGAGCGCTCCGCCACTCGAGGATGAGGACGAGGAGACAAAGCAGACCCGGTTTCTAGTCGACAGGCGGTTCGTGGCAGCACCACATGTTCAGGGTGAGTGGTTTTATTGGATTGTGAGCCTCAGTTTTCATTTACACGTCAGTTTGTTTTTGTTTCAAGCACTGTGGTGTTCTAACATTCTGCCGCTCTGCAAAGAGGATCGTTTTACTCTGAATTCCAAATTAAAAGAGAAAATTGCCAAAGGCTTATTTGCTATTATTATAGCTTAGTCAGTATAATCGGCCATGATTAAATGTTAATAAGAAAAAATAAATTGGATATTGAAATGACAAAAAAATAGAGGGTGGAAAGGGAAAAATACATCACAGCTATTTTTACTTTTTAATTTAAGGGAAGGAAAATTCACTTTTCTTTTTTCAAATTCTCATTTGGTAATATCTGCTATTGCGTTATTTTGTCTCTTCTGTTGCCAACAGAAAGCCCCGAGCATGATGGGATTCAGTGTGAAGCTGATGAAACCAAACTCCGCATCAGGGAAACCATCGCTCTCCAAGAGGCAAACTTTACTCTCCGAATTCAACCTCTTGGGAAAGAAAGTTTTGAGCTACAGGTTCTGTTCACCTCCGTCACCTCCTTTTCCTTTTAAAGAAACATTTTCTTAAAGATGTGTATATTCACGTTTTTCTGAATCACACCAATCCAACCCTCTTCCGTTCTCAGGTGTCAGGCCAGATGTTGGTGGCCGAGCTGCACCAGGTGCTGATGGATCACGAGATCAGCTGCCATTGCACGTGCTTCTCCCTCCAGCTGGGAGGCGTCGCACTCGACGGCCTGGCGGAGCTGCGCTGCGTTCAGGGCATGCAGGACGCAGCGCTGGTCAAAGTGGTGGAGGGTAACTGCCTCATCCTTTTTGTGTGTGTGTCTTTCCCTTTGGAGGGAAACGTTGTGGGCATTTGACTTCGTTGTGGATGTGTAAACATGTCGTCACAGGGAGATCCTTTTTAATAGGAATGTTGACCTCTCATCCGAGAGAGGCTGTATCAATATGTCCCAAAACCGCCACCGCTACTCAGGCTACGGAAACATGATGAAAAAGACAAACTCAATTTATCAAGGAAGGGTTACAGCGTTGTCTGTGACTTACACAACAACGCCACCATTGTTTTTTTAACTTTAATTTAGTTTAATTAAGCCATTTTATACTGCACCCTTTGTCTTATATTTTCAATACATGTTTGTGCACTGATTTTCTCATATTTTTCCTAGAAATGGAACACGGCAATGATTTTTTTTTCTCCCCTTTCATCTTGTGCAAGATTGAATCAAACGCTTTGCAAGCATATTCTCCGCTCTTGTTGCAGATCCCTACACCGTGCGGGACGCTCGTCTTCATCTCAGACATGTTCGTGACCTTCTGAGGAGCCTCAACCCAGCAGATGCATACAACGGAGTGAACTGCAGCTCACTCTCTTACCTCACCTTTTACACCAGGGGAGACAAAGGTCTTATATATATTATTACTCTCTTATTAACGCCTCGCTTAAGGTTTGGCCTGAGGTTCTCCGCCTGCAATTATTAAATATAACGTTTCACCATCATATACACCCCTGCAGACTGTGACAATGTTGGGAGTAGGCGAGCCTTTGAAAAGGAGTCTGCGGGCCTCAGCCCTCCAGAACACATCCTCCCGGGATGTAAGGACCGACCACTGACTCCGCTGCAGCCACTCAGCGACGACTGGAAGGTGAGACATTTCATCGCAACCCTTGTAACAACCATCAAAATGGTTAGCTATGTAACATGCAGTGGAATGTGTAGTGAAGCAACAGGTGGACTTTATAAAAATATCATTACAGCCATTGCAGTGCCTGCGGGTTCTGACCATGAGCAGCTGGAACCCTCCTCCAGGAAACAGGAAGATGCACGGGGACTTAATGTACCTCAATGTCCTGACTATGGAGGACAAGGAACTCAACATCACATCCTCTACACGTGGCTTCTACCTCAACCAGTGAGTGTTGAACTGACATTTGTTTTCTAAGCTGTGAAAATGTAAGTTTGTAGCCTTGCTAGCAGGTCATGGCAGGTCAAAGTCTTCTCTTATCCTGAGGAAAATATCTTATCGATCAAGATTTTCTACAGACATTGATGGTTTCCAGACTACGTATGACAAAGTTCATGTCGTGATGACATGTAATCTTTTTGGTGAGCGCCTCATTTCTCATCTAGCGCAATCAGCAAGTCAATGTGACAAATTGTCCATAACTTGCTTGACTGCTCAATGTCAGCGTGTTAGCATTGTCTTAGTGAGGATGAACAATGCTAGCCTTTAGCTCGAGCTGCTAAAGCACGCCCTCACAGAGTCACTTGCATGGCTGTAGACTCTCGGTCTCGCTCTCGTGTTGTATTTCTTCCATGATTCACAAATAACATTGTCACCTGGATTCAACTTGGGCTATGCTCTGACTGCTCCAGGTCTACTTCCTTCAACTTCAACCCTAAACCTGCACTACCCAAAATCCTCTGCCACTCTCTAGTTGAGCTGCTGAGTCAAGTCAGCCCTGCCTTCAGGAAAACCTTCAGCGCCCTGCAGAAAAAGAGGTGAGCTGTACCTGCATGCTAAAACAAGATCAAGTGACATGCAGGGTGTTTAATATTAATAGTTGTGGATGGAGATACAGTATTAGTGGGCTGAGGTTGAAGTAACGTCAGTTGAATAAGGCAGAAACCCTCACTTTCATACCAGCACTACTACTGATGTATTTTCCCGCTGTCACTTGTTGTGAATCAGAGTCCAGCAACACCCTTATGAGCGGATCGCAGCACCTTTTCAGGTGTTCACCTGGATCGCCCGTCATGGAGACCACACCCATGACTGCGTCAGAGCGGAGGAGACACACACCAGTCGCATGGGCCAGGACGAGCACACAGCTGGGCAGGTGGCCGACATAACATTTGCATGCATGCAAGTACAGGTTTCATGGAGACGCTGAGGCGAAGGGGTATCGATGGTGATGCTGAAGTTGTAGGTGTTGTGTTTTTATGACCCAAGAGTCGGGACTGGAATGAGGAGCTGCAGGCATGCAGGGAACTCGCTAGAAACTCCCTTCAGAAGCGTCTGCACAGAGAGAGGAGCGTGTTCAGGGTGAGGCCACATGTTTCTAAGTACCGCCTTTCCCTCTGATTAATGGCTAGAGAAGCCGACTTGTGATCACGTCTGAAGCAGTAACCAAGCATACAGATGTTTAAGAGATATTTTCCCCCCTTAACTTCCTCTACATTGTGTTTTAATAAAATCCTTTTGGGGTTATTCCTTCCTGCTCCAGGATGAGATTATGTGACCCTTTTGTTTTCGAGGCAGAGAAAATATTCACCCAATTATGAATCCCTCCTTCCAGACAAACCGCGACTTTGTTGCCGCTGCAACGCAAGGTGCTGTAGCTGTGATCGACGGTAGCGTCATGCCGCTAAACCCCGGGGAGGCGCCTCACATGCAGATGTTCATTTGGAACAACCTGTTCTTCAGCCTTGGTTTCGACATATCTGAGCACTACAGCCCACTAGGGGGCAACACTGCGGCTCACGCTGCTGCCATTTGTGACCTGAGGGGAGCACAGGTAGGTCCTGCATGAGTTGTAATGCGATTGGGAGGCATTTATTGTCTAATCCGTCTCATTTAGAATTACATTTGTTCCAGGAAGCACAGTATTGCATTCAGCGGTTCGGTAAGGATACGATTACATGGATTTTCATGAGGAAAACAGTATTCACCAGTCAACAAAAAAAGATGTATCCTGTGCAACTGCGCTTCTTATATTTTCACTTCCAAATACACAGTTATTCTAATCTATTCACTTCTAAGCACCGGGTCACAACCCACAGGTGGGCTGCTGAAGGTTTTATGAGGGTTGCCAAGTCAACCACCATAACTGCAGTGGACCTTTTAATCCTTAAAGATCCTTTTAAATGGGGTACCCTGAATGTTCAATTTATTTTGATAATTGTATCCTACATTAAATCGAATATTAAAGGCCACAGTTTAATATGTTTGTTTAACTGCAAGGTGCATATATTTTCTTTTATTTATATAGTATTTAACATGCAAATATATTTTCAATAACAAATGCATAAAACAAAGAAATACATTTTTAATCCCTTGAGGTGTTTACGATCGAAAAAGAAATACTCATGTTCTCTGCTCTGCTGCAGGCTTACGCATCTGTAGACGTAGAAGGTCTTTACACGCTCGGGACGGCCGTGGTAGATTATCGGGGCGTCCGTGTAATCGCTCAGACCATCGTTCCCGGAATACTAGAGAAAAATCAGGAGCAGAGTGTTGTCTACGGCTCCAATGACTACGGGAAAAACGTGTTTACTCATCGCAGGTAACACAAATACTCACAAAAAATAATTGTGATAAGAATATAGTAAAATAGCGGACGTTTAGACAACTTTCCTCACTCCAGGTTGCTGGAGCTTCTGGATAAGACCAGTAAGCCGCTAAGAATCCAACGTCACCAGGTGCTCGACCACAACAACATCCCAGTGGAGCTTTGCTCTGGCATCGAGACCAAAGGCATCCTGGGTAATGACGGAAGACCTTACATCTTGGACCTCCTCCGGACCTTCCCCCCTGACCCCAACTTCCAGTTCCAAGAGACAGAGGAGAGGAAGGAGGTGCCGAAGGAGTGCCAGATCTCTGGTTACCCACGGCGACACCGTCACAGCCTGGCCAGCCTGAGACCAGAGCTGATCGAGGCCTTCGTCCAGCACAGGTGAGGAAGAGGAGATCAAACTGGCTGAGCTGATATTTGGAAATGAAGCATCTAGTTCCTTTTAAATTTTGATTTTTATATTGCAGGTATAAAGATTATGTCAAGATGATGTCCATCCAAACAGAAGAAGAAGCAGTAGAGCGGAGCGAAAACCTAGTCAGTGAGCCGAGAAATAACGCCACACTCGGTGCTGATATGGGTGAATTTTGCTTTTAATAATGAGTATATAGTTGTTAAACAAATATTTAGTACTTTTCATTGAATGATTTTCCTAATTTTACATAAGTAAGACATCAAATACAATTTTTGCCTGTCTGTCGATGAATAATGTGTTTATTTTATAGAATTTCGGAGAGGAAATCTGATTATGGAAGCTTGCGAGGCCGTCGGATCAGTGAGTGACTCTTGCTTCGACATCCGCTTCAACCCTGATGTTTTCTCTCCAGGTATCAAACACACTTGTGGGCGCACACACACACTCACAAGTACGAAAAACGATGTTTTTAATAAATCAGATTGAACTACGTGTCTTTGCTGTAGGTGTTCGTTTCCCCTCTGAGTGTGTCGAGGAGGTTCGGAGGCAGAGGCGGTTGTTGTGGGACGTAGCTGCTTTTCTCCTGTCCAATCAGATCCCAGCGGTGGTAAGTTCTGTTTGTAACCTTCAGATGTATAGCGTGCATGAAGTCTACTGCAATATCTAAAATTCCTACTGCTCTTCCCGTGTGCGTTGTGTGCGTGTGGCAGCTGAGCGACTGTCTCGACTACTCTGCAGTGCCGATGGATGGAGGGACCCTGACCGCAGCGCTACATGAGCGGGGTGTGAACGTGCGATACCTGGGCACCCTACTGAGGGAGCTGGACAAGGTGGAGGATACAGGGAGACTCGACCACATCCAGGTATCTGCTACGGCTGTTCCTACCATTAAAACCTACATGTGAAGTCATCATAGCAGCTTACTTCAAATCAAAGATTTGATTTCTAAAGTTCTTGCTCCTTGGCTAAAGCTCTTTCTGATTGTTTTCTTTGTAATATGGAATATAAATAATTTTTTAATAGAAAATTAAAGAAGCACTCAGAAACAATGACAACTGTCTGTCAGGATGCTAAAATGCCCTTGATCACATAACAGATAAATTGTTCCCTCACAGAGAATATCCATCAGCGAAGTCATCACCAGAAGTGCAAAACACATCTTCAGGACGTATCTACAGGTGCAGCGCTCCAAATATTTTTACAGTACAATAATAAGATGATATTTTGCTATCCATTCTATATTCTCTAAAATCCACATATTTCTCCCAGAACGTGGAACCTGCAGCTTTCTCTGCTGCTGTCAGTCACTTCTTAAACTGCCTCCTGAGCTCCTCCTCCTACGCCACCGACTCCTGCTCGGATGAGCTGCTCTCTCGCCGCAGGAGCCGACGGCGCCGGAGCAACGGGAGTCGAGTCGCCTTGTTGGCGGACAGCGTGTGGGCCAGACTGACCCCCAGTGAACTGTGGGGCCGAATCAGGACCGAGGCTGGAGAGTATTACCACTACACGATAGACAGGTGTGTGTGTGTGTGTGTGTGTCAGCGGGTGGGTGTGGTTGGAAATGTGCAACAGCATTTTACCTCGCCATCCTCTGTCTGTCCAGTGAAAGTATAGATGAAGTGATACAAAAGCACAGCCTTCAGAGGATCTCACTACTGAGAGAGATTGCCATCAAGACCGGCATCCAGGTCAGACATCTGCCCCGCGCCTCTTCACCACACATTTACAGCTCAAACTAAACAGATTCTCTCCGTCTTAGAGGGAGGCACGCCAGGTGAATATGATAAAAATATATATAAACAATGATCATCACCATAAAACGTCCTTAGGTGATTATAGATTATTTTCAAATATGCAAAAAAGGTATTCCGTAATGCTAACTTATTAACAAAGTTAGTTCCAGGAGAAACCTACTGACACAAATGGGCAAAAAACACCTAAACATGTTTTGGAGGTTTTCTTTGCAATTTATTATGCAAGACAAATAATACAAAATATCAACTGACCTGCACAGGAAACAAAATGTTTTTGCCTGGTGTCCCTCATCCTAAAGCTGCACTAATTGTTGTTGAATTTACACCTTTTGTATCCTTAACAATCATAAATGGTGCTTGAATAGATGGTAGTGAAGCAAAAGAGAAGAAGCTGAGAGAAGTTAAAAAAAATCTTCTCTGAAGTTCACTTCTGATTGAAAACTCGGGCCAATTATGCTGCTAATTGTTGAATCTACTGCAGATGCCCAAATGATATTTATACATTTTCTTGGCCACACCACTAGAAATGTCTGCTGATATTTGATGCTCAATCGACCAGTGTGCTAATGTACGTTAAGGGCTTAAATGACGCTACTGTGTGTGCATACAAAAATGAAATCACCTCAGTGTTGACTTGCAGCTAAAATGGGACATTTTTTCTCTGTATTCAGGTGCAGCTGAGGGAGTACGTGTTCGACTCTCGTCACAGGCCGGTCTTTGCTAAAGAAGACGTTGTCAACATCTTCCCTGTGGTCAAACATCTCAAAGCCACAGCAACAGACGCCACGCGGCTTGTGCAACACGCACAGGTGGCGGTACAGCAGGGTGAAAGACACAGGCACTAAAAACATTCAAATACAGTGTTAATGTTTACATTTTGGGAAGCATAGTGGACACACTTGGCTAAAGACATCATAAAATGACGTCAAGGGGTCATGTTTTTGATGCAAGCGGTACAGTTAACATCACACTTTACATCTTAGTGGTGTGAGCCTTGATAGCAAAGTTGGTAAACACCTATAATATGAGAGAAAAAATATTTAAAAAAAACGTTACTACTTACATTTTGTCAGACGGCCAAATCTCAAGGTTTGGTGTACTTCATGTTTTTTAGTAGCGTTTTATTTTTTCGCTTTTAGGTCTTCTCAAAGAAGGCCATGGATTGATCAGCCAGGCCCTGACTCTGTTCAGCAGCGTATGCGGTGTCCTGCATGAGGACGTGTGCAGCTGCTTTCGTCTCCTGGGACGGATCTGCTACATGATGGGGGAGTATGCGGATGTAAATATGCACTGCGATTCATGTCTACGATGAGCTTTCACCTATAACGTGGTTCCACCCTTCATTCATTCGTGAGCTTTCGTAAAGCATTGCTTCCCTCATTTCTCCACGAAGGCTCTCAGCCATCAGGAAAAGGCTGTCATGAGTAGTGAGAGGACACGAGGTATTGACCACCCACAGACCATACAAGACTATGTGAGTTCCTCTTTACATTCATCCACAAATTGTTGGATCGTAACACGTTAACCCTGTTGTTCTTTTAATGTCATATTCCAAACGCAAGTTCACGAGGCAGCATTCTGCTACGTGTGATTCAGACTCACCTGGCCCTGTACTGCTTTGCTGGTGGCCGGCATTCGACCTCCCTTCAGCTGCTGTATCGCGCTCGGTACCTCACCCTGCTTGTGACGGGAGAAGACCATCCACAAGTCGCCCTGCTGGATGTAAGTGGGACCTGAACCAAGTGTCTTGGTTTTCAGGAAATGGTGAGCCTTTGTCAGATAACGAGAAAACTCTGAGGCTTAATGTTGATGTTCCTTTTTTTTCTCCACTTGATTAGAGTATGCTGGGTCTAGTGCTTCATGGCCTCAGGGAGGATGGGTTTTCCCTGAAGTTCCTACAGAATGCCCTAATGTCAACTGCAAAATACCACGGTGCCACATCCCTGAAACGTGCACAAAGGTAAGACAGCTTCCTCTGTTTTGTTGCTTTAAAGTTTTCACTACTTCCCTGCCCGTCTCTGTCTGTTCTCGGTGCAGCCATCATCTTCTTGCCACCGTGTACGAGAGCAAAGGAGAGTTTCGATTGGCTCTGCAACACGAGGAAGAGGCCTTCTCGATATATAAGAGCCAGGTATGCATCAAAAGCCTGGAATGCCATGGTATCTGTCATATTTATGTTGCGTACTCATATTTTTCACGAAGTGACTTCATTCATGGACGCATTCAGGTGGGGGAGAACCATGACAGTGCGAAGGAAAGCTCAAAGTACCTGAAGAGCCTCACTCATCAGAAAGTCATCAACCACATTGACAGTAACACACCTGCCGGTATTTCACCTCCAAAGGTTTGTCGGGTTTGAAGCACACTAACGCATACATGCATGCAAGTATATCTGGTTGTGTGTACATTTATTGCATCCGTATTTCCCTCTAGGTTCCCACACCAAGCTTTAATACGATCCTTCAGCAGCTCAACCTGGCATGTGGAATCATTGTCGTTACCCTCAGATGAGCGCTGTAAGTCCCTTTTATGAAATCAAAAAATAACTACTACATTTTTTGTTAGTAATGTTCACCTCACCCACTTTGTCCTTCTTTGTAGTGCAAAAGAACGTGCAGACCTGAGGACGGAAGTGAAAGGAATGGAAAAAGTTCAGTGGGAGAGCTGGAAAAAGACGTAAGAACCACAGACAACAACCCTGGAACTACGGACCGAAGAAATGGTTACAATAGAGCGTCTGTGTATCAGTCCAACTCCTGCAACAAATCCAAGCCATGAACAGATGAAGTAGGCTCCCTTCGAAGGAGCAGTTGTTCTGTCGTTGTCTGTGGAGGAGCGAAGAGCCTTAAGTCACAAGCTCTTAAAATATGTGCAATCCATGTATTAATAACACATAATAACATATGTCAACTATTTTCCTTTTTATCAGATAAATGAATATAAGCTCCACACTAAATCTAATCATACTGCTAGATGAATAAAGAAGCACAGTAGTTTTCTTAACAATGTGCCCCCCCCCTTGTAGTCCCCTGTGTGTCCACTGGGCTTCACAATAGTGCCGTGGACACTTCTCACAACATGATATCCTAAGATTCAACTCAATTGTTTCGGATGTGTTTCGAGTTATTGTTTAATTCATGTTGTTTTTATTGATAACCGAAAGACTGTAGAGAAATAAACATCTGAGTATCTTATGTCTTTATTTTAATAGAAGAAGACATTTTAACGGTACATTAATAGCTGCCTAAACTGGAATGTAGAGCATTACACTTTGAATGTATTGTTATTAAAAGTTCAAATATTGTTGAGTTGATCTACTGGCCTGAAATTACAGACTAATTAGCGATTAGAGAAATCAATTTGAGATTTAAACTCAAATAACTGCTCTTTCAATACAAATAATTACAATTGCTAATGTATCCATATAGTATTTTAAAAGTTTGGAAGGTTTTTTCCGTTTCCTAAGAAGTTATTCCAATATTCCCCATCATAAGAGATTAACGATTAGTCTGAAAAGAGTGACATCTTCCCAACAAACTGTCCCTCTGCGGCTGATCTCCGTGAGAAACGTGCATTTGCTCAAATTAAAACGTCGCTGTACGTCACAATAAAAACATCTTGTAAAACTAATTTACGATGTATTTTTCCACAACAAGAACCAGAGAGGTGCACGCTGCGCGCCTCCGCTCAATTTAACGTGCGCGCGGCCGATATCCAACCGCGACCGTTAGCCGGGGCCGAGCTAATGCGGTGGTACCAAGGAGGAGAAAAATCTGACCGTCTGTGCCGGGTGATGTGAAAAGTCACAGTATCGCAGCAAAACCGGGGATTCCAGTCGCATGGTTAGGCCTGTCATTGGGATATGAGAATGACCGTTTGTCAAAGGGTAGGTTGTTGTTTATCTACGCACGTCTACATTTTTGTTTTTGCCACTTGGAGAGACTGGTTATATTTGACGAAGAACCGCGGTCCCTGCGCTTTCCCGTTCCGATCGCAAAATGGCGGAGAGGCCGCTAGCTGGGCTAAGCTAAGGTGCAAAGTTGGCATTCGCAAGAGCATCGATTTGAAAACAGAACGTCAAGATAATCTGACGGCGATATTAATCCACTACATTGAACATGTTGGTCATATCCAAACTACTTCTGCGTATACAGATCGATGTGGGATTTGTACCGAGACACTTGTTGTGACACCTAGCTGAGCGTTCGGCTAACGCAGCGACGTCTATTTCTGGAAGTTCTTTGGGGATGAGCTAACGTGGTGCGATAGCCGGCTAAGCTAACGTAGGTGCTGTCAGTTTGCTGCCGTATTTTTATATTGCCCTGTGCAAATAAATGTTTGCTGTGGATTTTGCTAGAAAATGCTCAAGTCAAACGCTGAGTGTTTTTATTCTAGAAGTTGTTGCGGACACCTCCGCGTTGGTATGAATAACAACGTAAAACCAGTGTTGTAACGTTACCGGGGAATAACATCTAGCTAATAGCCATATTATCAAACCTGTTAAATATGACATTTCCCTTTTTAATTGTAACGAACAACTGTTTGTTTTTCATACATAGGGCTGTGTTCCTTAGCCCCTTGTTGTCATAGACCAACGCCCTTTGTGTGTGTTTTGTGTAGTGGCTGTGTGGTATAAATCTAGTCTGCTCAAACTGACAGTACCAGTCAGCGTCTACGTTTTCGTGCTAAGCTAACGTTAGCTGGAAAGGGCGTTGCTGAGCCATTGCTGCAACTTTGCCCTTGTGGCCATGGAAGCCTGGAAAGACGTCACACGGGCCACATTTTCAACCGAGTAACGTTGCAGATCTCTGAAAAATATTAAAGCAGCCTTTCGCCAATTTGAGTGTTTTTACAGTTAACTGTAAGGCAACGTCCTTATGGTTGAGTAACCCCAATCAGGGTGGAGACTTAAAAGGGGACCAGGAATACTGATAATCAACAAAGCTGTGCAGATTTAAACGAGATGTCTATAGCTGTCTGATGAGGTGGGTTTAATACCAAATGAATGCCTTTTAGTAATAGTCCAGTAGCTGCTTGTGCATGGCATTAACTGTGGAAAAGGTTATGAACTTTTCAGAGTTCAAATATATATTTTATGTACTCTCATTATCTGTTTAAAATTATTTAACTTTTTTTTTAAATAAGTGGAAAATCGAATGTATATGTTTTGACGTCATGTTATTCCCACAGGCTTGTCACATTTTTATATTGGACTGTTGGCATTGATAACATTTAGATAAAGGTTGAGTAAGGTGTGTTTAAAAAAATGTATTGTAGCCAAGGAGACTGGTATTGCAAGAAATCCGTCTATAGAGAGACGGCAGAGATTAATATAAACGTAACGGTCGGGTGGGCTGCCAGTTACAGTGAAAACATGAATCGACCTGAAGTTTGATATGTAATCAAACATTGCGGTGTGGTTCAGTTTTGTAAGCAGGAACTTGTTTGGCCTGAAGGTCACCCATAAGGAGGGGCGTTGTACCACAGCTGATACAGGATGACTGCAGCTGGATATTCCACCAGAATGTATGCAGGTCACTAGTTTTATTGCCTTATTCTTTACTTGGATAAACATTGGTTACTCAGTAATTCAAAGTGGTTCGCTAATGCTAATCACACCTGCTTTTAGAAACAACATTGAAATAGCAAATACTTGTCAATTGAAAGGAAAGTAATTCTTAATCTTTTTATTTGAGTTCCAAAGTCTATAAACAAGTGAGAATGACCGTTCTGTACTTCCAACTTCTCCAATTTGATGTTTTCTCTGCCTCCTACTTCTCCAATTTGAGGATTTGGTTTCTGGAAGTTATTTTCTTTTTTTAATTTAAAGGGCTGTTTTCACAAACCACAGTCATGATCAAAAAACATGATCATCGAGAGCCCAGATGTAGTCAAATCCTCCTCTCGTCCTATTCGGCTCCCACCATTATCATTATTGTTGTCCCTTCTTCGTATGAATGAGTAGAACATTCTGTTGCACAGGTGAGACCTCGCATAGTATCTCCTGTCATTGGTCTATTAATGGCTCATCAATGGCTGATTGATGACATGATGTGTGAAAAAGCTTTGAGGACAGTTCTATAAAAGTGCAGTCCAGTTATGAGTAAATACAGAAGGCCGTGAGGCTGCTCCATCTCCTAATGACCGCTACAGTTTCCCCAGTGGTCGTCCTGCTGTTCACGCAGTTGGTCGCCACTACAAAGACGCGTGTACTTGACATTTACACCTAATTGGGATTCGGGTCATTTACTATTGTTTTTCTGCTGATGCTATGTTTGATCTGATTAAATTTGCATTGGACATTATACAATAGTCCTACTGATGTAATCAATTAACTGCTGTTCATCTTGATGCTATTTAGATTTTGATGTCAAAGCGTCAAAATTAAACTTTTCTGCCGTTGACTTTGCGTGTTCTCTGCAAGCTCTGCATCTCTCTGTAACAGTATTGTACATCCACAAGTGTTTCTGTAGATCACAACAACTCCAACAGCAATGTTTCTTCTCTTTAGCTGATGCTATTATCCTAAATGCATTTGTATTGCCTACTCAAGGTCTAATCCTACTTGGCAACATCATATTATCAATAATGTTGTTAACTTTATATTGTGTAACTTTCCTAATAGCCGGACCGTTCCGTATTCCCGTCAGGTAGTTCATGATGTATCTGGCGAGCTGAATATAGAAGGCTATGTTGTTGTTTCAGTGTGACAGATTTCCGGTACATTAAAGTATCGAATGGGACTCCCCATTGATAAAGGACTCTCGTCGGGATCGAGACCGTGAGACTAATTATTGGGGTGGTTCTTTGACCGTGGGCCTGTTATCTGTTGTAATGTTAAATTGAACAGATTTGTCATGTTATTTTCCCCAAATTACGGTTTTAGGGATCAAACTACTGACAATTCTTTATGTTAATAAAAAAAATCCTGTTTTTGAGTAAGCTTTTAAAATGTCAGAAAAGTACATAGTAAAAGAAAAATAGCAAATCCTCACAGTTTAGAAGCTCTCATCTTAATTCATTAATTACTTAAGTAGGCATTTAGTTCAAAATAGTTTATTATTATAGTTCATTATACTTTCAAGATGGTTGAAAGCAATTATTTTCAACTATCTTTAAAAAAGCCAAACTCCCGACCACCTAATCTTCATACTAGCAGTAATACTGAAATAATAAAACTTATCTTGAGGTCCAAGTCCGATGACAAATATGTTTATCACCAGTAGTTGATGACAAGCAATGTGCAAATACAAAGTACATTTTATAATAAAACTGCAAACCTTTTACTGTCTTCTCTTTTGGCAGAATATGTGTAATTTTTTAACGCAATCGTATTATTACGTTGAATTTGTTTTATATGATCACACCAGTTGTAAGAAATTCCTCCCTACTTTATTACTTATCGATACGCCGACGGGCCCTTGAACACTTCTTCATTTATGACTCGGATCATGTTCTCACTGTGTTCTTGAGCTTCGATAACCTCATTTGTCTTTCAATGCAGTTTTACCTTCTCTCTGTCTGCAACCAGGCCTCATACTGTCGCTGGCTCAGTTTATGTTTTCCTTTAAAACCTTTCTCTCGCGTACAGTTGCTCAGCCGTCTCAGACAGGTGCACAAGCACACAATTGTCTCTGTTTACGTAACAGTTTGGAGGTTAGTCAGTTTAGTCGACTGGCTATTTTTGAGCAACGCTGAGAATGCTGTTTGGCTAAAGTCATTAGCTTAGTCTCGTCAGCTCACATCTCATGTTTGGAGGCAGGACAGAGTTCTTTCTAGGACACATCATACGTGTCCCTGGGTAAAGGCCTGTGTCTGCAGTAGTGCTGCCACTGAAGCTGTCTGCTCATCTAGGAAATAGAAATGTACGCAAAAAGCATAGAAACTGGCAACTGGCAGCAGACGGTGAGACTCACAAGAACGAGGCACCAGACATTAATTTAGACAAGGACGGCTTACTGTCAAGGTCCCCTCTCTGTGTCGGGGGTTAATCCTGTTAGCCACCGTCCCGGTCCTTCTTTGCATGCACGGTCAGCTGTATGGAGGACGTGTGGTCTCTATTACTTGGAAACGCACACGCAGACACTCTAGGTTGTCTGGTCTAGCCACTAAGCAGCTTAGTTCTGCTGCTGCCCCAGGTGGACGCTCAGCAGGTAAATGGTCTCCTCAGCTTCACAATCACTGAGTGGGTTTTTTAAATCTTTAAATCTTTCATCGGAAATGTTGTCCCACATGAGTGTAAGGAATCAGTCATTCCCTGACGATCCTTTGCTAATGCAACGGCCAGAGGTTTGTCAAGTCATTGAAGTCTCTGGTGTGAACGAGCCTCTAAAATGCTTTTCCTCACTTCCCAGTGTTTCCCCAACCATTGAAACACTCTCCAAAAAAAGTCTAGAACTGAAAAGCACGGCAGTTCCTCACCGACACGTGAGCGAATATGTCACCCCCCCACCCGCCCTGAAGTTGCCTCTGTAATTAATTCAGCCGAGCCTTGTTGAAATGTGATTTATTTGTATTTTGAGGAGTTGTCTTGTAAGAGAGTCGTACATTTAGCTGTCACTCATATGTACTCTTTCAATCCTGAAATATGTATGTTGTTGTTTTTTTTAAGTTTCCCTCTCCCTTCTCTCCTCATCAGGTGATGGGCACGACTGATTGTTGATCAAGATTGTGGCCGCTGAAAACTCGTGGAGCCTCCGCTCAACAGTTGATTGACAGCAGCACCTCCAGTTCAACTCCCTCTTCGCGTGCACTCTCTTCACCGCCTCCGAAGGAAGAGCATCACCGAGGGATCCGACCGCCGCGCGCTTCCCCAGCCAGACCCCCCCCCCCCAGAACATCACCTCACCCTCACCTCCCCCAAGAGGGAGAGCACAGCAGCCAACATGGTGCTGTCACAGAGACAAAGAGATGAACTGTGAGTGCCTGGATATAAATATTTGCTCGTTACAAGTAAACACAAGAGTAACAAAGAGGCCTGTGCGTCTTTTTAGCCAGACTTCCAGGTGTTCCCACAAGCCCAGATGTATGTCAGACGGAGCACACTGGAATATGTTAAGCTGTCTAGGGGGAATAATCCGGTGGAGGTTGATGCAGGTGTTCTACCTTTACGAGAATCTGTATTCATTGAGGAAATGTGAAGAGATGTGCGCTCCGAGGTGCTTCATTTGGTAGCTGCTCAGTGAATATTTCATAAGGCACATGACAGGGGGCAAAGACGTGAGGGGGATGGGGGCAGGAGGAGGAACGCAGCCGTGTGCCTGGTGGATTCATACAGCTCCCCATTTCATTAACACCCAGGCCACACGGAGCACAATACAGAAGGTGTTTTATATTATTGTCATGGTGCAACTTTTTGGTCAAGTATGTCTGGATTGTGAAGAGGATTTTATAAAAAATGATTTGATTGCAATAACTTTGGCAAAGTCCGTCTGCCAGTGATGGCCCACAGTTCAGACCGACAGTCTTATCAGGGTTCTATTTCTAAGCCGTTCAAAATGGCCCTGAAGCTGCAGCCTAAATTTAGCAGTTACTCATGAATTATTCGCCCTTCTTCTCGTGAAAGCGCTGCCTCTCTTCTTTGTATTCCTTAATTCGTAAGTCGTCGTGTGAGTCTGTACTTTGTATTTAAGGGTGTGTTTCCATGTGTTGGGGGTTTCCCTATCCTTACCTTGTCAATAATCGGTTCTCCCTCTTTGTGACTGGTTTCCATAGAAACCTAAAACAAAAGAAACCAGTGATTCAATCCTTGTGTTCTGTGTTCATCACTGAAGAATTGTAGTTTCTCGTGGCACTTACACAAATATGTTAACATTTAAGGTGGAACTGTGAAACTTTAATCCCATGTGTCTTTTACTGTGTTGCACAGGTGGAGCTAATGTTTAACATGACCCCATCCCTTTATTGGATAAAATGAATTCATTTAGCACGGTTTTGTACTTCAAGAAATGTAATGGCACTGATACAGACCACTTTAGAAGCTACATGCGAGCATCTCTGAGGATCAAATCTGTGATTGACGTCAAGTTAACACTTTTTTTTTTTTTTAATTTACAGAAACCGAGCTATAGCCGACTATCTCCGTTCCAATGGATACGAAGAGGCCTATTCCACCTTCAAAAAAGAGGCTGAGTTGGATATGGTGAGGAGAGATGGGTGCACAAAAATCTATAAATGACAATACCATTCTGTCCATTCGAAGAATATGGATCCCTTTCTCAGTGTCTTCCTTTTCTCCATCCATAGAATGAGGAGGTAGATAAAAAGTATGCGGGCCTTTTGGAAAAGAAATGGACCTCGGTCATCCGATTACAAAAGAAGGTCAGTAATGTTTGTGTGCTCAGTATATTTTAAATTTGCCTGATGTTTTTAAAACATGCTGTAAACCTACCTTAAAACAAAAAACCTTTTTTTTTAAATCTTCACTACTAGAGGGACAACATAAAGTAGTCCTCCTGACTCCCTTTTTCTCCTCGTCACCATTCTGCCGCAGGTGATGGAGCTGGAATCAAAGTTGAATGAGGCAAAGGAGGAGATGACACACGGCGGACCTGTGGGTCAGAAGAGGGACCCCAAGGAGTGGATCCCCCGCCCCCCAGAGAGATACGCCCTGAGCGGGCACCGCGCTCCAGTCACGCGTGTCATATTCCACCCAGTCTTCTCCGTCATGGTCACAGCCTCCGAGGATGCGACCATCAAGGTGTGTGTGTGTGCGTGTGTGCGTGTGTGCGTGTGCGCGTGCGGGAGTGCGCCATGGTAACTCACTAAGATGCCCACCCCCCTGGATTCACTGCAATATCCCTGTTGCGTTATGAATCTTAGCTAATTCTTATTTTTTCATGTGTGCATGGGATAACTTTCTGTTTTCTGCTTTGTCACTAATCGTTGATGCTCGTGTTGTCAGAGCTTTCGGTTTAAACTCATCCTTAGTCTTTGCTTTTTTATTTACTCACTTAACGGTGTCAGCAGACTGTTTGATTAATATATAACATGATTTTAGCTGAATTGATATTCTGAAGCATGCACTGTTTAAACAGTTTAACCTGCACGTCTTTAATGCCAAAACGCATGATGAGACGTGCATTCCATTCTGCCTGTTGAATTAAACGGCAAAACATTTATGGTCTGATTCTTGAAACCACGGAAACGTGACCAATCACTGAATTCCTGTGAGATGATATGGAACGTGACATTCAATTATGTCAATAGTTTTTTTTGCCTAGACTTAATAAAGTGACCCAAATCAGTAATGTCATGGTCACATATGATTTTTAGGTGGGATAAACATCTCTGATAACCCTGTGTTTAGGTGTGGGACTATGAGGCCGGGGACTTTGAGCGGACCCTGAAGGGCCACACGGATTCTGTGCAGGACATCTCCTTTGACCAGACGGGGAAGTTGCTGGCTTCATGTTCAGCTGACATGAGCATCAAACTCTGGGACTTTCAGGGGTTTGAGTGCATCCGAACAATGCATGGTAAGAAATATTACAGAAATAAATAACAGGAGCAACTGTGAAAGTGTTCTCAATGATACCGATGCACAATGTTTTTCTTTGTGCAATTTGATTTTGAAATATTACAATTTCTTAACTACTAGATTTATTTGCCTTTTTTATTTGATAGATTTCAAGTATCAACATAACTCTGACCCCTTTGCATGACTAAACTCTTGACCGTGTCTTCCAGGCCACGACCACAATGTGTCGTCTGTAGCAATCATGCCAAATGGGGACCACATAGTGTCCGCCTCAAGAGACAAGACCATGAAGATGTGGGAGGTGGCCACTGGGTGAGTTAGCTGGACAGAGCTTCAGCTCTCACTGCCACAAGCTCCGATACAGACTGAGATTCCTGTCATTCTATTTTCCATCTTCTTTTCCATGGTCTTAATTTGTTCCCCAGTAATAATGCAATGAATGTTCATTGCAGCTCCCGATTGAACTTGTCCCATTCACATCTACAGGTACTGTGTGAAGACGTTCACAGGCCACAGGGAATGGGTAAGGATGGTGCGTCCCAACCAGGACGGCTCGTTGCTTGCGAGCTGCTCCAACGACCAGACAGTGCGTGTCTGGGTGGTCGCCTCCAAGGAGTGCAAAGCTGAGTTACGGGAGCATGAACATGTGGTAGAGTGTATCGCCTGGGCCCCTGACAGTGCTCACCCCACCATCCTGGAGGCCACAGGCTCCGAGGTATGTGCAGCTGCTGCAGGATCTAATATTCACCTACAGAGGATGTTTGTGTACATTTGGTACAGCTGGAGGGGGGGGGGGGGGTCACATAGCAAGTACTGAGAGCATCATAAGACATGTATGCACTTTTATCAAATACAACTGTGGCATTATGGAAAAGGGCCTTTTTCAGCAAAGCCATCGAGGCTTTTATGAAGATTATCAAGCTAATAATTAAGTTTCATCCCCCAAATATTGTCTTTTTTTTTTTTTTTTAAAGGACATTTACATACCTGCATACATGTTCTTAGCCCAGTATACAGGCAGGCATCTCTTATCTGTTTCTGTTTTGTCCATGTCTCCCTGTTTTGCAGACCAAGAAGAGTGGTAAACCTGGCCCCTTCCTCCTCTCCGGATCGAGAGATAAAACGATTAAGATGTGGGACGTCAGCATCGGCATCTGCCTCATGACTCTGGTGAGTGGGTCTGACCTCTGGCACTGTCTCGTGTTTTTTGTGCTCAGCAGTGGGGTGAGAGTGGGGTCTAAACGCCTGCTCTCTTCAGGTGGGACACGACAACTGGGTGCGCGGCGTGTTGGTTCACCCCGGAGGGAGATTCATAGTGAGCTGTGCCGACGATAAAACCCTTCGGATCTGGGACTACAAGAACAAACGCTGCATGAAGACGTTGTGTGCCCACGAACACTTCGTTACCTCTCTGGGTAAGACGCGGTGACGAGTGGGATTTAAAAAAAACATCCCCCATTAACCAGAGTTTATCTTCAGCATCCCTGAACAAATGTTTACCTCTGTTGCAGATTTCCACAAGACTGCTCCCTACGTGGTGACGGGCAGTGTCGATCAGACAGTCAAAGTCTGGGAGTGCCGCTGAGACTGCTCCCCCACCTCTTGCCCTGTCCTGCCCCGCCCCTCCCACCTTTCCCCCTCCCCAAGCCCTGAAGCAGCCCTTAGACCCCCCCCCCCCTCTCTTCCTTCGGTCCTTACGTCTCGCACTCCAAACCAGAATGGACCATGGCGCTTCACCTTTTTCCCGCCCACTGTCCATTACCCCCCCCCCCCCCCCCTACATCGGTCCAGCCCTATTAAGATGACTATTGTCCTTTTATGTAAATTATTCTGGATGTAGGGTTCGCTTAATAAATGTCACGCAATCTCTGACACATAAACACACTCAGAAGACGAGAAGTATTCCTTGCATGGTGATTCAAACAAACAAAAAAAGTTGTATACTGTTTAAATTTGCCGACCTTGCACCCTGTTCTTGTGGGGTCAGAGGCTAAATGTCCTTGTGTGCTGGTGCAGGCGGATTCCAGTAAACTGACAGTGCACAAGAACCAATGGCAACCCGCTATGAGGGGGTTTAGCTTTTTCTGTTTTATTCTACTCCATTGCTTACATTGTGGTGTTCTGAGACACCATGGATGGTGATGGAGAAGGTGTGAGGAAAGAAAGCATATAAGAAAGAATGAGCGGAAGCTGTCCAGGGGTAGGTGAAGAAAAGATGAAGCAGGATGCAGCTCCATAGTCACCTCACAATAGGTTCTGTGGGCGAGTGCACGTGTACATGTGTGTATACTTTGAATGTGTGTGTGTTTATTACGACAGGAGAATCTGTCCACCGTCTCTGCTCTGATGCTCAGAGGAGAGAGAGGAGGCGAAGCTTCTCGTCCACCGTGTTCATTCATACTACTTCATCTCTTTTACAAACTTGCTTTCTAGTAGACACTCACAGGACCTTAACGATCCCCAAGCTGCTGAGCGCACAGGCACACGCCTCCATAGCAAAGTGTGTTTGACAGGAAAAAGTCTGCTCACCTTCTAATGAGGTTTGTGTGTGTGTGTGTGTGTATGTCGCCCCAGAGAATTGCCCTGTGCCCTCTTGCTCACTCTCTCTGCCTTGTTAACCCTTCGAGGGCTCCTTCACACAGGATTTTCATTCTGCTTTCTGTGGTCTCACTGCTCTCTAACACACACATGCACTCACAAATACACATACACGCACAGTTAAACTTGTGTATCAATATATCTGGATGTCATTGTTTGCAACATAATGAAATAAAATTCTGTAAATATAGTTGATCTATTTGTATTCTTTCTTTGAGGAAAGAAGGTGAAATGAGATGAAGGAAAACGCGTGCGTGCCAGAAATGACTAAAGCGAAATGAATGGAGTAAAAGCAGCAATGCTCACAAGGAGTGTTTGTAGCTTCTATGTACCTGTCTGCATATTCCCAAACTATTTTTAATCTGTGTGGCTGTAAAACTTGGTTGTTTCAGACTAATCTAGTTCAGTGGAAAAGGTGACCAGTGCCTGTGGCACAAGAAAAAAAGTTTAGATGTTGTGACTTTGGTTTGAGAACTTAAGGGAAAGAAGTGGGTCACTGGAGACAAACGGGAAACATTTTATTTATGTATACCTATCTGACTGGTTAACAGATGATGATGATGATATGGTGCTACACCGTCGCCTCTTGGCATCTTTTAAGTGACTTCAATCTGAGCTGATGTCAGACGTTGATATTCACTGCAGATTTGATTCACATAATAAGAAATCAGCCCTGACCTAGTTGTAGGTTTTATTTTTTAAAATCTTTTTAAATGAAAGATAAGATCACCTATGTGGTTTCAGATGCCAGGTGTGATGTAGAGAGACATTTGAAATGAATTCCTCTGGTACAGCCTGCTTCCTCCCGTTGCCAGCGCCGACTGGAAAAGCCAAAACATCAGGAGGCAAAAAGGGACGGATCAGACCTCCTTATCAATTATGTACAGTACCCCAGCCTACTTCTGTGTGCTCACACACACACACACCTGCTCACTCACCCACACAGCAATTACTCTCTCCCAGCGCTCTGCAGTATCCCAGCAACAGTTGCTAGGATTGCAAGTGTGCAAGCACCACACCTTGCTCCGTCCTGAAGGCCTGAGGGGAGCAGAGAAAGACGCCAATCCCAAACGGCAAGGCACAAGGCCTGTGTGGTGAAAGGGGACCGACTATGGGAACAAAGTAGGGAGGGGGGGACTGAAAAACTGTTGTGTGTGTGTGGGTGTGCAGAGAAGTGGCTTCACAGGACCTTATGAAAAGATAATAAACCTGTCTCAAGTCTGAAAGTCTCTCTAGTTTCCTCAACGGAGGCACCGGAGTAGAAACATTGGCCCACATCTGCCAGCCCGGCCTCCCTCTCTCATATCCATGCCTAGCAGACACTTCCCCCTCCTGCGAAGCAAGAAGAAGCCCACTTCCTCATTTATATTTCTTCTAGGTCGCCCGTTCCTCTCCCATCCGACCCAACCGGCGCAGAGCGAAAGTGAAATGAGCAGCAGACAGGGGTGTAAACCAGCGTTGATTCCGGCCCGCTGGCGTGATATGGAAGCGTCGCAGAGGTTTTCAAGGTCACCCGCCGCGTGCTGCAGGCGGGCAGACGGGCAGGTATCGACCCTCTCTGAGAAGGGTCTCAGATGGAACAGGCTCGTTTGGCCCGGCTGGAGGTTCTTTACTAACGCGTGCAGGCGGATACGGTGTATCATATTGACACGTGGGTTTGTGTGTCATCCCGGTACGCACCCTGCGTGGGTCACACTACAGATCACGTGATCAGCGTTCTAATCCCCGCAAAGCCTCGGTAGGAAGGTGGGATGAGGTATTTTTTAAATTCTTTTTTTGTTTTTGTTTTACAGCATGTTGCGCCCTCTAGTGGTGGAATGTGTAGAAAGGGTCCAATGTCCCTAAAAGGAAAGAAAGCTGCGGTTTCTCTCTCCTGTGCACAACGTAGCGGTGGTCACATGGACGAGGGTGAGAAGATGACAGTCAGTCAGGACTACAGGGGTTGTAATTAAGGTGTGGTTTGCTTTAAATGCCCAACGCTGATCTGATGTGTTAACATCCGTGAAATTTAAGATTTCAAATGTTTCAACCTCCCTTCATGGACATTTTTTGGGACACGGTGGCATGGTTAGATTCGGGGTTATGGGAATAGATTATGAAAATTGCATGTTTGGTCCTCCGTATACTTTGCGTCTAGGTGCTGTTTTCACACGTTCATCATAGACAAACAAATATTCAGGTTCTACGGTTAATCAAAGCCAAACGACTCAGGTTTCACCTCTCTGGGGCTCCAAACACTCTCTGATGACTTTGAACTCTGTTTAAAGTCCCCTGCATTGCATTACTTCCCCCTTGTCTCTCCCGTAGATCCACTCGTGATGCAGCACTTCTAACTGGGTCAGCCCCATCTCTGCCCCCCTCCCCCCTCCTCCTCCTCACTGTCTCTCCTCCTTCTCTTCCTCCTTTTCCTCTGTAAATGCACAACATCCCTATGGACTGCTCATGTGCACACCATGTGGAGCTGCTCGCTCTTCCCTATTTTCTCCCTCCTCCCCCTTTTCTGCCTGATTCATTTTCTGTCATCCATCCTGCAGTACAGCCTGTTGCAAAAGGACAAACACACACACATAGTAATTTACTGTTATCTTGTGTTACTGTTATTTAAATACAGACCCGTCAAGCTAATGTTTGACAGTTTAACCGTAATGGATGTTTGTAAGTTTGAATGTGAGTGCAGCATGCGTGGCGAGGCAGCAGCTCTGCTGTTTTCATTGGCTGACACCGTCAGAAACGGTTATGTGTTAAAGGATATATAAGACTGAGCGGTGTCCAATCAAAGACTGTTACCATGCAGCAACACATGCCCTACATACGTGCATCTGTATACATAGACAAACACAATCCTTTAATGTAAACCCTGAATCCTAAAACTGAAACCAGTTGTATTTTCCCATGGGAAAAGATGTATTGCATAAACCACCACATCATGCATCACCTGTTACATATCATTACATCAGATAACACTGCAAATTCACAGCATGGCTACACAACATGCAACAAAAACGGCATGCACCATACCATATGGAAATTTTAAAAAAGAATCCTCGGGATTAAAAATATCTTTTCAGTCTGCGAGACAGAAGCAGGGTGTGAGTTGAAGAAAATCTGGAAAAAAGATCTAGTAAACTGGAACCACGGGGTAAAGGGAAATGAATGACATCATAGACGATGGATAGTGGTGATAAAACTAATAAGAAACTGCCAGCACTCATACATGACTTTAATAAAACAAGTGTACTGCAAAAACCACACACACCATCTTATCAATACAGCACAGGTAACGGTATAGAACAAATCCTCCTTGTATAATAAAATGTCTTAAAGTATTAACCAATTTTAAGTGCTGCCTGAACCCCCATTATAAACCACCTTAATACTAGTGATAATGGCTAATTTCGTCCTCAGAATCAGACAAGGACATTCGTAAGCCCCGCCTCCGTTTGATTGACATCTCTGATCCCGAGACAGCAGGGTGGCCAGTCACGCTCTCGCCATGCAAATGAGCCGCGCTCCGGCCGGGCGGGTGCCCATGTGGACGAGCACCATGCCTTGTTGTTCTGAGCGCTGATTGGCTCGCAGTTGCCTGATTGTTCTTCATGCGCTGCGGGCCAACGGCGAGAAGGAAAACACGGCAACCCGGGGCCATCGAGCGGACTTCCCTTTTTTATTACCATGGAGATACCCGAGAACACAACGCGAGCTTTTTGATGTGGGGTGTTTTAAAAAAAAACGCTTTCATAATTTTAATGTAAAGTTTAACGTGATTTGGGAGAGCTAAACGTTTGTGATTGAACGACAGGGCGGAGTAGGAGGGGGCCGTGCGGTCGCCGGGTTTTGCCAGAAGCCGTAGTAACAGGGCGGGGCAGAAATTCGGGAGGGCGGGCCCTAAGAAGAACACGACTCGCCTTGTTGTGTGTATTCCCGTGCTCACATCGCCATCTTGTAGCAATCCTATTTTTTTTTTTTTTTTTTTTTTTTTAAACGTATGCGAGGATCTACTTTCCGTTTGACCGGATTAAAAACCGAGCGTCTGGTTTCGGCAGAAACACACGGGAAGAGAAGTTCGGCCCCGAGGGTGTGAACCGTGCACACGGCGCTTCCCACCGGGACACCACCCCACCTACCCCCCTCGGTCTTTTTCCTCCTCTCCGTCCCGAGCTAGCGGGTCGCCTGTCGCGAGGGTTTCACGCGCAATGAGCATCGACACACTTTTGGAGGCGGCCAGATATTTGGAATGGCAAGCCCAGCAGCAACAACAGATCACACGTGGTGAGTTCAACTGCAGGCGGTTGCGTCGGACGTGACAGCGCGTGCTACATCCTTAAACTGCGCTTTAGATGAACCGTCTCCCGTGTGCTATCGGCGACCGGGCTTGCGTCTTTTCAACCGACCCGCCTATGATGAACGGACACGCTAGCAGGATTTTGGTTAAAAAAAGAAAAAAGAAAAGAAAAGACAACGATCTGCAAACTATCGGCCAATCCCGAGGCGCTAAGTGTTGCACAAATGCGTCTCCCCTTATTGCGGAAACGGTCCTATTTGTTTTCGGAACTACTTTGCGCGCTCTTGGTGTCTCGGTGTGTGTGTGTGTGTGTGTGTGTGTGACAGTTTTAAGACTGTAGTGACTCGCCATACGTGTGTATGTGTGTGCGAGAGGAGTTCCTGTCAGGAACCGATGGTCCATTTATCTGCTGTATCTTTTGTCGTGAAGTAACTTTCATTGTGTGCAGTCTATCGATGTAGAAACATTTATAAGCTCGGATATTTTGTGGCGATTTCACCCAAATGCTTCAGATTCAGCGATCGTCTTTTATCACCGGCTCACATATCTGTAACAAACGAGCTCTTAGGATCGATTTGCCCCATTTTACCCGTCCGGCGGGGCGGTGGCGAGCGGAGGCTGCTCTTTACATAATACCCTGACACTGCACAGCTATCTTGTGACACACACGCACGTACGCGTACACACTGGGGCGGGTCCACTCACGCGCTCACCGCCTCCCTTTCTTGTCTATCTGCGTGCGGGCATTTTAACTATTTATTTGTCTTCCTTAATTTCTATTCTAACCGATGTGAAAATGAATCGAGATAATGATCCGTGACTTGGTAGAGGGAGACGTGTGTGTGTGTGTGTGTGTGTGTGTGGGGGGGGGGGGCTGCATTTCTGTGCTTCTCCCCTCTGATGACGTGTCAGACAAATCAACCCCGTCCTCCCCCCTCGCGCATACTTACCCTACCGCGTGCTGGGATACGCCCACAACGACCACGTGCACCCCCCCTCCCCCCTCCCCTACCCACACGTCTAGATACACACACCTACTTGCACAAACGAGCGCTCCTCGTCCCCGCCCCTCCCATTCAGCTCTCTGACAGGAGCGGGGGGAGGTAAGTAGGGCAACCTCGCTGCTCACCCCCGACCCGACCAAGCGCGTCTCCGTGCGCGAGCCCTCTAACTCACACAACGTGCGAATGAGATGATGTCATAAAAGCAACTAACTTTGGTCAACTTTTGGTTGATCTTTTAATGTAGCCGCATGCATTCATCAGAATCCACAGAATGTGTCTTTTTCAGATTTAGATATTATCACATGTTCTGTAATTATTTTTATTTTCTTTCTCATGCATAGACCCATCTGTTTTCTGTTTTGTAAAATATATACATATTATATAGGTGGAGGCTTCAAATAATCCCCTGTTGGCTTTTTGCCTCTTCATTTTTCTCATGTTTGTTTATTGTTTATTTTGTATTACTTCTGCAAATGAATAAAAAGACGCAAAGCAGTCTGACTCTAAACCAGGTCTAAGACTTAACTAAGTGGGACTTTTTCTTGTACGCCTGCCTTCCACTGCTCAACAAGAGTTACACGAAATGTGAGCTCATGAGTAATTCATGAGCACTATTAATAGACGACAAATCCCACAACACAATATAGGATTTTAAAAAAGGTACACCATCATTTAGATGCAACATTGCCTCGTCAGTGCTTATGCGGTTTGAGAAGAAATGAAAGTACTACTGAATAGATAGACCGACATGATGCCATGTGCTGTTTCTATTTTCTTCACAACGGTGGAGATGGCTGAGCCGTGTGTGATGGCTGAGCCGTGTGTGTTGGCGTTGCGCACATTTGAGGAATCCCTGGGATCTTCTCTTTTCTAATGTTGCTGTTTCCATGGCTACGGAGGGCTTTCCACACTGCTTTGGGTCTGCCTGCTGCGGGGTGCACAGCTACTAACTGATAACACTCACAGCGTGCTAACGTGCTCGTGCTCAACGCGGGCACATCAAGGGAACATCCCTCTCCGACGGGCTGCCTTTTTTAGATCTGTTTTTTTTTGTGTCCTTTTTTTTGTTTTCTTTTTGTACGTTGTCATGGTGCCAACAGACAACAGTCCTTTGCTGTTGGTCCGACGACCCATTATTAAATGATCAACCATAAGTTCATCCTAAATCTGATCTCAGGGCAGGTTTGTCTCCTCCCCCAAACGATCCTGATTCCTCTTTTCTTCTCTTCTCATTTGTACGTCTTGTCCCGCCTCACGCAGAAGAGGAGCAGCGCAAAGAGAAGGAGCTCATCCAGAGGGACGCAGACTCGCGGCGGGTGGAACTTGTGACGACGTTGTCTCAGCCAATCAGGGCCAACCACATCACTTGGGGCCATGGCGCTCACCACCAACAGCCGCACCACCCTCCTCCCCCCCCTCTCCCGCCCCCTCAAGTCCCCATCGCCGTCATCCCGATGGTCCCGGTCGTCAACGCTACGCCCTCGGTGCCGCCCCGTCCGCCTGCAACGCAGATTGCAGCGGCGACGGCGCTCAACGGCTCCCCGCTAGTCAAGAAGGCTTCCTCCCCCCTGCAGCACCAGCACCATCAGCAGCACCATCAGCAGCAGCAGCAGCATCCGTCGCTCTCTCCTCACCTGTTGTGCACGCAGCAGATTAAGGTAGAGACTAGTTCGCAGCTGATAAGTGCAAAGCCCGGCCAGTCGCAGCCCGAGGTTCAGATTCAGTACTCGACCTCCATCAGCACGAATGGATCCGGCGCTCTACATGCACTGGTCCCCCACCAACTTCCACCTTCAGCCCAACCGCGGCCCAACGGGGTGATGATGAGTGATGACCTGAGGGGGATGGAAGGGAAGAGGAGACCCGGAGGGTCAGTTTGTGTGTGTGTGTGTGTGTGTTAAAGTTGGTATGAGTGTATATGAGTTTCAGGTTGTGTTTATGGTTTTGTTTTGTGTTTCCAGGGCGGGCACCAGAGAGGTCCATAATAAACTGGAGAAGAACAGGTTAGTCTAAACGTCTCTCTGTTGTTGTTTGGTGACCACTCAACCGGGACGGAGGAAAGCCGCCATGTTGGTTTTATGTTGACCACCACAGTCACACAAGGCTCTGTGTTTAGTGTGTTTAGCAAGTTTGTCGGGGAAGAGTTTCATCAATGACATTTCCTCAAACCCAGGCAAAGCCATTAAATCCGCCCCGAGCATGAACAATTGAGTCATTTAAACTCCTTGACCATCTAATTGATGGTGAGCATTTCTAGAGACAGTAAGCTAATGAAAACCATGTCAAAAGTGTGACGCTTTCTCGTTTCTGACCCTTGGCCCTTCAGGCGAGCGCACCTCAAAGAGTGTTTTGAGACGCTGAAGAAGAACGTTCCAAACGTCGATGAGAAGAAAACCTCCAACCTCAGTGTGCTCCGCAGCGCTTTGCGGTACATACAGGTAGAGTTCAAGTAAATTCTCTCAGCTTTACTGGTGGCACATTGTCCTGAGTGCTTCCGGCTTCTGTTTTTCATCTTTCTCTGGTTTGAATTGATCGGCAATTTGGCCCATTTGTGTTGTTTAGTGTCGTGTGACTGATGACAACAGCTTCCTTCCAATAATGCCACGTACACATAAGAAAGTAGTGAGTTGAGTCAACACAATGTAATGAGCGTTTAATTTAATAAACCGTTACTTGAGATTCTTATCCCGTGGAAGTCTTGCTGTGTAACTCTTCTATAGTCAGGCAGTATATGAAGAATGTTAAAGAAAGGGGTCTGGTTGTCCCAAAAACAACTGTCAAGAATGTAGTTTTTTTTTATTTTTTAAATCTGTTGTCGGGGAACTACTTTCTGCATTTTGAAGTTGTGTAGAGATGTGGGATTGTATTCCTGAGGGTGGTCTGGCTCCTCTCTATTTTATGTGAATGCCAATTAAAAAACTGTAATCCTTTGACTTCATCACAACTGACAACTCTTCCATGTAAAATCTTTGCACTTGTACTGAATCTCTCATTTTGACTTGAAACTGACGTAAAATAATAACAATTTGTTGATATGAACACGATATGACTACTGAAAGTCAACAAAAATAAGACAGAATCATTTACCAAATCACGCGTACACCGCTGCACCGATCACACGCTGCTTATGGCTGCGTTTCTCCTCCTCGCTGTAACATGATCACTTCTACTGTAGATGAGCGGCTCGGCCCCCACCTTCTCTCTCTCCTCGTGTAAACCTCCCTTCCCCTCCCTGAGCCATGTGAGATCTGAGCACATGGCTAGCGCGAGCCCGCTGACGTCACCGTCGCTCGCCCACTCCGCTCCGCTCTGCACCTCCAGACTGCGGAGGGGCCGCGCACGGCAGCGTTTCCATGGCGATAGCACTGGCGCCGCAGCACATTTGCAGCAGCTGTAACAGCTGTGACCGTTTGTCTTTTGTCTTTTTTCGACCGCGTTTGTCGCAAACCCCCCGTCTTCTCCATACCTCTGTCTGTCTTAACCCGTTTCACCGCTGTTGTAACTTGGTAACCATGGCAACAGGCAGCAGGTGGCCCGGGGCGCTGTCGCAGGTTCTCCCGTGTTTGTGTGTGCACAGCAGTGTGTGATGTGAAATCGGTCTATGGATCTTTTGCCAATGGTTATGCTGATGTGAGCTTTCCGCATGTCCTTTCACTCTTATTTACAGACTGTTTGTCCGCTTTATTCTAGTGTCGACCGTATAAAGATCTCATGCCTCCACAGATGCAAATCCTGGAAAAATATCATAATGATTGAGTTATTTTCCCTTTTTTTTTCTCTCTTTGGGAAGACATGTGGGGCGAGATAAAGCAGGTGTCAATGAAACGGGAGGATGGGTAAAGGAGGGAATGGTGTCGAGGGAGCGATGGATGGAGAGGGGGGGGTCGTGGGATGGAAGTGTAGAGGAGGATGAGGGGGGGGCTGCTGTCAACCAACCAGTCACATCCCGACTTTTATTTAATTACCTCCACGTTTCATCCAATTAGATGGCTCCTTATGTTTTTTTTTTTTTTTACAAACTGCTGCTCAAGCAGCCAAATCCTCCCGGATGAGGTTGCCTAGGAAACTACTATGGGGGACAGCTGTTTCCTTGGTGATTTGCTGCAGGCCTAATGGTGTCTGGGTCATAAGACCTTGAAGTGATGCACATGCGCACATTAACAAGCGGCCGTAGTTCCTCTGTGGCCAGCTTAGGTCAAGAAATATCTTTTTGTCTTGAACTCTTGTAGAGGAATACGCTGCAGACATGAAATCACACAAAGCAGCTGTAAATGTAATCTATCCTTAATCTCCACCTCCTCGTCACTCATGACCTCAGAGGTCACCAGGTCTCGCTGTGGATTTGGACGTGAGCAGAGAGTAAGTGGCTGTGGTCGCTGAAGTGTCCCCTAGTGGCAACGTGTTCCTCATGGGCTTATTTAATGTCCCCAATCTTATGTATCGCAATTTTTCTCACTTTTCGTATCACCAGTAGGACAGTTTCCCCCCCCCCAATTTATGTCGGACAATTTAACAGCTCAGCTGGACATTTATTTCCTGTAATGCGATGACATTTTCCTTCCGTACCTCCCCTCTCTCCCTCTTGCCTGCCTAGTAATCTGTTGATGTCCTTAGCCTGCCATACTATTTGCTGCTCATGCAGCAGCTGACCTGCACAGAAACTGGGTCACAGAGGCCGCATGCTGGGACTAGCAGAGCTCTTTTTAAATCTTTCTGTTTAGTTTTCTGTCGTTTTGTGTCTTGTCTTCCTGCCATTCAATCTTATTGTGACCGTAATGTTCAGGCTTCAGTCTCTCATTTGTGGGACAATGTTAAACTTGATGGATTGGTCGCCGTGAAACACAACGTGAAACACAACGTGACGATTGCTCCTGCTCTGACCCCTCGGCCTCAAAACAACAAGCATGATATCCAGGAAATGGGAGGAGATTCTTTGGATTACCTCAACATAAGCAGTGTGAACATGCTTGATTTTGCGTGCGTGGCTTCGTCCTGGTGTGTGAATCTGAGCGAGCACGGGGAACATTTTCTTTCAGGATTGTGCAAACTGGATTGGGCAATGTGGGAGGCGCCGAGACTGCACAGAATTTTTTTTTGTCTTACTTCCTTTTTCGGTTGCAGTGACATTTTTTTGTGTTTAATATTCAACACTACTTTTAACTTCGTAGCATAAGGTACATTCTAGTAGTAATATTGGCTTGAGATGGAACACATGATTCATTTGCATTGTTAAGGAGATTTTATCTCCCTTTTTTTAATCTGCTTTAATCCTCCAGGTTAAGTGCAAAACCCACTAATACTCAAATTCCTCTTTTCTGTTTCATATTAACACATGTCCAGCATTTCGGGGGGCATAATCTCTCTACTTCCCTGAAAGGCTTTTATTAAAAATGTCTGCGGACGATTTCAACATCGAAGGGAAGAAATAAAGACAAATGAAAAGGGGGACAATGGGGGACAAATGTGATGTTAAAGAGAAAACTAGGAACGACAATTGCATGATTGCATTTCTGAGGAAAATCCGTATTAAAATCTGTGCTATGCAGAACTTGCTTGGCAATAGAATCTTTTGTGAAAGGTGCTCCTGTATTCTGACCCTTTTACTTTCTGCAAATGAAAGCCTCATTTGAAAGCAGCCTTTATTTTAAGAGCTGATTCGGCTTATGTCCCAACCACGTGCAGTCCCAGTCTCTTTACTATACTGCATTCTTCTATAAAACCGATTCCCCCATTTAGCTTCAGATGTGTTAGAGATCTCGATCTCCTCTGCTGTCCGTATCTCCTCCGGTAGACTTTGAAGCGTAAGGAGAAGGAGTACGAGCACGAGATGGAGCGTTTGGCCAGAGAGAAGATCGCTACGCAGCAGCGGCTGGCCGAGTTGAAGAGCGAGCTCAGCCAATGCATGGACGTGACGGAGATCGACCGGGTCCTCCGTCAGACGATCCAGCCGGAGGACGACCAGGCCTCCACGTCCACCGCCTCAGGTACAGGGATGAGATGCAGCACCAGGTCTCGTGTATCAGGGTTTCTTTCACGCCGAACAGTATTTCATCCTGTGTCTTTTAACTCCGACAAACCTTCCAGAAGTGTCAGATTACGGTTCACCCGTAGAAAGGCCAACACAGGAGAGTCATTCGTAGTAAGATTGACCTTTTAGACTCCGTCTGAGTGGATTTTCATGGACGCCTCTCTCATGCCACTGTGTCTGGGATCGTTCCGTGAGGACTAACTTGTTTTCCTTTCTGGTCTGCAGAAGGAGAAGACAACTTTGAGCAGGACATCGACGAGGACGTCCTCGCTCCCCCGGCTCTCTCGTCGCTGCCCAAACCGCCACCTCCCATTTTACAAGCCCAGCCGCTCCTCAACCGTCAGCCGTCGATCCAGCACGCCGCGCTGCCTCTTTCTGGAGTCCTGCACACAGCCTCCCCCTCTGCGGCGCCACACGCCATCGCACCCGCTCCGCCGCCAGGCCCGCCCCCGCCGCAGGCCGGCCATTCCATTCAGCCCGCCGCAATGCAGCTCCAGTCCACCGTCATCGCCCACGCCGCCGTCTCCCACCCATCGGTCATCCAGGCCGTCAATCCCTGCCTGCCGGCAAATCAAAAGCACCTAACACACATCGCGCCGTCGCCCGGCCCCATCTCCTCCATCCACCAGACCGTGGCGGCGGCGCCCTCGGCGGCTGCTCACCAGCAGATCACCGCGCAGCCCATCGGACACATCACCGTCCACCCGGTGGCTCACCTGGCGGGTCCCCTGCCGTCCCACCTCCCGACTCTCTACCCCCAGGGCGTGTCCGTCTCCCAGCCCACCGTGGTGGGCCACATCACGCACACCTTCACCCATCACACCCTGCCGCACGTACAGGCCAACCCTCAAGCTAACACTAACGGAGCCCAGATGAACAGCGCGGCGCTGGTCGGCCAGGGGAGCCCGTCGCTAGGGAAGCCCACAGCCGTGCTGGCCCCCCACCCTCAGCTGGTGGGACAGGCCGCCGTCCTCAACCCTGTCACCATGGTTACGGTCCCGACCTTCCCCGTCAGCACGCTCAAACTGGCGTGAAGGTAACGGGGGAATCGCAGTGGGACTGATGGATGTGGATTGAAGGGGAGAAAGATTCAGAACTTCTGGATTGCATTTTTACACTCCTATCAATAATCAATTGCAGGATTGACCAAGAAAAGATTGTGACGAAAATCTCCAGAGATGTTTTGGTCACGGCTCTGTTAGTTTGTGAACAATAACGTTGAAGCAGTCAGTGGGTCAGGCCATTGTTTGTGAAAATAAGACATTTGTCCGCGCTGCAAAGACTGGAACTCTGTTTTATCTTCCTTCCTTCCTCCTCTCCCTCCTTCCTCCTCTCCCTCCTATACAACAAGAAGCACTAACGTAATAAGCTCACACTCAGGCATCAGAGATTTCCCATAACTTTTCATGCACTCATTGAGGGAAAAATGAGAGAGCGAGCTAGAGAGAGTATTTTGTCGTTGGACTGTTGCCATGGTGATTGTGTGTATGTGCCCGTTTTTGGACTCTGAATCATGATTCTGGCGACATAATGTCGCTGATGTGTTTGAGAGCAGCAGGCGGGAGCTCGGTGTTCTCACCGATCCAAACTAATTACAGGCGAGTGGGAGGTAGAGCACATTTCACCGTTGTCAGATTCCGATGCAGCTCACTGTTTATTCATTTAAATCGCATCCAGTTTTCTTCCTCCCTTTGTTTTCCAATCTGGCGCCACGATGTGACCGGGAAGCTATTTAGCATTTTACCTCCAAATTAAGGTTCCTCGTCACTCCGCGTGGCACCTGGCAAATTAAGAAAAAGAACAAACAGCGCAGAAATAAAGCCATAAGCACTGTATAAAACCAGGAAAAGTTAAAAAAAGACATGTCTAATCCCACAATTATTTTGAATCCAATACGTCTGTGTTATTAAATACAGATCAACTCCAGCGATGAGGGGAGAATTTGTAAAGTGTCTTGGTTTGCTTTACATACACACTCATCTGTTTTTTTACAAGCCTTTTGGACAAATCTTGAGAACACGGTGCTCTTTGTCTTTTTTTTTTTTTCCAGGGGCCCCATTTCAGGGTGGATTTGGAGGAAAATTGTATTCCGCCCCTTCAGTTAACACACGAATTGTTAGCGCCCTTTTTTGCCCTGATGCTTCTCGAGAATCAACATTTCCTAAACCCCTCAAATGGGTTGGGATAATTTACAGGGCAATACGGAAAGAACCTTGTCCATCTGTCCTCACAATTGGGGGGGGGGGGGGGGGGGTTCACCGTCTTCACTCTAATGCAACAGCTCCCTCTGCTGCCTCAACTCAGACCTCATGCTGATGTTCCTCACACACACACACACACACACACACACACACACACACGGCACAACACAAACTTCCCTTGAAAAGAAAATCTTTTTCCCCCCCATTATAATACACAAACTGCAGATTGTGAGATGTGGATGAAACTCCAGAAGCCAGTTAATGGACCCCGAGTTAAGATTTTTATTTGGTACAATTGTCTCACTAAACAATTGGGCTGAAGCAATGTATATTTTTTTTAATGCTAGGCCATAATCAGTTTCGTGGCAACTAATTTGGCAGTGACATGATTTTTTTTTTTTCCTCCGACAAATGATATGAAACATCACGCCAAATCCTCCTGAAGAAAAACCTTTTCAAAATGTTTTTATTTCAAAAAAGGAAAAATGTGTTGTGAAATGTCTGTCTTTGTGTGTCCATGTCCACACGCTCAAGAGGTTCATGGACTCGCAGCCTTCTTGCCAGCCTACACACGTGTCTCTGTACGTGTTTGCGTGGATCTGCGCCGCTCCTCTTCTGCCGTTTCTGTGTGTTGTGTCTGTATGTGACTGTACTCACTTTGTTTTATATTCTGTACTATAGTTAATCCTACTGTACCTGTAGCATGGCTCTGTTTGTAAGTTATACAGTTTGCCCCGTGCATGATGGTGTGTGTGTGTGTGTGTGTGTGTGTGTGTGTGTAGCAAGCGAGATATATTTTTACACAGAGGCGATTTATGGTATGAGCCTGTTTGAATGCGACGTGTGTGCCTATACTCAGTTATCCTGAACACTGTGACAACTCCGGCAAAGCACGAACACATTGAGCGAATGGAAGAGACAAGAGGTTTACTGTCAGTTTATTTTTGTATGTTAAGTTTCCCATTTGGCGAGTTGGACTGAGATGTGGATTGGAAAAAGTAAAAAAACTAAAAAAGTTATTGCTCTTTTCTTAACATGTCTAATATGACTTTTTTTGTAATATTTGTATTAATGTATGCGAGATTTGTGAATTTGTGATGGTATGCACGTTTTGGCATACGAGTGTATGCATCTTAAAATGCTTGTTTCCTTTTGGTTTTGTTATGCATGTAGATTGCCCTTTTAGTTTCCTTTTGTTTAAACGTTTTTGTTTCTTTTTGGGACCATGTACAATACTGTATAACGTGGGCAGGATCTTGGACCTCATGCTACATTGATATTATATATGAATATAAAAAACATGTTTTCCCTATGGAGAAAGTTTTAAGTTATATATCGCCTGTACACTTTGGGCTGCCTTTTAGATCTAACTGTCCACTGTTTAAGATGATGATAATAGATAAAACATATTAATGAAGAATTATGCTGATGAAATAATAAATCTTATTACATTTACAACACATCTTGCTCCTGTATTTATTGGTCTTGAGTGAAAATATAACCAAAGAGTTAAATAAAAAAGACAAGTTTTTAATTTTTATTTATTTATTGTATTTACAAAAAGAAATGTAAAAAAAAAAAAATACAGTTGACTCAGTCACGTCGCTAAAGAAAAAAAACCTTAAGATGACTAACATCCTTAACAAGGTTATTACTCAAGTTGCAGTCCTGGAACACATTTAGTGATTTAATAAAATAAAAGGTAATCATTTCTCCGGATGGAGATGTTGGATGATTGTCACAATCGATCGACCTGTGAGTCCGTGTGATCTGCTGGAAGACTCAGTCCACAACGTTTCTTCTGTTGTTTTCATACAAGTTCCATCTCGGATTGTAGACCCTCTCCTTTCTCTCGAGAATCCCAATCAGAATCCCCCCCTCTGGCTCTGCTGCATGTGCTCCTGGACCCTCTCCAGCACCTCCTGCATCCTCCTCAGCTGCAGAGGGGAATACATGAGGTGAGCGGTGACCACCACCGGTCCCGAGTGAATACACGACAAACGTACCTCTTTGTCTTTGTCCAATATGGTTCTCTCCGTCCGAGAGTTGGGGGCAGCCAGCGGCAGAGGAAAGTCTGTCTCGCTCTGCTCTCGATGGTTCTCCCGCAAACTTAAGACCCATGTTCACGCCCACATACACGCAGAAGAACAAAAGCTGCATGAGCATCTTACTCAAGCTTCACAGAAAATTTGCACATGGATGTTTTTATAGCCTATATTATGTTTTAGAAAAATCCCCATCTAAAAGCAACAATGTAAAAAGGTACGTGTGTACATGTGTAGACTGTGACACTTACGTTAAGCTATTAAATAAGCAACTTCAGAGACAGAGTTTTAATGACTGAAAGAACTTCAATCAAGCAGTGTTCCTCTGGATTTCGACGCCACGCACCTGCGTTTCTTCTCCTGCACCACCATGAGCGTCATGTTCTGAATGCACTGGGCTCTGTAGTTCTCATAGTGAGTCTCCCCCGTCACATCCTTCAGATCCTGCATGTGCGTCCTCACCAGCATGTTCCTCAGCAGCAGGAAGTCAGAGTGAGCCGGGTTCTCTACTGACCATGCAACGACAGCGGGAAACCACATAGAACAAAAGTCTCGGGAATAATAATTAAAAAAACAAAAAACACCCCAAATACCATCCAAGTAATGGAATGTTCAACGACACTGTAAAACCAAGAAATTATAAAAAAATCTGGATATGATTTATTACCTTCGACTAGACCCCAGGGATAGACACGACCTCTGAACTTGCGACCTTCACTCTCAACCTGAACATTACTCCCAATTACTGCAAATGGGATGCTGTCCTGCGGAGAGAATCAATAACAGGACGCGGCCAGTCTTTACATGGACGAGATGGCACTTTCTAACGATTTACAGTAAGCGTCAAGTGAAGAACCTTGAGTATCTGGTCCTGTTTCTGTAGGTCTTCATCCTCGTCTGAGTCACACTCCGGAAACTGATAGATGTGGATGCCGAACTGCTCAATATCCTCCCTGATCTAGAGTACATGGACACATTGAACCCATCACAACAGGGAAGAACTAGAGAGAAATAGAGATGAAACTTCTCCTCAATCATGTGAGGGTTTAATGATGTCATACCTTCACTTTCTTTCTGTCGACCTCCGCTTGTGTCAGGCTGTCCGCTTTGGCCACAACAGGAACGATGTTGACTTTGTTATGCAACGCCTTCATACACGCAACATCCAGAGGCCGGAGACTGATGTCACAAACAAAGTGTTATGTGATTTTACACCAGCGGGGGATTTGCAAAAAGACGTGAGTAAAAAACGTGTCGTCAGCGCACCCGTGGCCGAACGGAGAGATGAAGTAGAGGCAGCAGTGGACTCTGTTGTCCTGGATGTTCCGTCGGTTCAAGCCGCTCTCATCTCTGAAGTACTGCTCAAACTGCTGGTCGATGTAGTCTTCTATCGGCTTCCAGCTGATGCGGACGTAAAATATCTGTGATCAAAACGAACAAGCCTGGCGAACAGCTGACAGTTTACAGCTTGAGGAGAAGATGGAAGCGTATCCAGCGAGTTCTTGCGAAGCAGCGAGTCGCAGACTGCTTCACTATCAACTCTTTAACCATCTCCAACAGAGCAATGAAACAGTGTCCCGTCAGCATCGGGCCGGGTGGAGTGTGAGGGAGGAGCGCACGGCGATGACCTCACCTTTCTGCGTTGTTGACAGCGTCTCCGAACCCCGGTGTGTCTATGATGGTGAGCCTCACTTTGACTCCTTTCTCTTCGATGCTGATGGTGTGTTTGACGATGTTGATCGTTTGATCAATCCGTTCTGCGGACACATGCAGGTGCGAAAGTAACTCAATCCACACAAGCCCCGTGCAAACCGGCACGAGAACACACGCACACCTCCGGGCCAGAGAGGAGTGGAAGCTTTAACATTTTCATAACAAAAAAAGGACAAAGTCTTTGTCCTAATTTGATTGTATGGTCTGGTTACACTTATTTTCCCAAAACATAAAATGATCCACAAATAACTAAATAAACAACTGAACTGATCTCACCTTGTGCATTGGGAACCTTCCTGTCTTTGTAGAGATCCGTCAGGAACAAGCTGTTGATTAGTGTGGATTTACCGAGGCCAGACTCCCCTACAGGGAGGAAAAACGGGAACATTTAACAGCGCATTGCCTGGTAAACAGTCCCAAAAAAATATCACGAAAAGAGAAAAAGCTTCTTCACAAATAAATCGAAACTCATTGGATCTCTTTAACTCATGGTTGAAACATGTGGAAATCAGTAATCAACACTAATGTATTGCGCTGTGATCTGCAGTGTCTTTTTAAAAAGTGTGCGTTACAATCTCTGTTGAGATGTTACATTCTGACGTGGCAGCCTGGTGCAGGATCCCCTTTAGCAGACGTGTGGCTGGACTCACCTGCCACCAGAAGGGTAAATGTGAAACCTTTCTTCACGGTCTTTCTATGAACCTGGTTGGGTAATGTGGCAACACCCACATACTCTTTGTCCTGGTCCTGCAGAATAAAAAAAACACAAACATATCATGTAAGTAAGGATTGTGGGTAGTCATAGTAACAACCATCACTGCTGGTGCCTGACCTGAAAACTATGACCCGATCTGCAGCCTCTGTCTCACAAGTCTAAGAGCTGCAGTACAAAGCGTGCAATATTAGGACATCTTAATTGTGTACTTCAAGCAGCTGCAAAGGATTTTCCAATGGTTTGAAAATGTATTAAGACATAGAAATGTAGCTGTTAGAACATTGTTTAGAATGGTGTACAAAATGAGGAAATGTGTAAAACTAGGGCAGCCCTTGACCAAAGAAATAATTAGTTTACTAACGTACATGATTTTGTTGAGCAGTCGATTGGCTGATTTATTGGCTGATTTATTGACTGACTTTACAAATTAGTTTCTCCCTAAAGAATCACGCAAAACCACCATAAAAAATGACTAATTGACTAAAGCATTCCTCGCCGACTCAGACCAAAACAACCCATTCATCTTTAAACAATGGGCACCAATACTTAAAACAGAAATGATGTAACCTACGGACTTCTTCTGACCCACAGAAACACACCTCGGGAGAGTCGTACGGGTCAAAGCGTCCCCAGGGGCTGTGGGGACGTGACGCCGGGCTGAGAGGACAATCTACCGACACCTGAGAGAAGAGCGGCCTCCTCAGCGCCGAAAGCTGAAGGTCCGGGTTCTCTCCAATGCGGCCTGGTCTATGGGGGACTGTTGGAGAGCCCGCAGGGTTGCACAGGATGGCGCGAGGCAGCATGGGCGTCCCCGGTAGGCCGGCCAGCCTCTGTGTCGATGTCCCAGTTCCCTCTGCTTGCACTGGTGCCTGCTGGTAAGGTGTCTGCTGCTGATTGCCAGACTGCGAGATGGGAGGCAGATCCCTCATGGCAAAAGGGAATGGAGTTTCATCCCGGTCCTCAATGGACAGACTGGACAACTGTGACAGCAAACACATTTATTTAAAACTACAAAAGGGGAGGGATTTATTTTGTCCTATTTGTTAATCTCTCTTGAAAGACGATGGCACAGTAAACAAGTAGATCACTTTCGTGTCCAATGAAAAAGACAGAAAGCTAGAGAGAACAATATATATCACCTTAAAATCTGTATTTAATTAAAAAACAAATTCTGACTGTTTTCTTTGGATTAGAAATCCTTTTCCCCTAAAAGGATATGCAATAATCTATGTGTGTGTACGTACAGCAGCTTGATATCACAAAACACACTAACTGGCTGCGGGTGGTCTTCTTTTGTTGTAGCGGCTAGCCTTTGTTCCCTGATTAGTCCTGGCTTGTGATCTCATTATACTATTACAGAGGCCTTCATCCATCTGTCCAGGCAGGGTGGGGAGACCGACAACACACCTCCTGGAGTGGGAGGCTTGTTAACACTATTGTCAAGCTGGATTAAGCAACTAGACTGAAGTAACACTTTTTTTTTTTTTTTTTAAAACAACCCCAAAGACTACCTTTCGGCGTGGAGGATCCAAATATTCATCGGGGCCACAAGACCGACCAATGAAGCCCACACCAGCTGTGGATACCTCACAGCTGTTAATCCCCACAAAGCGACTCTACTCACAATCATGAACATTTAGCAGAGCAGAGACTCCACGCCTGCTTTAGAAAAACCCCCATTTCAGGGCAGACGGTGTCCTGTTGAGACACCAGCAGAAGAGCACAGTGCTGCCGGGTTGGTGTGCCGTCTCTCTACCTGTCACCTCTCATTACCCATGAAGATTTGCAGCAGGCTTAACCCAGCTTCTAATGCTGTGCCAGGGTGGGGGTTGGAGATTTAACTCTTAAAACACACACACACACACACACACACACACACAAGCTATAAACACAATCACATAAGGCTATTCTATAAGTGTCCTACCTCCTTTACTGAAAAAGTTGCATCGTTTTTGAGCAGAGGATAGAAAGTATAAAAAGGAAATCCTTTAATATTTGTGGAAAAAAAGAAAATACAAATCACAGAGACTTTCATACGCTGGGCAATAAGTAGAAAAGTGTGGGTCCTCGTGAGATAAGTAAGTAGCTTTACAAAACCCTCCTTCTTTCAACAAAATCCACAAACTTTAAAATAACGGAACATAACACACTCCTGGTGCAAATTCCTATAATGCACTATACTTATATTATATTATACTTATATTTCAATAAAGGGCAAACGAAAGAGTCATACATAAATACAACAAAAAAAACTGATTTTTTATTAGTTAATACTAATATTGCAGAAACTATCGGTTACCCAAAATAAAACCGTCATTGACCCTAGAAGTGTTACAGACAAAACGAACGTTACCTTTCTTGTTGCTGCGGAACCTGACGGGAGACGACATGTGCTGCATGATGCTGCTGGCTTCTCAAACAGACCCCAGATCAGAGGAAAAGAAAAAGCACCAAACCGGAGCGTGAGTGAAGCCGAAACGAAGACTTAACTTGCAATGTAGGTTCATGCACGGACTGATCTCCGGATGCAGTCCGCTCGCACTGACTCAGTGTCACTGACGCTCCGAGTGCGGGAAAGGTGCAGATGGAGACTCACTGACCGCAGCCTCTGACGTTAGCACCTCCGTGATACAACTTCAGTGCAGCATGCTAACAGCTAGCCAGCTACTAGTACTGACAATATTAATTCTAATAACAATAACCATAACAAGATTCGTAATAAATCATTTCTATTTCTGCATTAGTTAACTTATACATGTTTTGTTTTTTCTCATAATCAACCTAATAACGGTTGCAAAAAATGGTTAATGGCCATTTCGTGCGCTTCTGCTATCGTGTAACATAGGTTAGCATTAGCTATCTAGCTAGCAAGGTTCAATACAAACCTCACCTGTCCTCGGCTTGTTGAAGTTTTGTCCGAGAATGAAGTGCCCGCTTGGACGGACCAGCAATTAGTCTCATTGGAAAATGTATATTGAAAAGAGTCCATCAAAACCATTAAACTACACTCTGCTCTAGTTACGCGAATCGGTTTGTTTTCAACACATTGGAAGGTTGGCAACATAACGTTTTATGTTTATAAACATAAAACTATGACGTTTTGACAAATATTTTATATTATACGAATATTATATTGAATTTACTTAAATTCAATATAATTCAACAACATAAATTACTTAAATAAATGTTTCCTGATTCCTGATAAGGAATGTGTGATGTCACTCATGATGTCACAGTTGGGGACATCACATTAGCCGTGACATCATTTGATGTCACTGGACAGGTTGCCTGGGTTACTTTATGATGCTACTAGGTCTGTCTACCAGGTCTTTTTTATTTTATACTATAAATGTTATAGTATAAATTAGTTTAAATTTTATATAAATTTTATATATATATTTTTTTGTCGTAAACTGTAATATTGAAGTGTCTCCAAGGAGGAAATGATGAATGATGATGAATGTTATTAGTGTCCCCAACTGTGACATCACACATTCTTTTTTTTTTTTAAATGAATTTGATAGAATTGATGAACAATAAGTTGTATCTCCAGTCCCTGGTTTCCCAAATAAGCCATGATGTCCCAAGAAGCCCCACTGCTCCCCCCGTATTTATTATATGGCACTGTGAAGTGGTTGTGGAACTCAATAAAAGCCCTGTGCACTCACAGAGTTGTTCTCAGTTATTCCAGCCTAATACTTTTTATCTTTAATTGGAGATATTTCTTCAGTTTTGTTTTTATTCAAGCCTTTATTTACAAAGTCAACTTACCTCTGTGTCGCTCCTCACAGTCACCTCCCGTCAGAGTTTAATGGTTGAAGCAGACATCGACTGCCCAGTCGATCCACCAATAGAAACTCCTGATTCATTCGGCGGCGTTAGCCCCGCCCACTATGTACAAACAGACCGCAAAACTTTTTTATCCGAGAGCAAAGCTTTTTGTTAATTTGTTAATTAATTTGTTTCACTTTATTACTTTATAAGTTACAGCTATACATTCATATGTTCACTGCTCGCCATGATAAATATGGGTGGGAATATTTCAACAGAAAATAAAAAAGGCATTCTCATAAATACTAAACTTATGCAGTGTAACAGCAGGTATAAAGTGCCATTTGTCTCACAGCTTGTTGACACTGTAACTTAAACGATACTTTGGCCAACCATTTCTTACCAGCATCATAGACGTTTTCTGATAACTAAATGGAAACTGTAGTCTAGAATGCCAAAGATATGACCGTGTAGAAGTAGAAACCGTGTTGCCATTACGTCGTCTGTCTAGCAGAGGGCGCTGCCAAACATTGTGGAATTTTAGGAACACTTGCTTGATTCTAAAAAGTCATTATGGACACCAACTAAATCTAGTATTGGTTGGGCTCTTCCTAAAACATCATAAATACTGGTTTCCAGAGAAATACGAGCAAAGGTGCTACGCAGTTTACATCAAGCAGCAAATAAACATGAACTGCTTTTCTTAAAAAAGATCCCATCATTATGCCTCTGCAGGTTCTCCATGGATTAATCCTCCACACAATTTTTTTTTTAATGAAACTTTCCTAGCTTTCCCAGTGGTTTAAAAAGGCACAAATGTCTTCAAATGCTGTACAGTCAGAGCAAAGAGCTGTCCTCTGTAGACGTGTCCCACAGCACTCTGCACGTCCTTCTGGGCCTGTTGGAACGGCCCAGCACCGTGAGGTTGACCTGCAGCGGCTGTAAAGGCTCGTCCTCGGCTTTCTTTTTTCGTGAGGGGTCAGCGTGTGCATCGGTTTCTGACCCATGCTTGCCTGGGCCTGTGCTCGCCAACCTGCAACATGTCAGGTCACGTGTGGGTGTTTCTCCCTCCGAATGGCTTTCAGGCATGCTATTCTTGGTTTGGGGCTCCGTGTGGTTATTGGCACTGCCCGAGTGTTGAGTGGGGCCGGAGCTCTTTCTTTGTGAACGGTGGGTTGCTTCTTCGTCATCGTCCAGCGTCTTGTCCTGGCTGTGGCAGAGCCTTTGATGACTGTGGTTGTGCCAGAAGACTCTGCTCTGCTGCTCTAACTCGGAGAGCAGAGGCAGGCGGATGTTCAAGTGCATCAGCAGGTTCTCAAGCCACTCCTCCAGCTTTGCAAAGGAGGGACTGAAAGACAAAGATTTGTGGTGATTACACGTCTTTTCTGCACCGTATTAGTTTAGTTGGTGCAATGCATTGCTTCAAGTATTCATAGTTTATGTAAAGTATATAGGCTGAAACATGATACAGTACACTTGGTACACTTCACATCATCTGCCAAGAAAGTAACCTCCAGACCTTCTGACTGTAGTCGTAGCAAAAAACATGGAAGTCAATTTCCTTGACCTCATAATACTACCAACTTCAGTATTCCCTCTCCAATGAAGTGCCTGTGACATTATAGTGTAAGTAGTCGTGGTCGCTTTTGTTGTGTTAACGCAAACTGAGCAGAAATGACCCTGAGCCTAACTGTACGTTGGGTTAAATTTAGTCGGTCGTACCGTTGATCAGCATCTATGTCACAGCAGAGGACAGCCAGGGGCAGGAAGGCCCGGGGGCAATGGGCAGGGTGGTACTTCTGCAGGAAACCGGCTACATTGAGCCCAAAGTCATTTGACCGGGGCAGGTAGTCCGGGTCAGCATTCACTCTGCCTATGATCTTAAGAGAGATAGAGGTATAAACTTAGTGCTTTAAAAAGGATAAGATTCGTTATTTGGATGTTGTGACGGCTGCATTACAGTAAAGGCATCTTGTTTTCTGGAATTACCAGTGTTTTAAAAAAGAATCTCCTATCTCTATTGCCGAGTCCTAGTATAATATAGGTTTGTTTGTTTTTACGTTTGTACTACATTTTGACAAAGGAATCTCCGTCAACGTCTCTTTTAGCAATATTATTCCTTTGCCCAGATGTTCTTACCTCGCATATCATGATACCAAAGGAAAAGACGTCCACCCGTTCGTCATAGCTTTTCCCTGTGAGGTGCAGAGGAAGGATTGGAGAATGTGACCCACAGATTTACTGTACCATAGATATAGACATCATGTTTTTAGTGTATTCATAATAAACCTACAACTAGACCTCAGAATAATTCCAGGCCTTTCAGGCAGGTTGAGAATGTCACTACTGTTCCAAATTGTCACTTCAAGCACCATGGGGTTCAATAATATATGTGCAAGTTGTCACTCTTTGGAACGTGTTAGATAATTGTAAAAGGAAATTAACGAAGGAAGGTATAAATCACAAATTAATTTTAGTCCTACTCCGTGAGATCCCACAGGATCCAAAACCCTTCGCTCGTAGTCAGAAGTATTGAGGTAACATAGTCCAGGGCCTCCAGATTTTCCAGTCTATCAAAGGTGTTATTAGTTTCCGCCTATAGGGATCTCATCAACTGCCAACATGCCTCCGTCCAAGTGGTTTAGGTTCACAGATTGCTTTTACTGATGGACTCACCATGGATCATCTCAGGGGCCATCCAGTACGGGTTCCCCACCACGGTGTAGCGCTTCCTCCGGTCGGGCCTCCGGAGCTCTGACAACGTGCCCTTCACAGGCCGCTCCATTGACGATGACGCCGACTGATTCCTCTCCTTTACCACCAGCCTGGCTAGGCCAAAATCTGCCACCACCACAGATTGGTTCTAGTCAAAGAGGGAGGGGGTGAGAGGAAGGGGGAGTGAAATATTAGGAGCGTTTATGTTGTTTTGTTTGTTTTTGTTTGTGTTTGGTGTAATAGTATTGTGGCGAGACAGCGGGCTGAGTGGGCGGAGCCAAGTTTTCCTAAAACGGCAGTTTGTACAACAGGTCAGTTTTATAATATTAGTTGAGACACCTGAGCCACCGGTTCTCCTGGAGAAGAGGTGTCAAGCTAATTTTAGGTGTGTGTATCAGATTCAAGGAAGCAGTCCTGCTATTGATGTAACACCTCAACAGCGCGGGGAATTATGCGTTTGTGAAGAAATTACTTTTTTACCTCCCGGACCAGGCAGTTGTGTGAATTTAGATCCCGGTGGATCACATTCATGGAGTGCAGATAGGCCTAAGAAGGAGACATGTTTCATACTTGAGCGACAGTTGTTACTATGGATGAAAGAATGGTTTGGGGTGTTAACCTTGAAAGACTCACCATTCCAGCTGCGATGTCTTTGGCGTAACCCACTCTCGTACTCCAGGGGAAGTCCTCATCCTACGATAACACGGCTGTGATCATCATAGTGTGTCTGTGTAACTCTTTCACACTATCACAGTCCTGATGCAGTTTTAACTCACCATTTTTACGATGGTTTCTCTGACAGTTCCTCCCTGGATGTATTCAGAAATGAAATGTATTCTTTTGTCTTTATAGAACAGTCCAATGAACTTGAGGACATTGGGGTGGTCCAGACAGCGCATCACCTTCACCTGTACAAATTGAGAGGTAGAGTAGTTTAACAAATGCTTCGTCTCATTATAGCAACGTGGAAATTACTCACAGGTGAGCTTATGACCTACATAATCCTTCCTATGATTGAAGACGGGTTAAAACTGTGCTTGCAAGAAGTTTCTTTCTTACCAACTAAAAAAAACAACGAAAGTGGGCTCCCATAGTGAAGAGCATTTATTTTCCTTAACTCACACATACCTATTCATTCTTTAGTGCCCCCTATAAAATGAAGGCTTTCAATAGTAAAAAGTTTTACTTACAAACTTTTATTTTTGAGAAATTTGCTCTCGAAACATTTTTTTTTGTTTGCATAATAAAGACAGAAAGCTACCTTCATATGCAGTTTACTCTCAACTCATCATTTGACGGCTGTGTTTGAAGTGCCAACCATCCCTTGACATTTAGCCAGGACGTTTTCCAAACTACTGTCTTTTAGGCCTAGAAGCTACCAACATGTTCCGGGCACTAATCAAAGAGATGCATAGCAGCCATGTCATATTACAAACAGTCATAGAATCAGGAATGGGAATATTGCAGTCTGCACTCACAGCACGAGTACTTCACGCTTTGCTACAGCGCACGAGTCAATACGGACCATTTACCTCCTTTAAGAAAGTCTTGTGGGTTTCTTCGTCAAAACGTATCAACTCTTTCATCACCATCACCTCCCCCGTCTCCTGATGCGTTACCTTGACGACAACAGGTCAATTAGAATCAATCTTCCCAAAAAGAAAATGACAACTAGGAGTAGAATGTTTTGAGAGTCACCCATAATAATGAAAGGGAAAAGTAACCGCGGTACCTTGACAGCTTGTCCAAAGAAGCCCTTTCCAAGCACTTCTCCATGGATGAGGTCTGAAGGTCTGAAGATGCGATGGGTCCGATCTCCAGGATCCACACGAAGGGACTCTGAGCGAACCATGTCTCTCCTCTGAGATAAAAGCGGCAGTGCCCCAGTGGACAGCGGACACTTATCTATACTACAGCTGCGCCTGAGAAAGAAAAGAGAGACTCAGACGGAGAGAAAGAGAAGAGTATCCAAGTAAAGTAAACCGCCAGTCGTCACTCACATAATATGTCTGGATCGCATTCCCGTGCTTCCCTGGTGCTGAGGAGGCAAGAGGCTCAGACTGATTGGTCCGTCCGTCTCATCCTCTGGACTTGGCTCCTCCTCCAGACTTGGGAGTTTGTGTGCTGAGGAAAGTTTGTCCCGGACGCGTGGCTCAGGAGAGCCGAGGTCATCCTGTGCGCCGTGTGAGGGAAGCGGCCCGTCTGGAGACGGAGGGTTGTGCTCAATGGTCAGCTGCAGTGGTCTGCTTGTGTCCTGGAACACGCCGCTCAGCTAGATGACAGGATGTTTCCCTTTGAGCATGATATTTGGACTTGCTTGTTGTTTCATTTGGTTCTGTTACGGCTCGGTAGTTTGAGGCCTACCTCGTCTGGGGACATGTTGTGGACAGGGATCCCGTTGACCTCTAGTACTCGGTCACCGTTGTGGATGGACGACAGCAGGTCGGGGCTGAGGGCAGCCGGGTCTAACCTAAGGGAGGAAGACAACGAGTTAGCGGGTGGAGGAAGGGTGGGGTTAGGCTAAAGGAGCCCGGGTCGTGCGCTCTGACCAGATCTGACTAAATATGTTTCCTCTCGCTCGTGACTTGGATCCAGAGGCTCACCCTGTCACGGTGACCAGCGGGCCGTTCTCCTGGCTGAGGTCAGTGGCGAAAGTCATAGCTCGCCGGCCACCCGCAAGGGGGGGGAGGGACACCAGTGCCACCATGTGAGGACTCTTGGCAAGTGGAGAAGCTGACCCTGCGGCTGACACTACGCCCTGCCTGAAACAGTGGCCACTGCAGAATGAGCAAATCGAGAGATGGAATTAAGGATCCTTATCAGAATCATAACTGTATTCATAGTTTAACACATAGTGCCTTTTCTATATGCGTTGTTTGGGGATACAATTGTTTTAGCTTTCCACACGCATCAAATTCAGCAAAGAACTCTTTCCATTAAACTCACCAGTAGAGTTTGGTGCGTTCGACGAGCGTGTAGGTGTCTCCGTCTCCAATGAACATTTCACAGCTCACACAAGTGAAGCATTCAGGGTGGTACTTTTGATCTCCGGCAACCTGTTAAAATATCAATGCAGGCGATGCTGTTTGAGATCAGGGACTAAATGCGGCTCCGAAATCAAAAGAGTTGTCTTGGTGCATTCCTGCAGCGAGTGACGTTTTCTGAGGATATCCTCTGGTGATGAAAGACAAAATGCTGTTATGCTTTCATACCAGGAAGAAACCCAGAGACAGGGAAGCTCTGAATTTCTGAATGGTCGGCGCATCATGCTAAGAGCATTATTTGTTGCTACATTATTGCCATACGTCCATCTGTGAATATTACGTAACATACGTTTTGATTGTATAGCGGCTTTGAATGATCAATGAAGCAGCTATTTTTAAACTAGCCCTCCAACTATCAATCAATGTGTTTTGCTGCAAGAAAACAACAGGATGGTTTTATGTTCGGCGGCTGTGGCTTTGGGATTTTTTAACTACAATATTGTGACTAATTATAATGAAATGTTTGTAAAACAGTACATTTTGTGTCCTACACAGCCAAAATAACAAGAAACCGTTTTACTGTGCTGTGATGGTACAGAGCCTCACCCTCCCCTTTTGATTGTCCAGCATATTCCATAATAAGGCACGTTGCTATTAACTGAAGCCCTAATTTTAGGTATATTTCCAGTGATTAGCCGTGTTACCATGATGAGTCCTTTTGAGATGGTCTCTTGGCAGCCGTGGCAGTGCTCTCCATAGCGGGCCCAGTAGTGCTTCTTACAGAACAGCTGTGCCTCTCTTTCATAGTACCACTGAGACAGGATGCAGCCACATTCATAACACCTGAGAGAGAGAGAGAGAGCGTATTTGAGTATCGGAGTATCTGTTCGGAATCACTTAAAGCCGTGCACGCCACAGAGTGGAGCTTTACAGAAGGGCGTCCAGAAAAACTAAGAAAATACGTGTTGTGTATCATGAGTCCAGATGTAACGTAACAAAATATGAAAAACCGCCAAGGGGGTGAACACTTCTGTGAGGCACTAACAGAGAGCACATTCAGCCAGTTGTTTCTTACAAAGGGACTATTCATGTTGACACTGGTCTGTCTTATGTCTTAACTTCAGGCCAAAGACACCCACTCAAAGACTACAAAAGATACCTAAACAAAGTGAAAACATTACTGCTGTTCATAAAGCTCTTGTTACACAAATGCAGCAAAGAATGTTCACTTTCTGTCCGTTTTAAAAACTGCAAACAGAACGGTATCCCGGGCTTGAGCTAAACGATGAATAATACCTATACACAACAAAAACTTGCTTCCTTATCTCCTCAATGCAACTGCCTTAGTGGGAAGTGACTTCCTGGACAGAGTACAGCCCCAGGTTTCCTCTGTAAAGGCCACGCTGTCCTTACAATAGAGAAGGAAAAGATAGCCTTTCTTTGGAGAATAAAGTAGTTGGAGAGTTTCCTTCTATGTCGTTTCTACAAGATTCTACATCTGCTTCTAGCTGTCGTGCTAATCGGTGATTGGCATGGTTTCGTATGAGAGTATTGAGATGCTCCTCGATACCCAGTTGCTTCTCCCTTTCTTCTCATTCCAAATAAACTATTTGTTACTGGGAATGTAAAATGTTCACTCCTTTTTTGCTACAGACTGAATATTTTATTTAAATAGCATCACATTATGGAGACAACAACATGATTATGTGACATTGAACTTTAAGTTCACTGCTGAAGTTCACATTCAGTTTTCAAGTTACTGTTACTCAAAGCAGTTTCTATTTCTAGCCGCCTATCAGATCCACTGGACATCTGTTACGGCACACTCACAATTATTGCTGGGGAAATAATTAAGTAATAAAACCGTCAGACAGCTGGAGGTTTTCTTTTCCGCCCCCCTTCTGTCTTTATTGTTCTTGTGCCGATGACGGATGTGGAGCCTCTCAGCTTCACATTTGGGATTTCCACCTAAACATCTGGATGTGAGAACACTCATGTATCCATGGTCTGTTTTCCTACCACTACACCCGTCTCCTCACTTTACTCTATTTGACCCCCCCGCCCCGCTCCGGCTCGTGCTGCCTCTTCACATTATCTTCAGCCATTCATAAATCTGCTCACGTATCACCTGCTGTACATTAAACAAACGCGTTTTCATATCAGAATGTCTCTAGATTCTTAACACCTGACCCACGTAGGTAAGTTGTTCAGAATCTGAGGACCTATTAGGCTTTCCTCCACGTTCTGCCTGTAGATACGAAGCGGTTTGAGCGATACAGGGATACTGTTTCAACTGTGCTTTTAATGCAGTATTATGGATCTTTTGATGTAGACCTGAGGAAGAGTAGTTGGTGATGGGGTCGTACAAATGGGGATCCACTTTTAGTTGTAGCTTTTACTGTAGGCGATATCTTTTGTCTGTTATTGTTTCGCTGTCATTACACACACACACACACACGTACCCCTTGTTGAAGTGAAAGTAGACGGAATAGCAAAGAAGCGCTGGTTACTCACATGTCCGCCTTTCACAGCGCAGTTCCTTTTGAGGAAGTATCGCAAACGTTGAACTACACGGTTTCCTTAGAAATTCTGTGTTTTGCTTTTTGCCCCCTTCGTGCTTTCTTTCTTAGCAACACAAACGCGCTGCAGCAAATTGTCGGCGGTGGCTCTTACCGTCCTTTCATCCCTCTGCGAAACCTCTGGTCCCGTCGTGACATTCTGCCCCGTCGGTTCACCGATGGGCAACTCTTCCCCTCTCAGAAACAAGCCACCCTTTTACGAAAGGAGCTCTGTAGTTGCATGTGGTCGAGCGTAGTTCTCAATGGTTCTGCCTCAGCAGGCGTTTTCTATGTTCTTTTTTTACCCTCCCTCTATCTCCATTCCCTCAGAGGCTTCCTGTGCACATGAGTTCAGCCTCTAATGAGCAGAGTCCCTGTGTGAGAAAACACTCTGACCCACTGACACCAGCTGGTCGGGCTCCCTCCGCTGGCTGCCAGGAAAGAGCCGTATCCCAGTATAGAAGTTCTGCTCCACCGTCGCTCTCCTGTTACTTCCACTATGTAGACCTCTGCGACAGAGTTGGACTCCTCGGCAGAGTCTGCATAGTGTGCTGCTGGTTGGGTGTGAATGCGTTTTTCTGAGAAGTGTTGAGTTTGATTGTTGTGAAATGCGTTCTCTTCCCGTCAGCGCAGAGATAATCTCTTTATGAATGCTCCAATTACTGAACGGCCCCGATCTTACAGTGCAGCCCTCTATTTATTACACACAACCAACACAAAGGGAGAATTCAGTTTATCACAAAAAGGAAAAACAAGTACTTTTTATAATGTCAGAGTAATGAACTAGGAACAATACCAATGTACATTTGCTATTTTTCCCTTTTGTTTAAAATACTTTTACCTCCAGAATGTAACAAAAAAAGCAAAAAGGTGTGCATGTGTGGAAAGGGTTGCTTCTATCTTTGAACTGGGAGTGTCAGGTTTGTTCTTTGTTTTATGTCTTCTATGGTTTCGCCTCCATCGGTGGGCATCTTCTTTATGCCTTCAGGGCTCTGTGGAGTACTGATGTGCAGAAGTCTGCACTATTAACTGAGTAACAGTGGCGACCGCACTTTAACTTTGGTGGTAACGTTTAGCCTCTGCACATGTAGCTTCCTCTTTCTGGTCCCCCCCAGCCCCCCGCCCCTCACCCTCAACTGTTTGACAGTTTCACATTGGTGTGCATCAGCGACATGTCAATTACTTTTAGCTGCCTTTAAATAATAATAACATGAAACTATAGTTGGTAATCTCTTTATTTCAGAGGGCATCGTCCAAAAGTTTATAATAGTGCAGCCTTTTCTTGATAGAAACACAGATGTTGAAAACAGTTGTTGAATGACATGATAGAGACTCAAAAGCTCAAATCTAAGAGCAGCGTCAATAACACTTTTTATCCAGACATCACGGACTACAATGCTCCTTAGCACAACGTAGAAAACAAAGCAATTATATTAGTCATAATAGTAAACAAGTTTTAAAAACTGTTAAAACAAACACACACAAAGTAGCTAAAATATTTGATATTGTATTAATGCACTTGATTTGTAAAATGAGATTAAATAGATAAAGAACTCAGCTTTTTCTTCTTTTTGTCAGCATAATTTAAAAATACTAGCAAACGTGAAAAATGTCCCAACATTGTTGAAGTAAAAAAAAAAAAACAGCAGTCAACGTTCTTCAGGTGGCATTTCAATGACTTCTAATCATGTTACCTCACATTTAGTTTTGAATTCTTACCACAACAGCAAATGTGAAAGCCAAATCAAAGCCACATAACAAATACATCCTTTTAATAATAAAATGTATCCATGTAAACAAAAGGTTTACACTCCTACCAACTGATGTTCTGTAGCCATGAAATAGAGATATTGCTGAGGCCTGAAAACAACACAGACTGCTTTTCGGGGTCAGATAATGACTCAAAACACCAACTTCACGGTTCCCCCAAAATAGCAGCCGTTTGTTTCTTCGGCCCACACCGATTATCCAAGTGTTTGGACTTTGAAGTAAAAGCTAAAAAACAGTCAATTATTAAGACAAACCAAGTGTAAGCGGGTTAAGGTTCGTAAACATTGTGTCAGCATGCAGACAGGTCTGAAGGAGCTGCCCGGAGGGTGTTCTTGGTATCAGCATTCCCCTATGAGGATCTATGTCCCATATTTGCAAAGAAACAACGATGATGTTCAAGAAACATAAACCAAAACTGTATCAAAGGACTGCTTGGCCTCAGAAGTCTTAGTCCTTTATTTCAGTTATGCCCAGCCTGGCAGTCGGGATCCACAGGCAGACACAGGGTAATTAATGGGGGGGGGGAAACAAGGTCAGACTTGTGCTTTTTGTATTGTGAAATGGTGACCATTTAAAATACTTTACCAGAGATTTAAATTGCTAAAGCAGAAGATTGCAACAATGGAATTGCCATTTTCTTTTAAGGAACCACAACACCAACCATTTCCATATCCTTGTATAACATCTAAGCCAATGAAAGGTTTAACATGGGAAATGTGTTGAAGCCGTAGCTTCTATGACGGATCTACATCTACAATATGGGATCATGCAGTAGCACCAATGTTGTTTCCATGAGGTCACTTCCCGTCCGTTGGTCTCTCACTTCCTCCTTTGGCCACAGTATCTACCCTGACAGCCAGCGCCTAGGTACACACACACGATTATTCTTTACTTAACATAGAAGCAGCCTACTGTAGGGATAGAAACTACTCTGTGATGACTTAAAGATCTGAGGTGTAATGTACGACAATGATTTAGTCAGAATTGTGTCCCAGGGACATTATCTCGGGGCTCAGTTTTTCATTTGATTTCCGCACAAGCACATAGTTCTTCAAGGCTGTGATAATTGGTAATCGTTTCAGCTCTGTGAAAACCATGTGTTATGCCAGAACCAATTCAAAGAAAAAAGGGTGCTAAATGACACTTCAAGCTGCTCCTACTGGCTTTGTTGAATTCTTAGTTTAAAGGGCTCATTACTGAAGGTGATAGTAACTTACAACACAAAGTTAGAAGAACTCCTGGAATGGGTCTAATTGATAACTAGAAAGGTTTAGTTGACTCACAAACATTCAGTAAAATGTTTCCCAGTGTGTGAAACATTTTTGGGTGATTATTTGTTATTTGTTTAAAAAAAATGTTTTTACCTCTGTAGCCCCCAGAACCCAGGAACGCCTGCATGGCTGCATATTTGGCTGCCTTCTGTGCCTTAGCTAAAGAACATGAAAGTAAAGTTAATTTGCAGACGTAAACATATGTACAATAACAACCAGCACATTTTAAAGGCATACTTCTACTTCTATACTTTAAAAGCATACTTATGAAAAAAATCTAAATCAACCTTTTTTTTAAGAAGTACGGGACATCAGAAATCTGTATTTCTCTCTTGTGCTTAGGTATAAAAAATATAAAATACTTTCAGAAATCAAGAATGAATGAATGAGTGATTTAGCGTCATCGACATCTGATGTGGGCTGGAGCTAATTAGAGCATGCCTTTCCCGGAAGAGCAAGTGAGTTCTCTTACATTTTTGTCCTGCCCCCGTATATCCTAGAAAACAATAACAGGAAAGACAGAGTCATATTGAACAATTGATAAACTCTACAATGGTTCCATTTGTTATCTCAGCAGTGACATAAATGAAGATGTGCCAAAGCAAATATTCACCATGCATGGCCGGACACACAGGATGGAAGCATTTAATCATGTAATGTAATCGTTATGTATCATACAGTTTTAAAAATATTATTCATTTTTAAACCATACATATAATGTTCCGAGTGTCGAAAAGAAAGTCAGTTAATGTGTGACAAAGTGCATCTCCCCTACCTGGATAGTTTCCACCAGCCACTCCACCATAGCCTGGTCTACCACCTCCTGCTGGAAAAATGACCACATTACAACCTGCATCATCCCAGCAGTCAGGCATTGGTATCGACTGTGTAGCAGTCTGCATTCAGTGCCAGTACTTAAACTGACCTGGTAAACTGCCCGCACCCCCTCCTAATCCCTGACCGGTTCCTGCAGGACCCCCTGCACCCCCTGCTCCTCCTGCTGCAGGAAGTCCTCCTACTCCAGCACCCGATGGACCTTGGTTGGGTTGACGGTATGGCAGGTAACATAATGTTTAAATAGCTGAGTAAGTTGATTTTGTTAGCACAGCAACATACAAATAAACATGGAAGAAAAAGGAGACAGTGGAGAAGAGGTTTTCTGTCCAGTTGTATCATGCAGGAAATATGGAATTGTCAAAAAAATATATTTTATGTATAAATAATCTCCAGTAACAATAAAACTTAATATTTGTTTATTTAGAGAATATTACCTGCACCATAGCCAGTTCCGCCCAACGAAGAGCCGTAACCGGATTTAGGAGGCTTCCTATTTCCTAGTGCCTGGCTACCAGGTCCATAACCACCAACACCTCCTGGTCTAAAGCCCCCCGGCCCAGTTCCAGCACTTCCTGGGCCAAAGCCACCAGTTGCGGTACCTCCAGGTCGATAACCAAAAGGGAATGTTCCAGTTCCAGTTGGACTATACCCTGCTGGGCCGTAGCCACCAGGTCCAACTCCACCAGGACCACTTCCTGTACCTCCTCCTAATCCTCCTGCTGGGAAAATGTCAATATGTAGGCACAAATATATAGTAAAAATGTATAAAAAGATAATTACCATCCCTGATCTTTGCCATTATGTTACCTGATCCATACCCAGCTCCACCATAACCTGGAGAAAAAAGGATGAGAATGTTTGACTAATTAATTTTCTTATAGAACAACCAAATAGGTTGATAATAATAAAAAAATAAATAATATCAACCTTTTTTTTAATGGTTCGTCGTTAATTACCAGATTTAGAAGGTTTTCGATTTCCTAAACCTTGGCCCCCTTGTCCAAAACCCTCTCCTGTCCCGGCACCGCCTGGTCTGAAGCCTCCTGTCCCGCCACCGCCTGGACCGAAGCCTCCTGTCCCGGCACCGCCTGGTCCAAAACCTCCCGTTCCTGTCCCGGCACCGCCTGGTCCAAAGCCTCCTGTCCCGGCACCGCCTGGTCCAAAACCTCCAGCTCCTGTCCCGGCACCGCCTGGACCGAAGCCTCCTGATCCGGCACCACCTGGTCCAAAACCTCCCGTTCCTGTCCCGGCACCACCTGGTCTAAAGCCTCCTGACCCAGCACCACCTGGTCCAAAGCCGCCTGTCCCAGCACCGCCAGGTCCAAAACCTCCAGCTCCTGTCCCGGCACCATCTGGTCTGAAGCCTCCTGTCCCGGCACCACCTGGACCGAAGCCTCCTGTACCGGCACCGCCTGGTCCAAAACCTCCAGCTCCTGTCCCGGCACCACCTGGTCCGAAGCCTCCTGTCCCGGCACCGCCTGGACCGAAGCCTCCTGTTCCAGCACCACCTGGTCCAAAACCTCCAGTTCCTGTCCCAGTACCACCTGGTCCGAAGCCTCCTGTCCCGGCACCGCCTGGACCAAAACCTCCTGGTCCACCGCTCCCAAGCCCAAATCCAGCCTGCCCGTATTGGCCGGGTCCAGTGCCTGTTCCACCGGGTCCAATTCCTGCCCCTGGAATCAAGCATGGATTTTTTAAACTTTTAGCGTTTTTATTTTATTTTACACAACTGCACCTTCTTAGGGGAAGAAGCCTTTAATCTTGTAGGCCATTGCGTTACTTTAGGAAAACAATCTTGGTGTTGGATAAATTAGTTTCTCACCTTGCCCATAGCCTGCTGCACCCAGGGATGATGATCCATAGCCTGTCAGAAGGAGTTAACAGCCTGAACATAATTTCAAACATAATTAAATGTTGTTGTCAGTGTGATGATAAACTACCATTGTACCTGATTTGGGAGGCTTTCTTGTGTCAAGTCCTTGACCTCCAGCAGAAAAAACGCCAGGAATGAGCCCTGCTCCACCAGGTCCATGGCTGCCTAATCCTGTGCCAACACCACCTGGTCCAAAACCACCTGACCTGATCCCTACGCCACCCAGTCCTGTCCCGGCAGTGCTTGGCCCATAGCCTCCAGGTCCATAACCACCAGCCCCTGCAGGAACCACTCCACCTGGTCTGGTCCCATAGCCGCCAGTACCACCGGCTCTGCCAGCTGCTGTCCCATAACCTAAAAACAAAGTGTTCGAGTTTGAACATTTGAATGTTTGCATCATTTGGAAATTGTCAATTTTAACATACGTTTGGGTGCTTTGCCAGTGCAGGTGCCCAGTCCATATCTTGAGTCTGGATATAGCAGAAAAAAACATTGACTAACAAATTTTCCGCACTTTAAGGCGCAGGTTAAAAGCCTTTATCCATACTGATTGGACACGGCGCTCAAGGCGCTCTTCCAAACATGCCAAAGCTCGGTCTACCACGGTGAGATGCTGAGCGGGCGCTCAAGCGCATGAGATATGGAGCTTGTTTCAGGGCGCGTCGGAGAAACAAAGCTGTCGTTCTTGCCGAGCTTTTAATGAGATTAAAGAGCGAGAGACGGTGCCCTTTTCTTTACAGTGGCTGAACCATCTTAACAGGGAAAATAAGTTATTCTAAAAGGGGCCCTTGGCAGCCGAAGATTTAAGGCGTGGATGGCGAGGGGGGCGGCGGGAGCGGACGCACCTCGCAGCATTGATCGACCCTGAAAGCACAGTCTCCACCTCCCCACATCCGGGGTGGATGTGGGGAGGTGGAGACTGTGCTTTCAGGGTCCACCCGCCCCGACGTCAAACGTTTGACTGCAGCATCTTATGCGCCTTATAATCCGGTTGCGCCCTGTATATGAAAAATGTTCTAAAATAGGTAGTTCATTGAAGGTGCGCCTTATAATCTGGTGCGCCTTATAGTGCGGAAAACACAGTAATATTTCAATGACATGCTATCCATATAGATGCTATATTTTGATATAATTCCACCGCATTATTAAAATTGAGAGACTGTATGATATTTGTAGAAAGTTCAACTTACCACCAGGAGCCACACCACCACCATATCCCCCCAGTCCAGCACCTACTCCACCGGGGCCTCCTCCTCCCCCGACACCTCCAGTGCCAGTTCCAATCGTTCCAGCTCCCCCAGGACCAGCACCAATGCCTCCGTTTCCAGTCGAGCCTCCATAGCCTCCACGTCCAACTCCATATCCACCAGGCCCTGCACCATAACCTCCTGGTACTGCGCCATAGCCTCCTGGACCGGTACCATAGCCTCCTGGACCAGTACCATAGCCTCCAGGACCAGTACCATAGCCTCCTGGACCAGTACCATAACCACCAGGCCCAACTCCTCCCCGGCCTCCCGCTCCAAGAGTCCGATATACTGATTGGAGTATAAAAAAAACATTTAATTTATTATGTGGCTCATGTGACCTTATTAAAAGGGGACAATGTAGGTTCAGTTCATAAGACCTTTGCCTGATTTTCCCGCTCCAACTCCTGCTCCTGCTCCAGTGGGATAGCGTATGCCTGAAGGAGATCAAATGAGATATACTTCATTTCAGATATGTTTTGTGTATCTGTTTTTGCTGTAAGGTGGTAAGGCTTTGGATAGTTAGCATACCTCCACCTGGTAAAACTCCACCAGCAGCATAACCTATGATGGATCATGCATAAACATTATTTGTGTATATTTTCTAGGAACACATACACATTTCAAAGAACAAAACATTGTAGCAGCTCACTTTTTTCAGGTTTAAGGGCTCCTGTTCCTACTCCACCAGGCCCAGGTACCAAGCCCGCTCCTCCAGAACCTCCTCCTGCCACCCCACCTACTCCACCAGGTCCACCCCCTATGCCACCTCCCACAGTCCCATCAGGACTGTGTGCTACATAGAAATAAATGGACAGATTAAATCTATTTATTTTGCGAGTATATGATTTTTTTGTGGCTGGATAGAAGGTGAATATCCAGTGGTGGACGGTGGTAAATGTAATCGTCTGCATTCAGATGGCAGAAATGGCACCTGTGGGTGGTTTGGGTGTTCCTCCAACACTTCCAGCTGCTCCCTGTGGTCCGACTCCAGTGCCAGCTACACCACCTGAAATGCCTCCTGCTGCTCCTGCACTGGTAGGACTCCCTCGGGCTCCTCCCGGTCCTCCCTCCGTGCCTCCTGTACCACCTCTCTCTCCATCAGGACCTCCTTCTCCATCTCCTTCACCTGGCGTGTCCCCTCGGGGGACGCCTGCCAAAACAACACTAATAAGTATTCTTTATTTTGTTCCCCATTAGTTTACACAAAGTGCAGAAAAAACAATAACAAGCCTGGTGAATGTTCAACAGATTTAGATAGTTAGCACTTGTGCAGTATATTGATTTGTCATCCATTAGCATAATTTTATTGTTTGGTTGTAGGTGAGCACTGTGAGTATTTATCCTAAAACCTCAGTGGTATGTGTTTAGGATGAATTGGATTTGATTTTACTCACCTGGGGGCTTGAGAGGTCGGACTCCAGGAAGTTTCACATCTAAAAGATCACCATCAGAATCTGCACAATGACCCAGGGAAATGTTAGAAGCACAAGTGGGATCATAGTTGGTGTATAAGGCACAGAAAAGCTCTACAATGGGTGTTCTATGTATGCGTCCTCTCCTCAGTATTCCTGAGTCCTCTATGTGTGTGTATATGTATGTATACATACATATGTATACAGTACATACTTAAGCATCAGAAATGCTTCAGTTGTTATCTGCGTCAGTCTGCCATGGAGTATTGTACCACAGAACCAGATGGTCAGCTATGTTAAATCCCTAATATAAAGGAAACATGCAAATGTGTTGGTCCCTTGTAGGTCTTACATGCAATGCACAATTCCAAGTGTTTTAGTAGTTTTGTAGTAGTTTAGTAGTGCCTGAGTTAGCTGAGCTGAAACTTTGGGGGCCTATAACCATAAAGTCCAAATGCTTTGCAACGTAAGAATAGAACAAAGATATTGATATGACCCGGTCTAAAAATACAAATTATATACCAATTTTTAACTGTTAAATAGTATCCCTGTAAAAAACAATCCAGCAATTATCCTAAATGAATAGTCTGTGTTGGCAGGAATGTTTAAATTGGAAATATTTCTCAAACTTGGGGGAAAATGTATTCACTTTAAAGTTCACAGGTTGAGTGAAAACATAAAGCATTTCATAAATGTCCACATGATGACACTGCCCCCAAGGAAATCTAAGAGACACAGATCCTTTAAACATGCTGTGCTTGCAGACAAACTCTGGCCGGACCTGGAACTTCTGTCCCGTTGGGTCGTGTTTTATGAAGATGTTAAAGAATAACACATTTTTATTAATTCTACTACTAAAACACGCCTGACTGAATTAGTATCAGATTTTATCAACACCTGTATCTACGTATTTACTTTACCTTTTGGGGGGAATTTGTTATGTAAATGACATAAGTACCTGGCTTTGCTCCAAGGATGGGGATTCCTGTCCCACCCAAGCGATCTCCATCATCTCCTCCACCCACTGGTCTGCCAGCTACACCGGTACCGCCTGTTTTAATACACATACAATGAATGCATAAAAACTATGGATTTGATATATTTAGCATAGCATTGTTGTGTTCCTCATTTTTTGTAGATTTCCAGGTGTTCCCCATGCAGTCTGGGCTATCTTGTATAACCATGTTGTTACATCCTTTGACTCGAGTTTTGTTTGTAATAATTGTAACAATCTGTACATTTTTTTGTACAAGTTATGAAATATTCTTTAGACTCCTGCAAGTTTAAACACACCTTCTCCTCCAGAACTTCCAGACCCCTCTGTCACACTGCTAGCCCCACCATCTCCTAGAATAAGATTCAAATATCAGTAGTGGATTTGAATAAATCAAACAAAGACAATGGCAAAACTATTGACATGTCAGTTTTTCCGTTTATATTCATCTATTTTAGAAGCTCCCCTCCAACTACCTTTTAATTACAGTTAGGAATATTTAATTTTTAATCTATTGTACAGGATGCCCTCTGTTTTGTGGTAACATGTGACTTTTGGTGGAGATACCTTCTGATGCTGGAGCTTGTGTGCCTCCACTGGCCCCAAGTCCTGCTCCTGATCCAGCAGAAATAGTGCATACCACACAGATTATCAGATTCAATAATTGATTCTTACCCAAAGTTAGATACTTAATTACGAAACATAAGCTTACCACTCGGTCCAGCTGTTCTTCCTGCCCCGCTGCTGGGGCTTGAACTATTTACTGAACCACCAATGCCGGTCCCTGTGCCGGATCCTGTAGTGCCAGATCCTGCAGTCCCAGTCCCTGTGCCAGATCCTGTAGTCCCAGTCCCTGTGCCGGATCCTGTGGTGCCGGTCCCTGTGCCGGATCCTGTAGTCCCGGTCCCTGTGGCGGATCCTGTAGTCCCGGTCCCTGTGGCGGATCCTGTAGTGCCGGTCCCTGTTCCTGCCCCAGGCACTACTCCACCCGGTTGCCCTACGTTTATAGAAATAACAGTGTTTAAACCACTATATCATATACACACAATGTTCTACTTGACATTCTTGTCCAAGTACACCCTTACCGTACTTAGCAGCTTTGGATGCTGGTGTGCCGTAGCCTGAGGATGACAATGAATATATTGATGATGGTGAGATGCAGGTATTGCTGCCTTTCCTACTAACCATTAATAGGGGGCAATAAAGGATTAGTTCATACTTTTATGAGATGTAAACTTCAAACGCGGTTCAGATCTTAACGCTTACAAAATAAGATGTTGCTACACACTAATGAAAACCAAACAGTTCCAGTTCCATAACCACCAATAAGACAATAGGTGATTATGACAAACTTTAGTAAGAGGCCTTGGAAAGAAAAAATGCAACCAAACGAAAAGAAGAATCCGTACAAACAGGAATCAAAAATCTCTTCTGCTCTCTGTTTATAAGGGTAAAGGTCATCACACATAAACAACTCACCACCTCGTCCTGCTGCACCTCCAAGAACCCCACCAGTCCCAATTCCATCTTGACCTACATCAGGAGCATATGAAAATGATTTAGTCTTTACTGGAATTTGGGTGAAATATCCTTGATCATTTTTCAAGAAATGTGTATTTTGATACCGTATTTAGCAGGTTTTGTTCCAGCTCCATAGCCTGTAAATCACAGAATTCATTTAGGATTTAGCTTAATTTAAGTTTAACAAGATTTAGTTGGACAATTAAAATTCCCTCTGAACCTGTTCCATATCCCGCTCCTGGTCCTGCACCGTAGCCTCCACCTGGTCCGTACCCTGTTCCGGGCCTAGGTCCAACTCCAGGCCCATATCCATGAGGTCCATACCCGGTTCTTCCTGTTCCTCCACCTGGAAGCCCTAGGAACATATAAGGATTTTGAGACTTTTCAATGGATTGAGTCCTAACATCTTGAACTCTAGGCCTTTTTTGTAATGAATATTTTAATCAGACCTGTATAGGTTCAAAGAAAACCCCATTAGTCTATGTGCCAGTGCTGGCCTATTTTGAAGTCCAATGCATTTAGAATGAGCGCAGTACTACATTTCATTCACAAGATGGAGACAAGATCTAGGCTGTGTTTTGTGTGGAAGGCTGAGAATAGTATCCACTCAGAAATGATCTATAGGCTTTTGATTTGCCCCTAGCAGCGTCAATATGGCCTTAAAAACAGAGGTAAGACACTTTATGGTTATGGCTGTATAAATTAAGTTGACCGTTTCTCTTCTTTAGCAGCTGATTGAGTAATGGTTTGAAAAAAATGGTTAGTTTTTGCTGTGGGCCTTGAACAGAGCTTCACGTTATGTGGCTTTGCAGGATGAATTTGTTTTGTTTAATTTAGTCCTATATGGAATTCAGAGTAAATCTACGATTGAGGGATTTCCTTTTCGCAACCTAGCTGGTGGCTAGCACCCAACAGGGCTAATAGTTTATGATACACTACTGTTATCAGCGGTAACCACGATATGAACACAGTCCACAGCGGTGGCCATTGGCTGTACTCACAAAAAGGGTCACATGCACTGTTATTCTAGCCCAACCAGCTGCGTAAAGAAAAGCTCAGAGAAACTCCACAAATCCATTTTTCTATTTGAGTAGTTAATTGATGTTAGTGTTGTTTGTTTTACACACTCCTGAGGAAAGTGAGAATGGTGTTCTTCTCTTCATACCTCCTGCAGTGCCTGGTCCAAAGCCACCTGGTCCACCTCCTGTTCCAACACCATAACCAGGTATCATGCCGATCCCCAGTCCTGCTCCAGGTCCACCACCAGTTGTTAGTCCAACACCTTGTCCTGGGACACGTCCTCCTAATCCGAGCCCAGAACCAGGCCCTGCTCCAACACCAAGACCTCCTGCACCAAGGCCACCTCCGGGCAGACCTGCAAAGGATGTGGCAGGTCCAACAGCATTTTATTAGAAAATGCAGACTAAACGGAAAGCACTTTAGTCTCTATTGACAAACAACAAGCTGTTTCCATTTCTCATTTACAACTTATAGCTGGAAAGAGTGTATAATTACTAATAATTGCTGCATATTTTAACGACGTATAGGTATTATTGGGTATTATTATATTCATTTAAACATTACATCAAATTACAGATTTTTTTAGATTAGATTAGATTCAACTTTATTGTCATTGCACAGGGTACAAGTACTGAGGCAACGAAATGCAGTTTAACATCCAACCGGATTTACTGTGAAGACCAGATGGCCAGTTTGTGATAAAAAGAAAAGTTTGTGCATTTCGTAAATTCCTTTTTAAATGTTTTTGCTTACCATATTTACGAGCTTTGGCACCAGCATAACCTACAAAATGCAGACACATTGAGGTATTTTAAGAAAAGATTATTAACTGGGGAAATTACATGAATTATACATTTGTATTTTACCCTTTAATGTTATTTTTTTATCTTACCTTCAGGTACAAAGCCGGCACCGCCAGGTCCCACCCCACCTTGTCCATAGCCTGTACCAGCCCCACCGGGTCCGTAGCCGGTGCCAGCACCCCCAGGTCCAAAGCCAGTACCAGCACCACCAGGTCCAACTCCATCACCTGGTCCATAGCCTGTACCAGTACTACCAGGTCCAACTCCTCCACCCGGTCTATAGCCTGTACCAGCACCACCAGGTCCAACTCCACCACCTGGCCCATAGCCTGTGCCAGTACCACCTGGTCCATAGCCGGTACCAGTACTACCAGATCCAACTCCTCCACCTGGTGTATAGCCTGTACCAGCACCACTAGGTCCAACTCCACCACCTGGCCCATAGCCTGTGCCAGTACTACCTGGTCCATAGCCTGTACCAGTACTGCCAGGTCCAACTCCTCCACCTGGTCTATAGCCTGTACCAGCACCACCAGGTCCAACTCCACCACCTGGTCCATAACCTGTGCCAGTACCACTTGGTCCATAGCCTGTGCCAGTACCACCTGGCCCATAGCCTGTACCAGCACCACCAGGCCCAACACCTGCACTTGGTCCATAGCCAGTACCAGCACCACCCGGTCCAACTCCACCAGGTCCATAGCCAGTACCAACACCACCCGGTCCAACTCCACTGGGCCCATATCCAGTACCAGCACCACCAGGCCTGACTGCTCCAGGACCTGTTCCCAGTCCTCCAAGTGCTCCACTTAACATGCCTGGAAGCAGAACAGTCATATTGTATTTGTTCTCATATACTTTGTTAAAAACAAAGAATGATTCAGTTGCATGCAGTTTTCCATTCATACAATTCTTACCATATTTACGAGCTTTGGCATCAGCATCGTACCCTGAAACACAAGTATAGTAATTATACATTTGTTTTTGCCAATGCAATACAATCTGTTTTCAGATTGCAGCCAACTGGATACTCCTCCCTTTCGAAAATTGTAGTAACGTTAGTTTCAAAGTGCAAAAAGGGCAGTAAAAAGACCTACTCTCTATGTCGACATGAATGGCTTATTTTAAGCTCACAAAAAGAACCACACTGTTTTTGTTTAAGGGGGTTATACATTTACGGAAACATAGTTATGAATGGATTTCCCTAAATGTTATTAACTGTACCTTAAAGCCCTTTCTGCTTAGTGTCTTAAGTGACTATTGCACAACTTAATTTCCCCAAAACCCCAAATCTACTGATTCATTGTTACCTCCAGGTCCTGTTCCTACTCCAGCCAATCCAGTTCTGGTTCCACCTGGACCGTACCCGGTTCCACCCTGGCCAAAACCCACTCCGCCAGGGCCAGTGCCAGCCCCACCAGAACCGAAACCAACCCCGGAGCCAGGTCCAACTCCTCCTCCCGGTCCTCCACCTCCAAGTCCTCCAGCCGTACCAGTGCCTGCACCGCCAGGACCAAAACCATAGCTTCCCCCCAGCCCACCAGTCCCTCCTCCTGTGCCAAGACCAACTCCAGCTCCTCCACCTGGTCCTCCTGTTCCAATGCCTCCAACAGTACCAGTGCCAGCACCATACAGCAAACACAGAGAGACACAAGACATTTTGAGTTTCTCAGGTATCAACTAAAGGAGGTTATTAAATGCACATGCTACATATGTTGTATTCACCATTTTTGGTATAAATATATTGCAAATATGCCTCATAATATTTGTATGGCTTTGGCTGAGCCAGTACCATAAGTAAACATAAACATCCAAAATGTGCAGTTATAAAAACTGCAGGCTATTCCAGGTCAACCTCCTGTTCCAACTCACCTCCAAATCCAGGTCCACCTCCGGTTCCAACACCACCACCAAATCCAGGTCCACCTCCGGTTCCGACTCCACCTCCAAATCCAGGTCCACCTCCGGTTCCAACACCACCACCAAATCCAGGTCCACCTCCGGTTCCGACTCCACCTCCAAATCCAGGTCCACCTCCGGTTCCAACTCCAAATCCAGGTGTGCTCCTGCTGTTCCCACTGGGAGTCTTCCATTCCCCAACCCCTAAAGGCCCTCCTCCAGCTCCAGCTCCACCTTGTCAAAAAAGCAAGCACGCATTAGTTTACCAGATATGTAAATACAAAGACATAATGCTTATTTCTCCTACAATGCTTTTGTGTTGTACAGAAAGTTAAAACGTCTGCCAAAGTGTCTTTACCATATTTCGCTGCGATTTTGGCTGGATTCTTTGATTTGCCCGCTCCTGTAATTTAAGAAAATAAATTATTTTCCATTATTTCTGACCTAACATTTATATCTTAAGTAAAAATAAATTATTTTCCATTATTTCTGACCTAACATTTATATCTTAAGTTATGTAACTCCACAAGCTGCTGCTGAATTTACTACATTAATATGTCCGTGTACCTGTCTTTGGTGATATGAGAGGGTAACCACGAAAAACTCCAGGCAACTGCTGTCCATGACCATCTAAGGAGAGAAATATACCACAGACATGCTCATCATGTGAAGTACTCATTTTCAGCCTGGAATATTATTAGTTAGGATACTTAGAATACAAAATCTGCTTATAATTCAAAATAATTTCTCAGTTAGGAAATTTAACACTGACTGCCTGCTCCTCCTTGTCCAGCACCCCCCTGGCCGAGTACCCCGGCCCCTAGAAGGAATAAAGGGAAAGGCTCTGTATTCAAGCATGTTTGCCAGAATGTGATGTCCCAATATTGCTTAAGATAGAGTGCATCCACACACCAGTCTGAGGCCCAAGTCCAGATCCTGTTGCCACTCCAGGGAGAACACCACGACCTCCAAAACCTAACCAAGGAAGGTGAGAACAGAATCTGTTATAACTTGTAACTCTGTGAAAACACAGAATTCTATATTACCGTATTGTTTAATAATTGTAATATTTGTAAGTTTGTTATATGTTACTTCTGTTACAAGGTACCTTGGCCTGGAACATATCCACCCTGATAGAGTCCAGGCACACCGACTCCTGCGTGACCCCAAAAAGGTCGTTTTTCTGGTTGATCTGAACTCAACTTATGTTCCTTTAATAAAAAAGGGAGTGTCTTTTTGTTTTTTACCTGGAACTTGTTTTGAAGCTTTACCACCGCTATTTCCTCCGGGTCCTACCTCACCTGTGCCAGACTGGGGCAGCATTGGAACTGAAACAGGAATGAAGTTTGTCAAAAACTGTTAATGTTACATAAAAATGAAATAGCAAACAGCATATTTCATTTGCATAGTCCTTCGTAGATTTACCTTTTCTAGACTTAATGTTGCCTAAAAAGTCAACAATGAATAAGAATTTAGAAGAGAACGTATAATTTGTTTTATACTTATTTAAAAAAAACTTTTTTGTGTTGATATAGAATATTTTTTTGTTTTAATTGTTACCATTTTTGTTACTATTTTGGCTTAAAGTACTGAGTCGCATTTTATCTTTAGTGCTTTTCAGAGTAAAATTTTGATTACCTCCTCCAGGCCCAACTCCGGCACCGCCAGGCCCAAAACCAGCACCTCCAGGCCCAAAACCGGCACCTCCAGGCCCAACTCCTGCACCGCCAGGCCCAAAACCAGCACCCCCAGGACCAAAACTGGCACCTCCAGGCCCAATTCCTGCCCCGCCAGGCCCAAAACCAGCACCTCCAGGCCCAAAACCGGCACCTCCAGGCCCAACTCCTGCACCGCCAGGCCCAACTCCTGCACCGCCAGGCCCAACTCTTGCACCTCCAGGCCCAACTCCTGCACCGCCAGGCCCAAAACCTGCACCGCCAGGCCCAAAACCAGCACCTCCAGGCCCAACTCCTGCACCTCCAGGTCCAACTCCTGCACCGCCAGGCCCAAATCCAGCACCACCAGGCCCATTCCCCGCTCCGCCAGGCCCAAATCCGGCACCACCAGGTCCAAAACCTGCACCTCCGGGTCCAAAACCTGCTCCTAAGGAAAAAACAAGAAAACATCAGTGAGTCATATTTCAGTAATTTAATCTGACATTTTGATTAGTTTGAACAGCAAATACCCGTTTTAGGAGGTTTGCGATCAGTTCCTGGATATTGACCACCACCTGGACCATAACCACCTCCGTAGCCTCCATAGCCACCTGGGTCAGGACAGAGTATTTTTCATACACATCATTCTTCAGGTTCGAAATATATCAATGTAACCCGTGTGTGACCAGTTAAGGAGAACTTGATCATTTTCAGCCATACTTTTGGCAGTTCCAGAGGAGCAGCCTGGTTAATTTGTGATGCTTTGTGCAGCAGGTTGATTTGTAAAATTTTCAGGAGCATGAGTCACCTCTGTTAATTCATGTTGTTCAGTGATTCTCATAGCTGCATCAAAATGCAAAACACTTGGCCATCGACAATTATTTGTTCATGTATTTAGAGATGTAACTGTGTGTCATGTGAATGAACAGATGTAGACAAATGGAAACCACTGACCTCCAGGTATGTGGCCTGCTCCCGCTCCCTGACCTCTACCAGGCCCGATGTCTCCTGCCCCAAGCACTCCTCCACCAAAACCCCCCGCCCCAAGGCCTAACAAGCAGATAAAAGAGGGGAAAGTACTTGTTAATCACTTTTTTATCATACAAGACATCCCACAATAATGAATTCAATGTGTCCATGTACGACTCCACCCTCTACGTTATACATATATGATGGCTGCCCAGGAGAAACCCCAATAGGATTAACTTGTTATCCAGAAAGGTTTGGAGTAGTTGTTTGAAGTGTGCATGTTTGACTTTACAACTCTTTGTGGGTTTGGCTGAAGATGAACCAGTAAAAATGTTCAGGCTGCAGAGAGGGAACCCAAGCCTGTGTGGGGGGATGGCGAAGAAAAAACACTGAGAGCTATAAGTAAATTTGTCTTATTCTCCATTAAAATAGGTACACCTGACCATTCCATTTGAAATACAGTTTATTAAAATATTAATATTTATTAAACTGTCTTAATTCTGGCCTTTGTTTGAATCCTTTTTTATTTGTTTTTTCGTTTGGCCAGTTTTTGCTGAAATTGGTTTTGTGGACTTTTGCTTGAAATTACAGTTCAGTATTTATAAATGGATTCCTCCCATTGCTTGTTCAGGTGAACCAGGATGTTCGCGTCTTATTCTTCAGGGTTGAGCGTTTCAACTTAAACACACATTGTGGTCATTATTGTGTGTTTGGCTCTAATGGCCAGACGTTTGGTAAACTGACGTGTGACATACAAGTCTGTTTCCTGTACTTAATACTGACCAATTTCTACACTCGGACCACTGATCCACGAAGAGCAGAAATCTTCCTCTGGCTATGAATGTCAAATGGCGCAAGTAAACAGCAGCTCATGAGCTTTCCAGATGTCACAAAGGGTTTTGATGATTTAAAATGTCTGTCTGACAAACCTTACTGCTTACCACAAATCCTTCAATACATCCAGATCTAATGGCTATCATTAAAAATATTCTGTAGGTAAAAAAACTAATTTCATGCCTGTGCCTCGAGCCCCCTGTCCAGCTCCTCCAGGCCCAGTTCCATAGCCTCCAGGAACGACACCTCCTGGTCCAAAACCACCTGAACCGCCTCTGCCCGGTCCCAGTCCTCCTCCTACACCTCCAGCTCCCTGTCCTTCTCCAAACCCTCCAGTCGCTCCTCCACGACCACCGTAGCCACCTCCCAGAGATAAAAAAGAGAGCAAGAAAAATCAGTAATACTTTCATGTAGAGGTTAAGGTCATCACGGCTTGCAAGTTTATTCCTGTACAACTTATATATAAACAAAATGCTGGATAATTTTAACTCTGGTGATACAAGATAATCATTTTCTATAAAATCTCAAAGGTGCCATGTTCACACTACAAGCAACACAGGCTGCAAGTCACTTTCCATGGAAGCCATGACATAAAGCGACATAATAACACGCTGTCGATGCAGCTTGATACGCGTGGTTGTTTTTCTGCTTTGGGCGCTTGTAGTGTGAAAACGGCATGACAGTGCTAACTATGGCAAAAGCACTGTGGAAGTTAATGGCGGTAACGTATAGGTGGCATTATGGCTGAAGCCATGGGTTAGGATGACATTATCAATATTATTAATATTTTATGTTAACGCTTTAAATCTGGTATATTGCAACTAAATCCGTACTCTAACAACAGGTGGGCCTGGAGGTCTTACCTGTTTTTGGAGCCTTTCCACCTGTAGAAAGGAAGTAATCACAGGAATTATATCAGCACAAGCTCAATAGAAATCTTGCAAGACGTTGCTCTCCAGGTTATCAATATTTCAACCAGCCCTATCTGTCTTACCGGCCCCAACACTTCCAGGTACGACTCCCAGTCCACCACTGCCTGGGCCAAAGGAGCCGGGCCTGAAGCCTCCTGGTCCAACTCCTCCCGATCCAACACCTCCCTGTCCAACACCTCCTGGTCCAAATCCTCCTGTTCCTGGTCCTTGGCCACCATAGCCCCCTTACAAATATAGTAGTTGAGACATTGTGAATTGAAAAAAGGCTTTTAGAATAAGCAAATCAGATACAGTTTTTATCTGTTCTGCGTGTGATTTGTTTTCATGAACAGTTAAAACACACCAGTCTTCACATTTCTAACTCAACAAATTAAGTCATTATCAGTACTTATTCAATTTAACAGAAAACACAAATGGCATCCACCTCCAACTGCTCCCGGCCCAAAGCCTCCAAGACCAGCACCTCCACCAGGCTGAAATCCAGTCCCAGTGCCTCCAGGGCCAAATCCAGTTCCTGTCCCACTTGGTCCATATCCAGTTCCAGGTCCCGCACCAGCTCCTATGCCGGCTCCAGTTCCACCTGCTGCTCCACCAGCAGGTACATATACACCTGATACAGAACCAGTTCAGTAGAAAAATTACAATATGAATTCATGAAGTCACACAGGATCAGCTAAACACAGATCAATTTGCAAATTGCAAGCATAGAGAAAAATGTGTGTGTGTGTGTGTGTGTGTGTGTGTGTGTGTGTGTGTGTGTGTGTGTGTGTGTGTGTGTGTGTGTGAGCGTGTGTGTTCACAAGGTCACAGTGTATGTGTGTTCTTGTGTGTTATCAACCCAAGGCTCTGAGTTTCTCCAAAGCTGATAACAAGGAGCCTCTCATCCAAACGTTCTGCATCTTTGGTCATAATTTTCACACTTTGTTTTCTTCCAAATCACAATAGACAAAAATAGAAATACAGAGAAGAAATACTATAAAAGGAAAGGTTTTTTAAGATCCAACAGTCCAGATGTGAAAAGAAGAGGTCCATGGGGAATCCTAAAGAATGTGAGTAACTGATCTCACGTTCACGAACAGCTCAGTTACGGCACACTCAACAGTTCAGTCATTCAGCTCTCGATGCTGCAGGAACAGAAACCTCAGCCCACAAAAGCTTGTGTTGTTTTCAGAAGGAAGCTCATTTGAAATTAAACACTGGACATGAACAACTACACACTTTTATATACCAGAGATGTGTCATGGGAAAAAGAACAGCAGTTGGGCTTGTGAATTCAAATGATATACAATGGATATTTAATGCGACAAATGTCATCCGTGGTGAGAATTTGACATTGTGATGAGTTTGTCCATTGTTCCCTGCTTCAAAAAGACATTGTTTGTTTGGTGAGTTCATTTGTCATTATTGAATAAAAAATGTTTGTATCTTTTTAATGCTCCATGATCATACTGCAACCATTACTGATTTTAGCCCCTCTGGCGCCGTGCCCCCCAGGAGGACAATGTCCTTCTGCCAGTCGCTCACCACTTTGACAACTAAGACTGAGACTGAAACAGCTTGACTCTGTGTGAAGGTTTGCCATGAAACATTTTTACAGATATTAGTGATCCCCGCAAAGCTTTACTAACTAGTAATCCCCTGACTTTTCTTCCAGCGCCAGCAGCAGGTAAATACTTTCATCCATTTGTCAAAATACATCAGTTGTCTGTTAGATGGATGAGCCCGACGTTTGGTACAGACATTTGTGTTTTTTGTAAACTAAAGCGTTTCTCTGACTTTTGATTCACCACCATCCGGACAAAATACAAATTTGTCAAGTTCTTTTTTTTCTTCTGTGATACATGTCTTTTTTAATGAGCATTACAACTCATAGCCAGTTGTCGTTGATTATTAATCTTAAAGTTACACGTTTCACTGTTTACTTCTATATACTAAATAATTCTAAATAATTTAAAATGAGCAAGTGAACATGTTATGAACATATAAAAATACTCATCCAGTCTGCTTCAGTAAAGGGACAAAAAAAACAATGAAATTTCTCCCATCTCTCTATTAATTGGTTGAGCCCAACCTTGTATAAAGTCAAAATACACACAAATCTAAAGCTCTTTAAACCAACCTCTAACAAGGAGAGGAAGAGGATGACAGGAATCTCCTTGCAGCAGCCAATGCAAAGTCTAAGCAGACAAAACTAGGTGGGATCTGGAGGGATGTAGCACACGGTTATCATCAAACCTTTTAATAAGGGCTATTAAAAGTCACGTGCAGCACCTCATGAAAGATTTAACTGTGACCATGTCGTCCTGACCTGCGGCTCAGAGAGGAGGCTCAGCTGACATGAAAAACACACCTGAACAGCAGCTTGTTTTAAGTTTGTTGTTTACGTACTAAAGTGCTTGCAAAGTTCACCCAAACAAACAGTGGGTACTAACTGTTTTTATGAGTGTGGAAAGTTACAGCAAGTAGGTTTTAAGTAGTCAACAAATCCCCAAAGTTTTGTTTATTACAATAGCCTGAGGGAAGAGTACGGTAATTCTGAAAGCTTTTGGATGCAGAGAACGTATGACCAAGCTCAATCCAATACAAAATCTTACAAAAATAGCGAGACTGGAGATGAGTTTAAACTTTGGTTCAGACATTTCAAATCCATTCACACAAGTGACAATAACACAATAAAACATATTGTCACTTCTCTTCAAACCCTGAACCCTGAAATCGATCAAAGTATTCTTTAACATCATCACCCTCAATAATCTGCAGCTGTTTCTACTATGACATCCGCATTATCACCATCGTCATCATCATCGTCATCCGTATCATAGTTGCTGCAATTCACAAAATCTCCCAAGATCTCCCAAATCTCAGGAAAGGCTCTAAACCACCTTTAAAGAAAACAAGAGCTGTGCGCACTACTACCTAAACTTTATGTGACACCTGATACACAGATGCTGCACGGCTGAGCGCCGCACACCTGCAATGAAGGGAACCCACCTCCTTGCAGCGAGGGTTTCCACAGAGCCAAGAGAAAGACTCCATGTAGGTACGCGGCCACCATCCCTCTCGCCATCTCGCTCCCGAATGTCCCTCTCCTCTCCGAAGGTCCAGGTTTTATCAGGGCCCAACAAGGCCTTCACAAAGAAGGAGGGGAAATGAGTGAGGTCAGAAAAAAACAGGATGCAAGACAGGACACCGTGTAATTGGCTGAGAGACACACAGAGAAAGCTAGACTAGGACAGGAGGGGAGAGAAAACACTGGAGCACCTGATTAAACCAAGTGGGTTGTTCAAACCCCCCAATGACTGTTGGGCTGCATTTATTCAGTTCTGTACGGCCAAAAAGAGAGAGTTTATAGTGGGTGGCGGTCTGAGGAGAGAGACACACACACATAAAGAAAGAAGGCGAGAGGGAGAAAGAACAGTTATATGAGGTAAAAGAGTCTGTGAATTATAACAATCAGGGTCACTGATTTTCATCCCCTCTAGACACCTTTAATAGAAAAAGCAACCGGGCCAGAAGTTAGTTTTGGATTTCAAAACAGTGTTTGGTTGGTTAAGAAACATCTCATCAGCATCCTCTAGTTATATGTTTAAGAATAATAACAGAGCAAAAGTGTTACTATATTATACGTTATACTTTTTATTATCTTTCAAATAATACTTATGTCAGAAAAATCTATTTTAAATGAACTAGCATAGCAAACATATTCTTCTGGTATCGATTAACAACTAAATGTACAATGTAGCGTGAAACTGGCATGTCAGTTTAACATGCATGGAGACACAATAATGTTGGAGCCTTTCGTCTAAAACGTGAATAAAAGGGGGCTGGAGGTGAATTGTCAGGTGTCCAAAAATCAGAGCTAGCTGCCAAAGACATCAAGATGTCAGTAAAAATAAAACCTGAAGTGAAAACATGCTCCCTGGGCAAGTAAATAAATACCCGACAGAAGACAACCTTGTAGTCAGATTGTTGTATCTTCTGGGATGAGAAATGAGGAAGCCAAAGAGATTATAAGAGGGACAGGAAAGGAAGAAAAATAAGGAGCAGACAGAGAATAATTAATATGAAGGTAATGCAAAATACTCTCAGATCAGCATTGCAGTGCAAGGCTCCTACTGATGACTCACGCAGTTGCTGGTTGTGCTCGATGTGAAGGTTGCATCACTTTGAAAGAGTTGCATCACCCTGAAAGATGTCACCTGCCTGGTTAGTGACCAGGATTATTTGAGCTCTCCGTTCGTTCTTCCATCAGAGTCCAAGCTGCCGTAGGGTCACACAAGTCAGCATTCCTGCGAA